ATTTATTATTTCCCATTATTAAATTTGATCTCTCGCAGAGAAGTGATTGATGTAAACGAATAACGCACAAGTCGCGACGATGTGTAATTCCGATCATTTTTCAGCAGCACCGAACAGATTAATCCCCGACGAGCTGCAAAAACCTCGCGATGTATTATTATTATTTTTTCAACTGTGCCACCGGCGCGGTGCCGAAATTGATTTTGCTCTCGTTTTTTCCCTTCTTTCTCTCACCCGCTGCTTTTGTGCTTACAATGCATCAAAAAATTGCTGCCGGGAAACAAAAGGCGATTTCTGCCCGATTTCTGCTCCTGTGTGCCAACGGCAGTTGGCCTTTGGAAACACGTTCTTTTGCACAACACAACCTCTACCGAGCTGACCTCACTCTCGGCCTGCTTAAAGTGGAAATTACGGCAATCCGTTCTTAATTCATACATAAATCTACATACTTTCTGTTGGACACTATCAAGTTTATAAAAATTGAAATATCTTCAATTAGAGAAAATTTCATTTCAATATTAAAAAAAAAATATATATATGATAATTCATTGTTCATTTTTGGCTAGATTAAATTTCATTATTTATTGTACAAGAAAAAGTATTTATTTGAAAACATGTCTAACAATTCATTAAAGAAATTAAAACAAAATTTGCCTGGAACAATTAATTTTTTATTATTTTTAACCTTTTAACCCAATCTAATTTTGTTTTTTATTTTTGTATATATGGGTGAAAACAACCCTATAATTCAAGTCAAAGGGCAAATTAATGTATTTACTCGCATTCATTGTTGGTGTTACTCGGTGTCGCTTTCACTTTCATTCAGGGTCAGGCGACGTGTGTTTTATTTATTTCATATGTATTATTTGTAATGCCAATTACGACCGATTTAATGCATATCGCGTCTCAACTAGAGGCTGCTGCTGCTGCTACTTTTTTATTCATGAATTACAAAATCGGCGGACAATTAATTCGTATTATGTGTGCGCGCTCAAAACTAACTTTTTGTGTTGCATTATTCTGGCTGACAATGAGAGCTCGCCGGCTGACTCAATTGCGTGAGCAGCGGCCTTTGAATTATATTTTATATATACGGACGTCTCTAATCTTGATCTACATTTGGCCCGCGCGGATTTAATTACGGCCTCGGTTTTCGGGTTGGAAAATATTCAGCCGCGCGTAGGTCAAATCGGTCGAATAATCTTTGCGTTTTACCCAAACTTTCGACTCGCCGCACGAGTTTCAAAAAAATTAAATAATTCATGAATATTGTATTAAAATATTTACATTTATTTGCAGAATTAACCGTATCCCATGGGGTGCATATTTCGAATTAAAAAATTCAAATTTGGATTTTATTAGAAATTTACGCTCAAATGTGTCATTTTAAAAAGATTTTCCTCAAAATTTCCTAATGAGTCATATATTGGGTTAAGATTAAGGAGGCAAAACTAATTTTTAAAAATATGTATAAGTTCAAATTGATTTTTGAATCAATTTTAATGGAAAATATTTTACTTTTTGATTTATTTATTTATTTTAGATTTTAGAAAATGGTCTTTGGAAATTCACTTTAAGAAAAAAAGACAATGAGGAATTTTATTTTACTTCAAAATCATTTAAAATGATGAAAACTTTAAACATTTCCCCCTTTTGATCGAATTTTAAAGTTATAACAAATTATTGTTTTCTTTTAATTTGTCGCTTTCGCTGTTTTTTTAATCAAATCGCAATCACGGTTGGCTTTGCTTTGACGTCCGATTCCGCGTCGATCGCGTGCCTCCCTCGATAAACAAACCGCCCTGCCCGTAATTGCGATTCGCCAGCGTTATCGGCATTGACATTGAACGACCGGGCCAACAACTCATTACCCTCCACTCTGGGCGAGCGAAAATAATTTTTCCTCGGCGGTTCGCTGGCTCGTTAATTAAGCGCCGCGCACACTTAGACCGCGTAAACAAACACCGAATAGTGTACAAATGTATTTCGGTCCGAGGGAAAAAATAAATCTGGCTGGCAACGCCAACAAAACACTCCCTTTGAAGTCGGAGAGTCGCTTTTTGCCCGTCTGCGCGCCACCGTCATAATTTTCCTCCCGAGGAACCCCTGCGCAGCCTTCGGGCCCAATTTTATCATTATTTTTTTTCCTCTTTCTCACTTTCGGTCCGTAGAGACAATGAAAAGGGTTAAGTCCACCCACCCCTCCCCCTCTCGGCTGGTCTAGGCACCTTTGGGCAAGTCTGTTGCCTCCTCTCTCTCTCCTTTTGAAGGTCACATGTGGCCTCAGGTGGAGGAAAAAAATAAAAAAACCAACCGAGCCAAAGCGTTCCCAGCCAGAAAGGTTGGGAGGAAAGAAAGATTGAAATCCCGCCTCACTCGGCCGGGCCAACAGCCCGCCAAATTCGTGGACCGGTGATTTATTTCGTGTGCGAGAGACGGAATAAGTAGTAATAAAAAAGAGGAGAGCTCATTAAAATTGTTGGACCAAGGGAATGCGCCAGGTGTTTCCTGGATTTTCCACCTGAAATTTGAAGTCAAAATATTTCAGATTCCAATTGCATTCCAGTTTGAATAACGATAATTTATTTAAATAAAAAAGAAACTTTAATAAAAATAAAAATTATAATAATAATTATTTTGATATGTTTTCTTCATTTTATATGGAGCATTAATTCTGTTTTTAATTGACAAAGATTAATAATGTTCAAAGTTAAAACAAATCCGAACTACCTTCTGAGATTTTGAAATGCTTCACTTTTTTTGCATCAAATTTCACATTCAAGGCAGGCACTTGAGAGCTGAATGAAGCCAATTTCGGTTATACATTCTTAAAACTCTAACTCCCTAAACAAGTCGTATCTCAAGTTTACGATCGCCATCATTGGCAGACGCTGACGTGATCATAAAATAAATAAAAACGCGTTTTTTTTTATACTTTCAACACTTCAGGGATGAAATTTAGTGCCGCCCTTTAAAAGAAGTCTAAACTTATCTCGGCCATAAAGCGACAAATATCGCCTGCAAGCCTCGTGGAAATTTATACATTCAAATTACAGTGCGCGCGGTATTGATTGATTTATCTCTTAAGAGGAGCGTAACGCAAGAAAATATAATAAATGTGATGCATATTTATATTTATTATTGTATGATTATGTGTTATTATTTAATATTTATCAGCGCATACAAACACACATTAAATAATGCAGCTGAGCGTTTTAGAAAGTATCCTTGCGCGTTTATCACAGCGAATTATCGCGGGGCAAAAAAATTCAAGGTTATCCTCGGTGCCACAAGTGAAATGAGTTGTGAGCCAACAACCAACCTCCTAGTTAGTCTCTGCGCCGAAATGCGAAAAAAAAGTGCCAAAAGTTGGTCTAGCCATTCGTTTTGTGTGGCGATTACGTGCTTTTGTTGTCAGAAGCACTTGCATAACAATTGCACCGGAGCTGAGCAGTTTGGCAAACTCATCCGGCCTTGGCCGAAAGATGGATGGATTGAGCGGCTGATTTGGATGCATTGCGGTCAAAATCTCATCTCGCAAGTGAGAGGCGGAGAGGATGCTGAAATTAATTGAGAAAGCCTTAATTATAGCTTCATTTGCCTTTCTCTAATTTATTCGGCTGCAATAATTGATTTTATAGAAAATTTAAAGTAATTTTTAGTTAAATTGTTTTGGATTGATTAAATTAAATCAATTGAAAAACTAACCCATCCAAAATTGAAATTATTCGTAATAGATTGGCCTTCTTTTTAATTTTGCAAATATTTTCAATTTTATAAGGCTTTTGTTTACAGTCTATTTTTAATTGATTTAATTAATAAAATAAATTATTAATTTATTATTTAAATTGTGATATAATTGAATATTATTTGCTGAACAATTAATTTAAAGTTGCTAGCTTTGGACAGTAATACAGCCAAAGATATGAATCTTGTCCGTGTTAAAAAAGCTCTGCTTAAGTTTGAGTTTGCAAAGTTTCGAGCCTGCAACTCTGTCCAAAATCGGATTTTGCCACGATGCCAATTTGGTAGAATTGGCTCGGAAGGCAAAACGCCAGCGAGTTTTCGGTTGCGAGTATCGCGCCCTCGGGAGCACTCGGAATTATGTCTTCGTTAACTCGTTCTTACGGAATAATTATTTCAAAATCCGTGTGACGCCGCACATTTTATCCTCACTCGACGCTGCTGCAGACGCAGATAATAATAATAACATCAACTTGCACACACATTTACACACGCAGGCCACACGGCAAACTTCTTCTTGTCGTTTCATTGGCCAACAATTTCATTTTGCAATTTGCCAGCCAAGAGCAGAGAGCGCGCGCGAGAGATGAAAAATAAAACCGGCTGGGGAATAATATGATGACGAGACTGCACCGCTCGCAAATGAGACACTCGCCGTCGAGGAAGAAATTGAAAAATAAATTAAACGTCGTGCTCATAAGAAGATGGCTTGAAGTTACAACTTACTTAAATAAACCCATCTCTCGATGCCGTAAGCGGACGGCGATGAATATAATATTGTGGAGAGAAAAATTTGCGAAACTGTGACAATTGAGTGCAAAATTCTTCACATAATTTTATTTACTTACTCATTGAAATTATGGAACAAAATTATTAAAAGTCCAAATTATGTTTTACGTGTTTTATGTTTAATAAATGGATATTTTTTTTCAAATTTGTGGAAGAAAATTATAAAAAAAAGAGGGAAAAAGATGAATTGAAACATGGTTATAATTGATTGAAATACTTATATTCTGGCAAATAATTAAATTTTAATCAATCAAAGAAATTATTTTTGATTTGATTGAAAATTTGTTTCGCTGGAAAATTAGTAAAATTAATCAAAATTGTAGAAATGGTACAAATTTTGTAGGATTTCTGAAAATTGGACTGTAGCAAATTCAGGAATCGTTTCAAATTCATTTTCAATGTATGGAATATTTTGTATGAAATAACGGATAATTTGACTAAATATTGTGTTTTTTGTGTTGTTGCAGGCAAAGAAGGAGGTTCATAGACGAAGTGCCACGCGGTAGAGAGCTAGTCAGCAGCCAGGGGCTTTGTTGCGGGGCTCCGGGGTGCCGCAGACCCACTGAGCCGGCCGTTGCAGCGCAGGCGGCGGCCAGAGAAGCGGCCCACGAGACCGGCAGCAGCGGCGGCAGCGGCCACCGGCGCGCCCGCTTCAGCGGCCAGTTGGACGCGCGACAGCTGCGCAGACACAACTACAAGTCTTCGGTGCTGCCGGCCAAGAGCTCCGCGCACCTCGAACACAGATCTCGAACCCGCGCCTCCCGGCCGGGAATGAACATGGGCCAGAAAATATCAGGTTTCTACCCACGCACTCTATATTTCCCCTCTGAATCTTGCCACTTGAGTTTCAAATGGACGAATTCGACCCCAAATGGGTCACGGCCCAGTCCTCTCAAGACTCACTTTAGTTTATTTATTTTCTATAAAAAAAAAAATTTATTTTTGTTCAAAATAAAATAATTTAAAAATTAGCCTAAATTATATTTTTCTTTTTAAATAAAATTTTATATATTCGAGGGAAAAGTCAAATATTTATCTCTGAAACCAAAATCCAAACTTAAATCTCAACTCTGACCATGATTTTGAATCCTTTGAGACCGGTTATAATGAGATTATGATAGTTAATTCAATTAGAAATAAAATATCAATATCGTTTAGGCTCTTTTATTTTTCATTATTTTTTTCTTTTTATTTGCTCCTCTGGGTTTGAATAATTATTCCTTTATTCAAACAAGCTGAAAATAATTAGCATATTGAACCATTCAATTAATTTCTTTTAAATTTTCTAGGCGGAGCTAAGAACGTGAGTCGCGAGAGCCCGCAGCCCTACAAGCCTGTGATTCCACGCGAACTGGCTCAAGACTTTGCGAGGCCGGCGCGGCTGGACATCCTGCTGGACATGCCTCCAGTGAGCCGCGAGTGCCAACTGAAACATGCATGGAATGCAGAGGATAGATCCCTCAATATTTTCGTCAAGGTTCGCACCTGCCAAAAGCCAACAAAATTCCCGGAAATTAATACATTTCTTTAATTGCAGGAGGATGACAAATTGACTTTCCACCGCCACCCTGTGGCGCAAAGCACAGACTGCATTAGGGGTAAAGTCGGCTTCACCAAAGGGCTGCACGTTTGGGAGATCCACTGGTCCACGAGGCAGCGAGGGACGCACGCGGTCGTCGGTGTCGCAACTCAGGACGCGCCGCTGCATTCTGTCGGCTACCAGGTCCGAAACTTGCACATTTTTAACATGTACTTTTCAAGGTACACAACTGTTTTCAAATTTAAAAGCTTTTTAAGTAAGGAAATGTTATTTTTAATGAGTAAATTCTTTTTTCTTGCCATGCCTTATTTCTTGAGAGGTATTGCAAATTTTAATACAAGTTATTTACATTTTGAGAAATTCTTTTCGCGCATTTAATCTATTATTTAATGCTTTTTACCTAAAAAAATCTTACAATCTTTTAAACAATTAAGAGAAAGGTTCGTTTTTTATTTGCCGAACTTTTTTAGATTTTTTAAGTTCATTTAATTACAAAAACTGAAACATTTACTTACATTTTATAGAAAATTCAAATCACATAATATGAGCATAACTATAAAAACTTATAAATATTTATCATTAAAATTTATTATATTTATTTATCTAGTAATTATCAGTAAGATAGATTTTGCATTTCTTCAATTAATCTTAGAATAATAGGAATAATATTGGTAAACGTTATAATTAAAAAAAAAAGAGAATATTTATCAACAATAAAATAAAATTTTCTGCTTTAATTCAGCACTTACTAAAGTTTTTATTGAAACAGTTACCTCGAAAGTCCATTTTCCCTAGATATAACTTTTGGAATTAACGTTTTTCTTTCCGTTTTCAGAGCCTAGTGGGCAGCAATGAACAGTCATGGGGTTGGGACCTGGGGCGCAACAAGCTGTACCACGACAGCAAAAACAGCGCCGGCGGTGTGACCTACCCTGCGCTGCTCAAGCCCGACGAGACTTTCATCGTGCCAGACAAGCTGCTGGTCGTGCTTGACATGGACGAGGGCACGCTGGCGTTTGTCGTCGATGGCCAGTACCTGGGAGTCGCCTTCAGAGGCCTCAAAGGCAGAAAACTGCACCCGATTGTGAGCGCCGTGTGGGGACACTGCGAGATCACCATCAAGTACATCGGCGGCCTTGACCGTAAGAAACAATTTGCAAATTTTTTTCTCAATAGCTGACTTTCTTGCATCTGAATATTGAACATACAAATTTATTGGAGTAGAATGAAGTCACTAAACGATCAATTACATAAATTATTTACAAATCCTTACCCAAAATTGTATCCATTGCGAAGCTTAATTCAATTCAATTTAATTTGAGTCAAAGTTAAAATTAAAGAATTAAGCAAAAAAGGAACTTTTAAATTATTTTTCTTTTCTTAAATTAGTATTTTTAACTCGAATTAAGTAAATGAATTATAAAACTGATCAGTTTTTCAATTTTAAAATTTTTAAAATATTTTGCTCATTTTGATTTAGGGTTCGAATGTGTCAATTTGCCTCTTTTCTAATTGATTTTTCCCCCTCATTAACTTGAATTTGACAAAATATTGAACTTTTTTCATTCTTTTGATATAAATCATTATGATTAGAAGTTTTTATTATCTATTCCCCCTCCCAGACTGATTTTTCTTAATTGTAAATTTATAATCAACCTGATTTACTGACGGATTTTTGTAATTTCAGCTGAGCCTTTGCCTCTGATGGACCTGTGTCGGCGGGTGATACGACAGCGGGTAGGAAAGGAGCAGCTGGAGGAGCGGATCCACGAACTGTGCCTGCCCCCGGCGCTCGAGACGTACCTCTTGTACAAAGACCGCAGATAGCCCGGGTAGTGCGGCGGGCGCGAGCATCGGCCACCTCCGGCTCAAAGACTCTGATTTCCGTTTTCTCTTGTGCAAAAAGAATCACAACTCACTACGGCTCGGTGAAATCTACGATGAGAACGAGTTGCTCTGATTTTTGTTTCGATGATTTGTAATATTTAAAACTCTTTGGTTTCTTTGCCATACCACAAAAATGACGACGACAACAACGACTACCAAGAAAAAAGATCAATCTCGCTTGTGTATTATTAATTTCTAGGGATCTCCTTCGCGATGACGGGCATTTTTATGTTCCTGTAAATAATACAAAAAAAAAGTAAGAAAGAAACACAATTTACTCAAAGGAAAGAATTCTCACAGATCGAGAGAAAGATAAGAAAAAGAGCAAGAGGGCTTCAAGAGTCTCACACGTACACACTGTTGTGTTTTCAAGTAATCTTTAATTTTTTCGTTTCGTCGGAAAATGCTGGCCCGGCCTTGGTTTGTGATATTATTCCCGTGTTTGGCCGAAATTCGGCTGCATTTACGTTATGATAACTTTTTCAAAGAGAGATGATTTGATGATTTTTTATTTAACTGATTGTGTAAATTAAGTAAGGAAGTAAAACTGATTGCATTTGCAAGCCAGCTGGCGGCCAAGGCCCGGGTGAGAAAAAGAGACGAGAGTGTCGTTTGTGTCGTGAACTGGACTGTGAGTGCGTGAGCTGTAATTAATTTACGAAGACAAAGTGTCGCCAGCGCAGTGACTGTCTATCGGAGAAGATGTATAACAACAAAAAAACTACAACCTCATGTAATAAATAACTCTTTAATTATCATTTCTCTGCTTAACAAAATCGATTAAATTTAGTTTCAAATTTTTTATATCTCAAATTAAGCGCATGCTTTGCTGTATTGACAAACTGAATAGAACAGTTTTATTGATGTTTGTAGAGTAAAAAAATCATCCAATTGTAAAAAGCAATTCAAAATCCGCTTGTTTTATTTTGCTCAAACTTCCTGTGTTTCAAACCTTTCACGATTGTCCGGCTCAGTTCGTCGAGATTCTCGATGGTGGCTCGTCTGGATTTTTTCCCTATCAACTCGTCCTCCTTGATTTTGTTCGACAGTTTGTATCTCTCCGCGACGTGATCCAGAGAACCCTGGATATTATCAAATTACATAATGTCAGAAATTTAAAAAATTTCACCTTGAGAAGAATAAGAAGAATCAAATACTCAGCAAATCCGAGCATTCCTTTAATGTGGTATCCAGTGATGGAGTAGTTGGGGTCGGGCGTCGGTTCCACCTCGCTTCAATTAGAGAGCCAATTTTAATTTTCATTTTTTATTCATGCGGCAAAAGCGAAAATTCCAATCGACCGCGAATGGTAATTTTCAATTTATGCGCCGATTGACGTCAAACTAAAAGCAGACGTCATTTTCACGGGTGACAGCGTCAGGCATTTTTGTTTCAAATTGATGACAGGAAAAGCAGCAGTGTCAATATATTAACACAAACGCACATTCCATTTTTGACAAAATTTTTGTGGCGTTTCCAACAACACTTACTTGCTAACAATGTGGACGTGTGGATGCCCAGAAGCTACCGAGTCACCGTAAGGGACGATTTGCTCCTGAAGCCACGAGGGGAGTTTGTGTTGATCAGCCATTACTTTGATTTTCTTCACTAAATTAAAATAAAAAGGAGAAAAGTTTTGATGAAAATGAAATTGAGCCTTATTTTGTTAAGGAACTTAACGAAGTATAAAATAATTGTTCGATTCAGTTTAAAATTGAGAAATTTTGACTGTTAAATTCAATTGAATTCACAAAATTTTTTTGAATTGAAATTTAAGCACATACACGTAAATAAAAGTTGTTTACTATTAAATATTTTGATAATAAAAATAAATATCTAATTTACTTTTAACAATTTATTAATTTTGTTAAATTTAAAATTATTTTTATATTTTAATTTTTAAATCACTTGAAATAATACCTATTCTTTTTTAATTAATTTATTTTAAATAAACTTTTTGCCACATTATTAATTTATTTTCAACTTTTTGATATAAAAAATATTTATGAAAATTTATATCAATTTATATAATTAATTCAGAAACTGAAAAAAATATGAAGATTTCTGGTTCAACAATAAATATTAATTTAAAAATATATTGAACAAAATTTTACCAATTTTCGTCACGATTTCTTTGCTACTGGGCGCCGCTTTGTGTTCCTTTGGCGTCTCGGTGGTCGTCGTGGTTGAGGAGCCCAGTGAAGACCCCAGGGCCAGCAGGAGCCCCAGCACGACCAGCAGCACCTTCGGCATGTTCTTCCTGAGTCGAAATGAGAGCGTTTGGCGCCGGTGGATCCCTCTTAAGGGCGCGCCGACACGCCACTTAGGTGCACCAAGTGAGGGTGACCGCGCCGAATAATGGGCCGCCAATTTCCAATTTGGCTCGCGAACGTCGAGTGACCCACATCAAGGGCTTAAAACGGGCCTTCAACGAACGACACTTACTCATTCGATCAACATGCGACCACCGACGAAAACCTTGCTGCTCCTCGTGGTCGCCTTCCTTGGAACGACGACGGCCGTCGCCGACCAAGTTGCGGCCGCCGACAGCACCGACATTGCGAACCAAATTGGTAAGATATTTATTGATATTATAGAGAAATCTTTTCTCCAAACCATTATATAATTATTTTCCACTAAAATTATTGCAAAAAAAATAATTCAAATTAGTCCTTTTTATTTATTTTGAAATAAATTCTAATTTATTTTCAATAAAATTAGATTTGTTAAAAAATTTCATTTCAAGTTCAATTACTAGTTTATAAAATTTTGTATTTAGTAAGAAATAAATTTAACAAAAAACTTAATTGCTTAATTTCAATTTTTTTTACAGTTCAGCAGCTTCAAACCCTTGGTCATCACAAATACCCTAGTTTGAGTTCACCCCGTTCTGCAAACCACGCTTCGGCCAGCAATATTCACTACGATGGTAATTGTAATTTTATGCGTTTTTTTTTAATTTGACAATTTTTATTTAATACTGTTTGTGTTTATAAATTTGTGTGTTTTGCGTGTTTTTTTTATGCAAACATTTGTTTCAGCGTCGCCCTATTACGAGCCTTACGGTGGCAGCCCGCACGATACGCCCACGTACATCAAGTTCCAAGAGTATGTATAATTTTAACGATCGCATGCAAATGTGCGTAATGGATGCGAGTTGTAAAGTGCGTGTGACCCGCAGGCCGGAGCCCACCATGGACCCCAACATTACGCCCAGTGGGATTAACGTGAACGCCGCCCTCGGTTACATCTCCTATCTCGTTCTGCTCGTCCTGCTGCAGGTAAGCAAAATTTTATGTGAAATACAAATGAGATTTTTTTGAGTAAGTAATAAATTGTGGATACTTTTAAAGAACAGGTAAAAATGGGAAATTTTTAAAAGTAAAAAAAATGTATCTGAATTAAAGGTTAAATTTACTTTAACTTTCTTTAAATAGGCTTAAAATTAAAAAAAGTTTTAACATTTAATTTATAGTAGTTTAAAATAATTATGCACAAAACATTCATTTTAAAAGGAAGCTTTTAATAAAATTTAAAATAGAATTTAAAATGAAAGATTCTTGAAGAAAACTGGGCTTGTCCTCATCTTTAGAAGTTTTTTTAAATCATTATTATCGTTAATTTTTTAAATATTAATTTTGTGTCTATTTCTATAGGGTGCCGTGGAAGGAGTGGCTGCACGTTCGTCTCGGCGCCGCCGATCCGTGCGATCTTTGGGAGGCGCGAGCAGCGAAGACCTCTTGGGCCGCGGTCTCGAGCTTATGAACGACATGGGCCTCCTGAGGGCCGAGAGTCTGGCCACCCTTCCCGAGAGCGTGCTCGCCGCCCTCGGCAAACAGGTCGAGCTGCAGCACAAATTCGGCTCCAAAAAGGTGCAGCGAATGCTCAAGAATAAGAAAAATAAGATGTCGAACAAACAGAGCGCATGATTTGCATTTTCGTGCTTGTTGGTTTTCCTAATTTATTGTTTTTCATGCCTAATTTATGTTTTGGTACCTCGACAGAGACGGCAGTTTTTGTTTGGAGTAAAAATATACTTAATAAAAGCAAGGTGCACACGCCGTGAAATTTATTTAATACGTGACTTATTTAAAGAAATTCACCTACTTTTCACTGCTCCAAATTTGATTCAGATGGGAACAGAGAAAAAAAATGTTTGTAAGAAAAAGCAAATTAAAAAAAAAAAAATAATAATAAAAGCCAACTTACTTATGTACAACATATGACAAAGAATATTGAACATTTGATTTAGAAATAAACATTAAATAAAATTTTATTATCTTATTTTTGTAAAAATATTTAATATCCATTTAATTTTTTTTTTAGTTTGTTATTTACTTACATATTTAATTTAATAAAAGTCATTATAAAGGAAATTCTATACACTAATAAATTGATACAAAAACGTAAGTTTTGATTGTTGGTAAAAATAGCTAAAAATTTTTCATTATTGGCGTTTCTCTTAAATAATCAGCCATTGTTTCAAAATTCAACCTCTGCTCTTTTATTTAAATTTTAGTCACCTTTCCATGGCCGAGGTCAATCGATTCGCGGCTCCTGATGGCGACGGTGGACAACACCGCGAGCGTCGCCTTTTTGAAGAGGACGACGTCGAAGATCTTTGGTTGGTGGTGTGCATCACGCTAGTCGTCTTCCTGCAGATGCTCTCCGTGTTTTGGTGCGGGGTGGTGGCCATCGACTGGTTCGTCGACTTGGTCAACTCGCGAGGCAACTTGAGCGAAAGCCTCCTGATGTCGCCCGCCTTTCAGTTCTTCTACCTGCTAGGCCTGTTGTGCGAACCGATCGCGGTGTCCATTCTCCATTACGTCTACAACTTCTACGAACAGGACGCGTTTGAGGACTTTGAGGTGTGCAATTTGCCATTTTTAGTCATTTTATTTTTTCTTTTTTTTTTAAATATCATATAAAAATTCAAATATATTATTATTTAAATTTCTAATTCTGTTTGTTAGTTTCTGGATAATATTTCCGAAAAGGGAAAAGTAAAAAAGGATGGAATTTGATACCATCAATTCTATTTTTAAATTAATATATTCTGATTATTTTAAAAATTGCAGTGATTCAGAAATTTCCGGTCTGTTTCCATTACTCAAAATTGCATCTTTATTTAAAACAACAATATCTTAATTTAAATTATGCATTTCATTTAGCTTTTCAGTGCGTCCTTTTTTATTGACTGAGGAAAAGTAAAAATTTCTTTTGATAAAAAAGTCCCTATTAAAATATGTCAGTGGAAATGAGAATTTTTTCACTCTTTGTTCCGGTTCACGCAATAATTTGACGCCACTCTATAGTTCTTTTTATTTTTCCGGTCCCTCTTGCTAGTCGCGTCTCCATTCAAAACAAGTTCTTAGCCCTTAAAAAACGAAACCCTCTCTCTCTCTCTTTTTCATACACATTTCATCCCATTGTTCGGAATTAAAAGCCGCCTGCTTCTCATTACCTGCGATATTTGACGTTTCGAAACCGTAGAAAGGTTTTACAAAACACACACACACTGCTGTAACAATCAAGGGGTTGGCTAGGGCGGAGAGGGAGCAGGGGCGCAACACAATGAAATTTTGAACAAGAATACAAAGCGCGATTGTGTGACGGTGAATGAGGTGTCGACGCAGGGCAAAGGCATTCGCCAACTTTTGAAGCGCGATCAAAAACGGCCGAGGGAGTCTTCTAAAAACAAAAAATTTAATTTTACTAATTACAAAACATATAAAATTCAAAGTTCAAGTAATTGTTGCATAATTATAGGTGATTTTTAAATTTCTAAAAATTATAGTTTTAATATATTTAATAACATTGTTTTTTAATAAATAATTTAATTCAATTTATACTTTGTAATTACTTTTTTTCATTAATATTTTATTATTTTAATTTTTTGATAAAACTAATTTTTTGTTTTATAAAACAGTTGCTTTAATTTTTACTTTATTAAAAAATATTTTGAATTTCTTTAATTATAATTTTTAAATAATATTCATCAATATATAAAAAAAAATTTTATATTTATTAAAATTTTTTAATTGATTAAACAATTTAATCCAAAATGAAAAATTAATTTTAACAGGAAATGTTTCCCCCAGATGAAGATGGCATGGGTGACGGAAAAAGATATCAGGTGAATGAAAATTTTGAGCAGCTTTAATCTTTTGAATAAAATTAATTATGATTATAACTTGAACAGTTTACGGCGCAGTCAAACTTGATTTCTTATTTTCGACGCCAAACGTCGTTCCGAAAGATGCTGATTTTGGTGCAGGTGCCTATCCTGCTCCTTGTCCTGAGCGATCTGAACGTCCTGCTCAACTACCTGGGCCACCTTTACTACCTTTTGCCACTCGAATACAAAATCGCCACTGCTGTTTTCCTCATGGTCTGCAACAAATTCGTCTTTGAGTGGAACCTCCAGTACAGCCTCTTCAGCATCCTTTTCATCGATTCCGATACAAATGTTTCTAAAAATTATCCTTTTACTAGATATTTTTTAATTAATTATTCTTTAATCTAGATTTTTCCACTCTATCCGAGAAATTTGTCTCTCTGGTTTTTGGCGCGAGCATCGCTAGAAGTTTTCTTCCTGCTGTTCTGGGGTTTGCGGATAAAGAGGACGAGGCGGCGGCAGAACTTTCACGCCCCGAGTCGGCAGACGGTCTTGAGGCTGGTCATCGCACACTTGACGCACGACATGGACCTGCTCCTGCTCAGCCACATCAACTTCCTCACGCGTTGGATGAGACTGACAAGTAAGTTTTTCATTATTAAATTAATGTTTTAATTATTATGTAAAATTTCAAATTGTGTTTTATTTTCTAAAAATGTTATGAAATACAAATTCAATATAAGCAAGAGTTGAAAAAATTGATTGTAGTTAATTTTAATTTTTTATTCTATTGTGGAACTTCAATTAATTAATTGGCTTGTGTAAATAGTAAAAATGAAAAGTGCTTATGGGGCCTATAAATATTAAAACTAATATATTATGAACCAGTTTTTTTTTATTTATTTTTTTTAATGTAAGGCAATGTAAGAAAAATTAAAATAATTTAGGTTCGCCCCGTTTCAATTTTTCATGAAATCCACCTCGAGTGTTACCATTCAATTTAGTTTTTAAATTTATATTTTGTATTATAAATTTAACGCTTTTCTCCAATTTTGATGCATTCCAGGTCAGGCAGAGAGAAGGTTGCGTAACGACGGCGGCCAAATGCAGTTGGTCATTAGACAGCACGAACCAGCCCCTCTTGCAGATGACGAACAAATTGTCGCTAATAATCTGCTTCTTGGTATCGATTAAATTGAAATTGGTTAGAAAAATAAACAGAAAAATTCATGTTGATCCATTTCTCCCTTCCTTGCTTATATCCAATATCATAGTCAACATTTGGCCTGTCAAAATATATTTTTGCAAAAGATACAATGGCAACATCATTTAATTAAAATTATGTTATCGATGTACATTGTGTCAATTTTTTTTCATTAGTCCTCCATTCAACTTCGAGATCGATTGAAATCAATAATTCTCTTTCAATTGATTGTTGTCAAATTAAATTGATATAATGCTTGTTTTTATTTCAAACTACAAAGCGGCATTACAGTTATAGTCACACAGTGAGGCTCACCCCTTGGCAACGGCAGAAGAAAAATTTTCACAAAGTTTTTGTTTCAAACGCCACAAAAATCATGTTTTCTGGGCTGTGGCCTCTGTGGTGGGTCTCCCTGGCCTTTGGTGTGGCCCCCGTGGCAACCGTGCCCTTCAGGACAGCCACCTTAATTTGGAGTCTCGCGTTTTTCCTCATTTTCGGCGTCTACTGCGCTGAAGAAGCGATTGAAATTCGGCTGGTTGAAATCCCCGAGTTCCTGCACAAGGGCGACCTGACCACGACAACCATCTCCTTCGTCGGCCTCCTCGTCGTCGGCCTGGCATCCATTAATGCCTTCTACGTGCTCATTTTCGTCGTCAAGAGCGGCGAACCGTTGTTGCAATTTGAGGAAAATGTCACCGAAATTTGCAACGAGTTGAGAGTTTCCATCGAAGCGCAGATCAGATCGAAAGTTCGGCGCATTTTGATGATATTTATCCCTTTCATGGTGTACTGGACCCTCAAAGAATCCATCGCGTACTTTGACTTTACCGAGTATTACGTCACCTTCCAGGAGTGCATCATTTTTCTAGTTCGAGGCAGTCAAATTCTTTTCGAAGAGCAGTTTAAAATACACGTCCTCTCGCAAAAGTGGATTTTCGAGGCCATCAACGAAAAAATTCAGGTTTAAAAGATAATATTTTCTGAAATCAATAAAAATATCCTACGAAAATTAAGCAAACAATATTTAAATTGTTTAATAAAATATTCTAATTCAGCTTATTTTTTTGTCATTAAATAGTTTATAAAATATTTGACAAAAAGCAGAAAAGGATTATTTTATTTATATTAGTTGAAAACATAATTTATTTTGTTTCTGTTTGTCTCACTTTCGAATTCAATTTTAATTCCAGGATCTAATGAAAACACCGATTCAGTCGCCCCAGTTAGTAGCAAGGCAACTTGAAGTTCTGCGAAGGTGTCACTGGAAGATGTGCGACTTGAGCGAAGAACTTTGCGCGCAGTTCCAGATGGGTTTGTTCCTTATGCAGCTGATGATTACAATCGACATCAACCAAGGACTCTATTACGCGTGCATAAATGCTCTCGGCTCACTGGGTGAAAAGGATCACAATGTGTAATTCTTTTGCTGTTAAAATAAATTTCCCTTCCTTGAAAACTTTTAGCATTATTTTTCAGGACAGATCTGCTGACGAATGTTTTCATTGTATTTGACTGCATCTCGTGGGCTTTTGTGAACACTTTGAGAATCTCTCTGACCGTATCACGCTGCAGTGAATCGTGCAAAGAGGTTAATTAAAAATTCAACCTGGAATTAAATTTTTTATAATAATAAAAAAAAATCATTTCAGGCCGTTAAAACTAGAGCTCTTGTACAAATTTTTGAGCAAAATTGTGAAAACTCCATCGTCAAGGAAGAGGTTTATATTTTAATAATTATATATTTTTTTTTTCTAATTTTTACTTTTGTATTATACTTGTAAATTTTTGGCATTCAAACATTTTTATGCTTGTTTATAATCATTAAATAACGAACATTTAAAGCACAATAAATATGAATTTAAAATCCTTTCATAATCTTACAGATTATGCGATTCTCTGTTCAATTACAACACAACGCGACCCCGATTTACTCAGTTTACGGCATGTATAAAGTTGATTTCACCTTCCTCGCCTCTGTAAGCCTTACAATTTACATAATTTTTTCCAGTGTGAATCACAAATCCTTGGGGGTTTGTTATTTTTGTTTGCAGGTCGGCTCTACTGTCTTCTCTTACAGCGTTTTATTATTGCAGTTCCACAATATACACATTACGTAAATATCCATTAGATAAAGAAAGACGAAGTTTTTGCGCCTTTGGTGTCAAAAGCGGCAACCGGACCGACGCGGCGGACGCACTGGTTGCATAATTGGATTATGAGCAGGCGCTCGCTCGACGCTTTCATCTTTCAACCCCTGCTTGCTGCTGACGAGGCACGAGAGATTTGATCGCGGTTGAGTCACGAGAAAACTTGGAAACGTTCCAGCCGCGGGAATTCAATTAGGTCGAAAACGAGGATGGACGACGGTCCTCAAAAGAATCGCAAATTCGAGCAACGCCAGCGAAATTTGATTTGTTGAAATGCCGCACGCCGCACCACACCAAAGGATTGTTCGGTGGGGTATTTTTATTTACAAATGCCGTTTGTAGCAGCCGCAGTTATTTCTCTTTAAAGCTATAATTTTCTCTTCGTTTATGAAGTGTGGTGAATGCGTTTTAAAATAGAGGATTTTTGCGGGTCTTCTTTTGCTGATGCTGTAAATAAAAATATATAATGTACCTTGTTGAGTTGAATTTTAAGCCTCGAATTTTCCCTCTTACCAAACACTTTTATTCACTTTCAATTTAACACTTTTTTGCTTCGCTGGAGACACGTTCCTTTAATCTTTTTTTCTGGCGAAGATTTTTTAGAGTGGAAAATATTGCGGAAAAATTTTGGAGGAAAAGGAAAAGAAAGTTCTCACAATTATTAAATTTCTTTCAACTGATTTTGAAGAGATTTGCATACAAGAATTTTAATTCTTTTCTCAGGAAAATGAGCTAATTCAACAGTAAATTTTTTGAAATATTTACTGAATACTTAGTTTTATTGTTTCTGTCACGCACAAAAATATGGATGGCCTGATGGCCTAATGAAAGCTAGAAATTTGAATTGATTTTTTATAGAGTTAGATAAATATATCGTTAGTAACAAATGAGGAAGAGAATTTTATAATACGCCAAGTGAAAAAAAATTATTTTCCACAACTGCTGGTAATACAAGAGTTTACTTTGACGCAACTGCTCCTATTTTTAGATGTGCTAATAAATCTTTTATATTTTCCTCAATTATTATTACGTGACTACCCCAGTTGCCAAAACTGACTTTTATCCGGATATTATCCTCTCCAGAGAATAATAATCCGGATAATTTTTCGATTTTGGCAGCTGGGGTAGTGACGCAAAATGTTTGTATGGAGAGCAGAATAAATTAAGTTAGTCGTGTGAATTTCATGAAACTTCAATTATTCACTATGTTAACAGCCATTCTTAATTTTAAGGTTCACTGCGGTGAATGGGGTCTTTTTGATCTCGGAAGTTTCAGCAAAATTCTTGCTAGTAGTTTTAACGGGTTTGTCCTAAAATTCCTTTTTTAATCAATTGTTTTCAACAGTTGAATGCAAACAATGAAATTGTAACAATGTGTACACATAAACAAAAACAATAATCAGATAATCTTAAAAAATTATGTAGTAAAAAAATAGCTCATGACACAACGGGTTTATTAAGACAATAATAAAGTAGGAAATTAATGAAATTGAAAAATTAATAAGACTCTTAGCTTCCGCTCAAAAGCCACCGTAGCCCTTTCCCCCTCTTATTTGAAAGGTCAAACTTAAAATATTTAGGCCGATGATATGAAAGTTGCAACCATTTCCCGAGAGAAAGCTGCTCTCACACCGCAGATGAAGTTTGCGCCGAGAGCTACCAATCTGCCGAATGAGTTTCGGGGAGAGACCTTTCAATGAAATTTGCGATCAGCAGTTTGCGGTCGCCAAATAATGCATAGACGGAAGAGCCGAGTCGTAAATTCCTCCGCACTGAAAAATTCACTCCAGAGAGCTGAAGTAAAAAAAGAAGGGGTTACATGCGTATCGATCGAACGAAAAAGGACGCAGTTTAAAAAAGATGAAGGCTGCAATTTTTGCGTTTATAGACTTTCAGGATAGTGTTATTGTCTAGTTTCTTGGACGATGGAGATGCTGGAAAAGGGCCGCATCGTCAATAATCAATGAAGCGCAGAGAGAGGAGAGCGAGCGAGCGAGCGCGGCCAAATCAAATTTGCGGGGCGCGCGTGCGGCCGAGAGGGAGGGTGGAGAGGCTCTTCATTGATTTTCTGGAAGATCGACCTGCGCAGTGGCGGTCGGTGGCGGCGGCCGCGGCAGCCGAGGCCGCAGTAGAGCGAGAGCAGTGGCCGAGCAGAGAAGCAGCTGCAGCAGTTCGCGGCCTGAGCAGGCAGGCCAACAGCAGGAGGGCCACCATGGGCACCGTGCTGAGCTTCAGTCCGCGCGAGCAGCGGCGGCCGCCGTACTCGGAGTTCACGTTGAACAACTTCAGCTACGAGCAGCTGAACAACGTCAAGAACAACAAGCAGCTGGATAACGCCAACAGCAACAACCAGGACATCATCTCTGAGAAGAACGCCCTGGAGAAGAACAACTTCAAGAAGCACTCATTGTTCATCAACGCGCTGAGTTGGAAGCGCTTCTCGACGGCCGCCTCCACCAAGAAGAAGCAGCAGCTGGACAACAAGAACAACCTGAAGGCGGCGGCCGCCTACAAGCCGCCGCTGCTCGTCGACAACAACAAGAACATCCACAAGGCGATCGCCTGCTACTACCCCAAGGACAACCTCAACGCGACCAACAACAATGCCGAGAAACTCGTGTCCAAGCCGACGCTGCCGGCGCCGCCGTCGGCGCCCCCGGCCGTCGTCCTGGTGCCCGCCTCGGCCCAGCAGAGGCCGCAGTCGGTGCCCATCGCGCCCGGCGCCCCCCGCAAGACGGTCATCCAGGCGTCCACCTCGGAGCTGCTCAAGTGCTTGGGCCTCTATTTGCACTGCAAGTGCCGCAAGCTCAAGGACTTCCAGGCGGGCGACGCCGTCATGTGGTTAAGGACTGTTGACCGGAGCCTGCTTCTTCAGGGTTGGCAGGTAATTATTAGAAAAAAATAAAATATTCTCAACCCCAAAATTTAAACCATGATTAAGTAGCGATTATGGCCTCTCTAATTCAATCAGGTTCAATCGGTCCATATGTTTGAAATGTTAAAAGCATAAACTAATAATTTTTTTAGATAGCATAACTTTTAGTTGCAAATTTTTAAACTTTTAACATTTTTTCGTTCATATAAAAGAAAAATAGGAACACAAAAATAATATTAGGTATACCCGAAGAAAAAAATTCAGTACATGTGCCGGAACGACTAATGACCCCTGCAGTTTGGCCAGCGGTGACCCAAATTGCTGGTGGGAAATAAGCAGATCAATCTTATGCTTGCAAAGCCGGCAGGGACAAAACCGAGCAGCACGGGTTGCATAACTAGCAGCTTTCCACGGTCCAGAAGCCTTTTAACACAGTTCTTCCCTTGAATTTAGCCAATTAGTTGAGAGAAGTGGTGGTTTGTTTTCGTTATTAGTTTACATTTTTTTCGGTTGCTCCTAAACTCAAATTAAATTTTAATATAAATATGCAGTTACAATTGAAAAAAGACTCTTTTGAGGAATTAATGGCCACTTGGTTAAGTAAAATATTTTTATTTACACAATAAACAAAATAACTGTTTTGGTTCAGCTTCAGTTAAAACTTTAAAATTTTGCTTTAAAAAAAATCTCCTAAAATTTACGGTTATATTATTTTTTTTTTCGACTTTTTCCCTCCTTCTGTTTTACTTCTCCCTCGAGTCAATGAAACCATCAGCAAAAGCGTGTTGTAAATGTGTCTCGCTCAGCACCCCCTCGCAATTTCCAAGATGAGCGTCTCTCTCTGTACATCTTATCATCGGCCATCTTTTCCGCACATTTCTCTTCTTTCTCAAGCAAGTGTCTTTCTTTCCTCCCCAATTCAGCGTTCTTTTCCTGCAGTGCCAGATGAATTCTGCGCACAGCATCTCTCAGTGCCGCAGACGAGTCGCGGTTTTGTCGTCGGCAGCCACCCCTCTATAGCACACTTCTTGTGTTCATTTAACTTCTGTATATGTTCGTCTTGAAAACAAACAAAACGCGATATGATGTTATTGCCCCCACTTGGAAATTCATGTCACTGCGCATCTGCTGCGCCGAACAAAACGCGATCGTTTCGATACTATACAAACAACAAAAAAATATCTAAATAACATACATATGCTTGGGTTATTCTTATGTGTGCCAATGATGGGGAGTAAAATTGCTTAATCAGCTGAAAATAATTATTTCGTTAGGCTAAAAGAATAAACAAAATTATAAAATTATTTTTTAGCGCAGCGTAATATTATAAATTTTAAATAATAAAAAGCTTTTTGAGCATCAAATTGAGAAATTAAAAAAAATATATATATTAATCATTTTGAGAAGAAAAAATGTTAAAATATTTGATAACCATCACACTTAGGGCAAATTTCGAATTTCTTAAACAAACACACTGCTCGCTGACTAATGCAAAAGACTGAGTAGTTCTGCATTAGTAAACCAGTTGTGCATTTTTAAATAGTATTTCCACAAACAAATATTTTCATGTAGTGATAGTCCACGTCAATTTAAAACATTAATTTGTACGCAAGTAAATTATTTATTATACTAAATTCAATTTTAATCCCAGGATTATGAGTCACATTACTCACATTAATATGGAACTATAAATTCACTTTGTTTGCTACTCAATAAAAATTACCATTTGACGGCTATAATGCCATGGGGTATTTTATATTTTCCAATGACTATGAATCATTTTCAGAAACATTTATAATGTTGGTTCATATGCGTCAATTCATAAACACAGACCTAAAGTCACAAGTCATTTTTAAAAGATATTTATCAAACAAGATATCTGTTTTAGAAAATTGAACCATTGTTTTAATTGTTCATTTTCACAATTTAGCATAATTTTTTGAATTCCATCTAATTTATCTAATTTTATTAATTAAATTTTTATTTATATATTTATTGAAAAAAAAATATGCGGAAATTAAATTTTTTTAATGATAGAAGGGTATAAATAATAAACTTTTTTCTGCTAATAATTTTTTATTTTATAAATAAAAAAAGCATATTGAAACAAGAACATATGTCATCAAAATTTTATCACAAAAATTATGTAACTTTAGACACGCGCAAAAGTAAATAAATGAGATTTTTTTCAAATTAATTATTAATTCACCGTACGCACGCCGTTAGGGAGATTCATTGCCTAATTAGAGCAGAATTATGCATGGCTCGCCCGGTGCTACGGCTCAATTTCACACCACAATGGGCGCCGCATTATTCGACAGCACGTGCTCCGCGGCAAATTTGCACACGCGGAAGATTTGCCGATAAATTTTTCATCCGGCAAGAGAAGAACTGCTCTCGGCTTAAAAGATAAGATCTTTGCTTCTGTTCGCACCGTGAGCCTTTAAAAATTTATTTGCTCGAAGGGGACGCAGCGTGCCGAGATGAGCGCGTCAATAAAATGCAGGGGGGGTTGCGAGAGATCGATATGTTTACTAAGACATTTATCTCCCCTAGCGCGTTTGCTTCTTTCTTACGGTGATTAATTAAATAATTCATAGCGAAAAAAAGAAACAGATTTGGACACTTTTGATCTACCAACGTCCATTAGCCTGATTCCGGATGAAAACCAGGGCGGAACCTTGACTCGTTTCGTTTAATTTTATCTGGGTTAGTTAATTAGGCGAGATGGTCCGGCGGAATTAAGTATTTCAGCAACATGTGCACCTTTAATTCGCTAACGGCATGCAAATCAGATTTGAGCGCGTCTGTCTCTCTCTCTCTCTCGTGAGGGAGGTCGCTGTGCAATCGTGCTGATTAAATTATTGTTCGGCGCAACGAGCACTTTTCGAGCTGCAGAAAAACTCAACTGCCCGCGGATAGCAACAGAGGGTAATTAAATTAATTGCGACCTTTGTCTCGGATTAGAAATCATCAAGGCTGTTGTGTGTTGGCTAATCTTTGATGTGTTTGTTTTGGTCTTTAATTTAATTACGTTTCTTACATGAATTAAATTGATTTCCACATGAATTGAATTAATATTTTTAACGATTCCAAAGGAGAAAATCTGATGTCTATAAATAATTCAACTAAAGTAAGTCAAGTTTAATAAATTTTATTCAATGAGAGATCAAATTTTTTAACACCTACTCTGGTGAATTTAGTTCAAATTTTTTTTACACTTGTAAATTTTGAAAGCTGGGACAATATAAAGCATCACTTTACTAGATTAGGGAAAACCCTACTTCAAAAATATTTTTAAACTATTACAAAAAAAATTCATTTTTTGAAAAGAAATTTATTTAGGATAATAGATTTTTAGGCAAGCAATACTTTTTCAATCATATTTTCTTCAACCAAATTCGACAATAATGAGAGCACTGACTTCTCTCCTTTCTCGAAACTTCTAAGTTCAATTCACATAATATTTTTATTTTGCGCTGATATTAAAAAAAAAACTGGCGATTTTCTATTTAATCTCCCGCTATTTTTTTTATAATTCACTGACTTGTATTTTGTTTGTGTACAATTTTCTAAATATTTTTGTTTTCGTTGTTTTTCAATCAGTACAATCACAATGCTTAAGCGTTTATTTTCAATAATTAAATTATAATTGAAATTAAATCAATCTTTTTGCTTGTAATTACCTTTTTTATCAATATTAATTTATTATTGGCTTTATTTTGCTCTATATCACGAATTTTTGCATTTGCACAACCAACAAGTTTGCAAAGGTTACTTGAAGGCTATAGGTGTGTCACTATTTATGGAAAAACACGCCTCTCGCGGGTCGCGTGCCACCGTTTGTCTCTCTGTTTCTTTCATTCTCATTTGCGAATCGTGCGTGAAGCCCTTTAGCTCTCCGATGAGGTCGAAAGCACGTGCCCGCCAAATGATAAAAGAGAGTCTGGAATCAAAGGATGTGTGTGAGCGAGCGAGCCTCGTCACTTGACGGGGTGCCCAAGCACCCTCCCAAAGCTTGCATTTCACATTTTGCAAACATATACAACACACACATAAAGAAGAGCTGGTCGTTTGCAGTCGGTACGTCACTTGTCAGGCAAAAACGTGAGCGAGAGCAAAAAAAAAAAAAAAAAAAAAAAAAAACGGAATTAAAACCAAGATTATAAGAGGGTCTATTTCTGTTTTCCGCTTCTTTTATTTCGTAACAACTGACGGGCACGGAAAAATTTCTAGAAAGAATCCTCTCGGATGTCACTTTGTTGCAAATGGAAACTTGGAAATTTCCACTAAGCAAATAAGAAATATATTCCGCGAACACTGTGTCCTTGGTGTCGCTTTTTATCTTGTGACGCAAGTTACTCTACTGCGGAGTAGAATTTTGTTTTAAAATCGCATCTCAATCTCATTCAATATTTTTATTTTAAGATCATTGATTCTTTGTTTTAGTTTAAATTTATGTATGTATTTGAAAATTTCTTTGCTTTGAATTTATATTAATGACCTTTTAATGTTTCAAACTTCAAGATTAAATAAAGGATTTGCAAGGTTCTTATTATGTTATTTATAAACATAATGTCCTGTTGATGGTTTTGGCTTATTTTTTTATACAATTTTCCGCTATTTTCATAATCTTTGCTATTGTTTTGGTGAAGATTAAATGAAGTTTTGGACTATAAGTTATAAATATCTTGTAACATTTTTTTAAAAATAGCACAAAAATACACGATTTAAATTTTAAAAAAGAATCAAACTTTAAAAGAATATAAATATTTTAATAATATATGCAACAAAAATAAAAAATAATTTTTAATTTACATTTTACAAATTCTAGGTAAGTTTTTTAATTTATTTTTATAAAATAGTTTTTTCTAATTATTGCTTAATCAGATGCAAATAATTTACGTCAGAGGACAAAACATAAGGGGGGGGGGGGTTGAAAGAAATGGTTTAATTCAATTTAGTCTAAATTTAAATAAATATTTGATACTATTTGTGGAATTTGAGTTAATTTTTTTTAACAAAATATAATACACCTTCCTAAAAATATAAATAAAATCCTTTGACCGCAGAGCTCAGATTTGTCTGCCAATTTTTTTTGTGTGGCATTCTTTTGACGTCTGCAACTCTATTCAAACCCTTTCCGCCATAAAATTTTCTCGCCTGAGGGCACTTTTTCCAAAAGCGTCCCTACCACACTCGGCTCATGAGACGAACAAATTTTCCACTCTAAAGTTTCGCCAACAAAAAGAGCACATGCATGACCGTGGCATATAAAATGTGTAAAAAAAGATACCATTGCGCTGAACCCGAGGGATTTTCTTCTTCTTGTTTCTCGGGGTGAGAAAACAAATGGGCCGGAGAAAATAAAGGATGAAATAGGAGATCTCGGAGAGATGAAATTATTGCCGAGGTGGTGCTGCGAGGATTCGTTAAAATTAAGAGAGTAAAAAAAAAACAAGGGTGGCGCCAGAGGGTTGCATTTTTTCCGTGTTCGAGTGCAGCTATTTAGAAATTTTGCGTAAGCTGCGTGTGTTGTGCCTCGCGCGAGGAGAGACGCGCGGCGGGGGTTTGCTGCTCCTGCAAAGTGGACTCACCCGCCGGGTCTCGGTGCTATCGATCGGGGAGTGTTGCAGAGGAGGCAGGCGCACTCGCGCGCCCCACGAATTCATTGAGTTTTCCTTCTTCCACACAAAATGCAAGCTTGTGACGTAAATTACACTCGAATCGCAGGAAATTACACGGCAGCTCGATTCGACGGCACTGCGCCAAATCAATTTCGCTTTTGGAATTTGCTCTCGTAGCGAAACTGATAAAGATCCCAAAAATATGCATAACGAGACGCGTATCGTTGCCGTTCTGATTGCGACAAAGAGAAACACACGGCACGCTGCTCTTTAATGAAAAACAAGGCATATCGATTTCCAGCCTGGTACAAAGGAAAGCACGAATCCGTTTTCGTTTTCAGGGAAAATTATTATGGATTAATTACTGGGTCAGTTTTTTGTGGTTTACAGAAGAAATTAATTTTGATGATTAGTTATTGAAATATTGTAATATTTGTAAAATTCTAAATATTCTCACTTATTTGTATGCTCTTTATTATTGAATTAATATTTTATATCTCATTAAATAACAAACAAAATCAATTGAAAGATTAAAAGCAAAAATTTACAGAGCAAAGAAAAAGTATTTAGTGCCAAAAAATATTATATCGTCGGCTACGCGGCCAAATGGCCGATCTGGTAATTACCCCTGTGGGGAAAATGGCTAGTAGCCACTTTCCCCGTTGGGGAAAATGGCAGATGAGCATTTCCGGACAAATTTTTTTTATTGTTCCAATGCATTCAGTGTAAAAATCTGCATCAGAAATAACCATACAAGTATCAACTTTCTCGGTAGATGTCTCACTATCGCGAGTTCAGGGAGCAAAAGTAAGGCAGTGCCACGCCCCCTTACAGGCAAGCAGGCAGCATTCCCGCTTGCTGAATAATGCCAAAATTGTTTTAAATGCAATAAATGTTAAAAATAATGAAAATATCGAAAATGTAAAAAATAAAAAAATAAAATTTTAATAAATTTAATAAAATACCTAACATTAAGTAAGAAGTAAAATATCAGAATAAGCTGTAGTTTCGTCAATATTGTATTCCAAAGTGACAGCTTTTTCATGCATTTTGCGTGATAATGCAAATAATTCTTTAAAATAGATATAATTTTAAAATTAAATAAATAGTAAAATATAGATTTTTTTATTAAAATATTTGACATGCAACCAGAAGCTTTAAGTTGTATCCGAGCTAGATTTTACTTTACTAATTATTGCAATTCATAGTAAATATCAGTAAAACTATTCATGAGATTATAACTAGAAGTGACGCCGGGTCATGTGAAATAAAAAAAATGCTTTTAATGCCAAAATTGTTTACTATTGTGCAAATAAAAGAATAAAATTTAAATTAATTTAAATAAAATAAAATAATAAAAATTTAATAAAAAAAGATGAATTAAAATAAAATTATATTATAAAATATTATTTTTAAGTTAAATTGAACAAAGAAAAGGAGGAAATAATCGCATAAGTGGTTTAATTTCGATTGTATTGCACGTTTTACTCTTTCAGTGTGGAGTTACGTCCCTTTAAATTTCTTACAACAGTTGTATATTAAGGCTTAAAAGAAAATTAAGTCTACCAAATTATCTGCAATAACATGCTGAACTTTGGTTCAAATTTTGAAATCTGAACATTGAAAATTGGAGCAGATAATCAGTTTTTTGCTTCTCCTGTAAAATTTGAAAAAAGGCCCATCTGCCATTTTCCCCAACGGGGAAAGTGGCCACTAGCCATTTTCCCCACAGGGGTAATTACCAGATCGGCCATTTGGCCGCGTAGCCGACGATATAATAAAATGTAAAAAAAAAAAAATAATATAATATATCAAGTCTCTGAATATTTTATAATAAAGAAGCTCTAAATGTACTTCAATGAGTTTCTGAAACTTTAAATCAACGATTTCGAAATTTACGTAGGACAGCATACAAATTGGAAATCGATTGCAATGTCAAGGGTATTCTACGTTCGACCGAACGGATGTCACGTTGCACACAAAATACGCGTGCAATCTGCCCGAGAGTGGCGCATTATTTGTTTCTATTGACAGGTCGCAGGTGCGGAGAAACACAAAGGCCTGGAAATCCTTGAAAGTGATGATGCACTCTGTGTGTGTGTGCAATTATTTGACGCAACTCGGCCACTCGTTGTTCCGATTGCATTACAATACACCCCTCGCTGCTGGTCACGTGAAACGGAAATAATAACATTTGCGTGAGCGCCTCAAAAAAGTGCAGCAACCACGCAGCTAACCACCAAGTACAATACACGGTTGTTGAGATTAAACGGAATTATTGCAGTGAAGCATGAAACTCTAACATTTATTCCGTCGATTTTTGTACCAGAAAGGTCATGCAAACACCGTTCGATATGTATATTTTTTCTTTTTAGGTAATATACGTGCTACACAGAAATGTGAGAGAGTTTGAATTTGAGGCATGTTTCGGGTGGCAAACATGTAACAGCGCTTTTCGGAAGCGCACTTTGAGTAATAGACCACGGTGGAAGATGATGAAGTTTGTAATGAGGATGGCAGGACGTGCCTGCTCACCCTAGCACAGGAAACAAATTGGCGTCGCTAGAGAGCGTAATGAGAGAGTTTCGCCACGATGCATGCAAGAGACACATCAGCGAAATTGCAAAATGGAGAATAAAAGTTTTCAAGGGCAATTAAAAGTTTGCAAATGCGTCTGCGTTTTGAAAAGTGCCATAATTTTGAAAAAGCAAAGGATAAAAAGAAAGTCACGACGTTATAAATTCAAATTTAGATAAGAGTTTAAAAATTACTATGCAAACAGAAAACAAAAATTTAAATGGAAAATTTCAAGAAATTAATTAATAATTTCTGATAGAATGCCTCGTTTTTATTGAAAAAGCACCTTATTATTTCTCTGCATAATTGAATCAAAGCTCAAATATTGAGCTAAATAGAGTGAAATTTGAAACAATCGTCAGCACAAATACTCCGTCAAAGAAAGATACTCCTGAAAAAATTGTTTATACAAATTTAAAGTTTTTAAGGTTCAAGAAGTAATTTTAATTTTTAACTACATAAAAGGTAATAACAAATTGATCATGCTTAGGCATGGCCATGCAAAAAAACTCTTGCTTTCCAGCGCCAGTTCTGACAGGAGCATTTTCCCAGTATACAAGGAAACTTAGAGAGGGGTTAAAATGTCTGTGGTCTGTAATTATTTTTAGACATATTTGAGGGTGCAATGCTTCTTTACAAAAGACAAAAATTCAATATGAAGTATGATTCTCATTATTTTAATTTCCAATAAAACCGAGAGATAAAATTGAACTGGATTGAAATGTTTTGACGGCCCAAAAGACACTAATTAATGGCATCTAATTCCTATATAAAAATTGTATTTCTAAATTTGACATTTCTTTGTTTTCGCAGGACGTGGCCTTCATCAATCCGGCCAACATCGTGTTTGTGTACATGCTGGTGCGCGACCTGGTGCATGAGGACGTCGAGTCTGAGCAGGAGCTGCAGGCGGTGGTGCTGACCTGCCTGTACCTGTCGTACTCGTACATGGGCAACGAGATCTCGTACCCGCTCAAACCCTTCCTGGTGGAGGACAGCAAGGAACGCTTCTGGGATCGGTGTCTGCACATCGTGTCGCGACTTTCGCGCAGCATGTTGCGCATCAACGCCGAGCCAGGATTCTTCACCGAGATCTTCACCGAGCTGAAGGCGTGCGGCACGCGCCACCTGCAGCAGCAGCACCAACAGATGCAGCACCAGTTTCAGCAGCTGCAGCTGGCCGCCGGCGTCGTCACCAACAAGGGTGGCAGCAAGTCGACGCCGAGCACGCCCATGTCGCCGACGTGCGCGGCCGTTGCGCTGCCATCGGCCTGACGCGCGCTCAGCCCAGCCTCTTCCGTCCCAACCGCCGCCGTCTGCCAGGTCCACCACCAACTGCAGAGAACGTCGATCAGCCTGCTGCCAGGGGTGCACCAGTTGCGCAGGCAGTACATCACCACCGTGTGACCCCACGACCTGCACCCGCTCAGGGTCACGGCCGTGTAGCTGCCGCAAAAGAAAGAAGTGGAAAGGGATGAGGAGAGAGACCGGGCTGACCAGAGAAAGACTGCAGTTCGTTTTTTGTGCGCTGGTACCAACGTCCCGCGAAAGTGCGCGGGGCGTCCCAGTCGGAAAATACTCTAGACAGACAAAACAGTCGTTGTTGTTGAAAGGAGCCGGGATAGGACTGATCTTTAGTGAGGGGTGCTGAAAGGGTGGTTTTTATTCATTCCAAAGTGAAAAGCAGAAGTTTAGTCGGGAGACGATTCGCAGCTGAAAGGCCTGGTTTGAATTTAAAAAATTTGGCTTCTCAAGTAGTCTGGCAGAAAAAGGCGCTCGAGAAAGCTTTTCTGTGATATAAATTATTATTTTTCTTAGTTTAAAGTACGAAGCAAGTTGATGGAATTGCTTTTATCATATAAGAAGCGCTATTATTATTACCAAGTTGATTGAAGTGTCACTTTGATGCCATAATTCATGGTAGATGGCTGTTATTAATTTGCGTGACATAGATTAGATTTATACAAGGATTTCATGCTAACAATAAAAGCCACCTTACAACTTTCCCACCTATAGCAGAATTGAGCAGGATTATTCCAAGTCTGTTAGACACGCTTTTGAAAAAATCTTGGAAACAGTTTTTATAGTTTTGCTCTCATTTGCAAAAAGAGTGCAGATTTTATTTTTAAAATTTCTGAAATTTTAAAATAGAACTGATAATTTTACAATTCTGCGTAGTACCTACAAATTAAATGACTCAAGGAGATGATAAAAATTAAAAATTTTTTTTTTTGCTTCAAAACTTTTTGCCATAGAAATTTTCTTTTCCCACAAGTAGAGGGTGTGCATCTCTGTGGCTCTGTGCGCGAGATGAGAGAGAACCGCACTGCGCAGGGATTCTGCAAACGAGGCCCTTCAGTCTGCGAATCGCGATTTCGCAAAAATCGATAGCCAAGTGCCCACTTGCATGTAAAAAATAACGTGTCTCTCCGATGCTGTAAAAAGTTAATAAGGAGCCGTATTCGCGCCCAGAGTTATTGTTGCTTGGAACTCTAATCAGTATTGGTTGGAAGGCAGACGGCAGCAGATTTTTAATTGTTATACCATTTCGAGAGTGTGAAGTGTGAAAGATTAAAAAAAAGACAGCGGGGAGCACAAGAAGATGAAAGTGTCGCGCCTTCGGTGTCTCTTGTTCGTGTGCATTTTAGGGCATCTCTTGGTAGACGCAGACACATTCACAGGCTCAGTCAGTACTTTTCATCCAATAATATGATGTACATAGCATAGTATACACTCGAAAAAAAAATGATACCGACCATGATCATGATATTTTTCATTTTCGTGCGAAATTTACTAATTATAGCCTTGCATTTTTGTAAACTTGGTTGATTTCCTTTCCGCCGGCTGAGTTTTTCATTTTAAAAAAGACGTACGGCTGCTCAATTTTTGGAATTTCCACTTTTTCATTATTTCAGTGATATTGATTTTGTACATTAACTATGATATTTATGTAAACACCGATGCATTCCCCACTACGATATTATTATTATTATAACTACAGCTTGTATAAAAACCTGCAATTAGCGTGTAAATGGTTTATTGGTCTGTAAAGTTATGTCGTTTCTTTTGGAACGTTTTCTCTCCACTTGTCCTCGAGATTCGTGGATTAGGCAGCTCACACCAAAGATTCTCATTCGTGATATATTGTTTCCTCTCTCTCTATATCTATGGAAAAAAATACGATGAGTGAATGGAATTTTTGAAGAAAAAAATTTAATGGAAGTAATTAAGAAAATTTGCGCGTGTGCATGAAAAAGCAAGAGCGTTTACTCGTCTAAAAATTTTACTAAGTAAGATGCAGGAAAGTGATGCACTTTCAGCAGACACAGCACGTCCCACGGTTACATTAATTATAATTAAATAAATTCCAGAGGATAGCGCGTATTGTAGAGATTTATGCTGTTACATAAAGGGTTCGTTGAGAAAAAAAATTAATTGCGGATGAAAGAAATTCACTTCGAGTTGAAAACTCAATTTCATGATGTGTTTGTTGTTGGGGCGTGAGAGGGAAAAATAAGGAGACGAGTGCGTGCAGTTCGCGAGCTATAAAAAGTCCAGCCACACTGCTTTTACAGTCACACACTTTTATTTCGGAGAACTAAGTAACTAGCCCCGGTTTCGGTTGAGGATCGTGTTCCACGCAACGATTTTCTGTGTATTGATTTGTTTGACAGTCGATGAACTTGTGATAGAAAGTCGTAAAAAGCTTGGCCACCGTAAAAACGATGTTTGTTTCCCGTGCTGAAGAAAATACTCAAAATTTATATAGCAGTCCAATTTCGAACACCAATCGAGAGTTTGAGCGAGTGATTTGAGAATATAATTAAAAGAGCACCCTCTGCTCCGGCGGCTCACTCGCGAGGTGAGCCCGCCGCCTGCAGAGGACGACTTTTTAGAAAAAACGGAATGAGAGAAAAAAAAATATGTTTTCGGTTATTTGAAGAGAGTTTACGTGTGTAAAAAGAAGAAATTAACGGTGTAAAATTCGAAATGAAAAATTGTGGCACGGAAAGAGTTCGCTAGTAACATGTAAAAAATGTCGATAAAAGTGAAAAGTTTCGAGACGACGATCACCAAAAGTAAAGAGCGTGTACAAGGTACAAATACTGTTTTGTAAATTGCTGTTGGAAAAGCAAACTATTATAAATATATTTTGGGCACACTCACACGACTAGCTTGTATTGTAAAGAGTATTTGAGCGAACGCAAAAATAAATAATTCATTTGTGAAATTAAGAACAATTGTAATTTTCTCGGAGACCAAATCGCTATGAAGACGAGTGTGAATAATTGAGATCGATCTGCTTTTGCTTGTCGCTATGTTTTCCGTTCTTCTTTTCCGGTTTTCTACCCTCCATTGTGAACGAGAGTGTATATGTGCAAAGGTGCAAATTAATAAAGAATACCCTTGATATTAGAATATATAAATGCCAAATTTTCTTTATATTGATCCACTCGACATTTTCACCTGTAAAGGTCAACGAGCAAGACCAAAGCAACCGTATCGTAAGTGCGCGACCCCGTGTCCTCATTTTCCGTCACAATTATTAGAAATCGGTCTCGAGGCTCATCAGCTAAAACTCTCGCGTGTGCGTTTTGTACGATTATGACCCTGAAAGTTTAGGGTGGCGCGGAAGGGAGGCGCAATTCCGGCTTTTCTGTTCATTCTCGACACTCAATGCACACAAGGTGAGGCAAATCGTTGGGCGACTGCGTCAGCATTACGTATGGAGAGAGGAAGGGGTCAAGATTTGTGCCGAAAGAGCGACGACTCAACACGAAGCCCCTGATACCATCGAAGTGAGCAACCAGTGCTGCCGCGCGACAGAGCCAGTTGCATACTCACTCACGTTTCAGGGGCCGCTCGTCAGTTCGCAGCACTGCATACTATTCAATTCTAAACAGCAAACTGCAACCATTTTGAATGAATTGGTTTTCGTCAACTACTCGAATTTCTGAATTAAATTTTTTTAATTACGTTTATGATATAATGAAAAAGTCTGAACAAAATAATTTACACAATGCTATATAAAAAATTTGAAAACAATGAATTTTTCTGAATTTTTCAATTTTCAATTTTTTTTAGCATCAAAATTCCAAACCATCCAGAGGGTTTCTAATAGAGGTGAAAACTGATAGAATAGATCATTTTGTCAGTATCGTTGAATGTGTGTACATATTTTATTTTATGAACGAATGTGTATGATTGTATGTTTAATTAACAGTTTTTTTTGGCAAGTTGGTACACGTATATTGAGTTGCGAATCGGCCACGCCCCTATTCTTCTTGAGCATGCCGATTGTTGCTGTTGCTGTTGTCAAAAAATTGCCGGTTGACGTACTTGACGTGTGTTTTTGAATTAAAAAACTGAGTTTTGCGGTTGAACTCTGCAATTAGATTTCCCTTGACGTTTCAGCTTTACAAGCAAGGTAAATATAAACGCGTAATTCAAGTCATGCGACTTTTTATTGCATCTAGAAATCGGAGAAAAACCTCAAATTTTTGTTAATTTTTACAGAATGTCCTATCAGAACAAACGTCGTGGTGGTGGTTACCACCAGAAACAAGGAGGAAATAGATTTTACGGAGGTCCGTCCCGGAGGGCGCACCTAGAGGTTGGACAGCGAGGCTTTCTCTGCACTTGCAACAACTACGAGAAGGAGTGCACCAAAGAGGCCATGAATCTGCTCAACGAATATGCTGACAAACTATTTGGACAGGAGGATTGGCGCCAAAATGCATCTGTACAGGAGGTTAATTAAACTAAACTTTTAAATCAACTAAAAAAATATATAAATTGGAAAAAAACATAATTTTTTTTAATAATAATGTTCAATGATTTTAGACTCCGACAGTTGAAGGAGTTGAGGCTCAGAAAGAGGAGGTTGAAGAAGAGGATGAGGAGGACATCAGCAAAACCCTGAAAAAGGAAATAGATGAATTGAAACAAGAATCGAGAAAGCCAGTTTCTCAACAGAGATTCCGAGCAGTTGACTCCGGTGCTAAGAATCTGATCTTCATTAGCTCCAATGTATACAAAGATATTTTTATTCTTACTATATTTTAACAATATTTTATAAAACTCAGGTGCCTGACCCTGTTCTACTTGCACACACCCTTCTGACTGACCTGAAGACCTCTGGCATTGGCCGAAGTCGATTCCTGCAGAGACTTCTGCCCGTCCAAGTCACTTGCAAAGCAAACCTTGATGACATTTCCAAAGCAGCCAGCCCCTTATTTGACAAATACTTTGCTGAGGGAAACAAAACCTTCTCCATCATCTACAAGTATATCATTTAAAATTTTTACATCGGAAAAATATCTAAACTTAAATTATTTTTAGGTGCAGAAACAATTCAGCAATGACTCGAGACCCAGTGATTGAAACTCTGGCCAACTTGGTCAGCCTGAAAAATGCCTCCAACCATGCAAACCTCAGCCAGCCACAATTAGTAGTGCTCGTCGAGATCATTCGTGGCTTGTGCTGCATCTCTGTACTGCCAGAGTACTTGGAACTGGCAAAATACAACCTGCTGGAAGTAGTGGCTCCACCAAAGACGGACAAAAAAGGTGTGATTAATATTAATTAAAAATGTCTTGGTATGGAATATTTTTGCAAAACAAATTTTATTTTTTCTTCAAAAGAAAAAACAAAACAACAATTCAAATTTGAAATCTTTTAATAGATATTTTAAATAATTTCAATTGTTTCAAGTAATAAAGCATGAATGGATTGTAATACTTCACTTGTTTACAGAAAATCCGGCAGATGGAGCTGGAGGTTCCATTGACGAGCCTGAGGAAGAAACTGCAAAGGAATCTTCTCCTCAGGTTGACGATGTGAGTCCCGCCAAACAGGCTAAAGAAACGTGATACAAGGTAGAGACCCCACTTCCCTAACTTCCTCCTCTGTTTTTTCTTTTCCTTTTTTTTGCGGCAAAATGAAGGAACCAAAAATGCTGTGCAAAATATAATAAAAAAATATTTTGATATTGGGTCACAAATTAGAATTTTTCTGTATAAAAAACTTCAATGATTTATTAATCTTAACCAGGGCAGAAAATGCGCTTTGTATAAACCTGAAAATTATTTATTTCACATAGTGAATAGAAAAGACAATAAAACTAGGGACAGGTGTAGCTGAAGGCAAATAATAGATTACCAGCCCAATTTTACTTGGAAATGCTTTTTGCGACTCTCCAACCACTTAATTGACCAGCATTTTGCAAAATAAAATATCTTGGCGCACTAATGACACCGCCGACCTTGAGACTCAACGACTCCTCTTCCTAAAAAACTTGCACCTCTGGGCAGTCAGAGATGACCATTTCTGAATTACAAGCTGGGTGTGGTCCTTTCTTGAAAATAACTTCCCAGCCGGCTTTATTTTAAGAGAGTTTGCTTTAAAATGTTCTATAATTCCTCGGCTGATTGTGAGTGGCAATAAATAATTTTCGGCATTGCAGATGCATAAATATTTGAGGAAATGGAAGGCTTAAAATCTTTAGAAGCTTCTCTTACCTCATGAAAAAGAACTTCTAGAGTTCTAGATAAGCAATAGGACTGAATTTGATCATTATTTCCTTTTTTCACTCTCATTCACTCTCTTCATTTTATCTAAAGAAATTTCATGAATAAAATATAAAATAATAATTATTTTTTCCTCTATGTGATAAAAATATAATTTCTAATATTTTGGACTTTTAAAGACAGAAGAAATTTTGCTAATTATACTTTCTATTTCAATTATTATCTTAAGTGAAATCTTGAAAGTAATAAAAAATAAATTTTAAATAAAAAGTCGCCTGCCAGTAGAGTGACTTATGCATCCCGCTCAACAGGCCTATGTGCCCGGTTGCATAACCAATCAAATTCAAAGGAGTTTGGCAATAATAAAAGTGGTAAAAATTTCAGATGAGAGTCACAAATAAATTTATTAAATTAAACAGTCTGCATCGCTCTAGGTGGCATTTGAGCGGAAAATGTTTGGATGGAAGTGAAATTAGTAGGCGATCTTGTAGCCGTGCTGCTCGACGGGCTCGGTGGCGTAAGAGACCTTGTATCCGCTGGTGTAGGCCACGGGGGCGGGGATGGCGGCGGCAGAGTAGGCCAGGGGGGCGGCAGCAGAGTAGGCGACGGGGGCGGCGATGGGAGCAGAGTAGGCGTAGGGGGCGGCGAGGTTGGCGGAGTAGGCCAGAGGGTGAGCGGCGTAGCCGGCGTAGGCGCCAGCGTAGGGGTAGGGGAGGATGTTTCCGGCGGCGGCGACGGCCAGGACGGCGGCGAGAACAAACTGAAAATTCAGACAATTTTAATTAGTAAATTAAATAAATATTAATTGAGAATATAAGATTTGATAATGTTTAAAAAATACAATTTGAAATTTGAATAATTTTGAATGGTACTCACGAGCTTGTACATGGTTGCTGAGTGCTGATTACTTGCGAGTGAAGTGATACCAGACCTGGGCCTGGCGAGGGTTTTATACCGCGGCGGGGCAGGCCCCTCCCAAGGCATTCCGCCTCCCTTTCTCACGCGCGCCTCGCGTTTTTCGCCGCACATAGGATGTGCCTGTGTAACTCGCCTTAATTTTGCCGCTCAAATCACCCCTGGCCAAATTGCATTATCCAAGTGAATCCAAGTGATGGCACAAAAAATGGCACATAATTGTCGGTTGGACACAGAAAGCCCGGCCCGCGTATGGTCAGTCGCGAATAATCAAGGTGAAAAGGATCCTTTCTGTGCTCTTGAAAACATAAAAACGGCAGCAAAGCAGTTTGAATGAGAGACAAGTCATTTGCGTAGATATGTTCCTACTTTTTTAATTGTAATTAATTGCGAGTTTGTTTTTAGGCTACGCTACAATTAATAATCAATTAGCGCATGAGAAATATTTTTTATAGTTCATAAACTGTTCATTATATTAATTTGCTTAAAATAATTATTATGTTAAACAGTATTTTCTGCAATATTTAAATTAATATTTGGTATTTTTTTTACCCGAAAAGATATTTTGAAAAAATTAAATTACTTTCTTTTTAAAAAATTTATCATAGACTTTTCCAAGGCGTTCAAATATTCGGTTGCGGAAATCACGAGCAGAATGAAAGTGAAACTTGACTTTTCGTCATTTCTGTCCTTCACACCTGCCACTTGCTCGCCGCTTACTTCATTTCTATTGTCTGCTGCATCGGTTCTTTTGTCGTCTGCTCCTGGTGTCGTTTTTCTCTAAATCCGGCCCTAAACGAAATGTGTATCAAATTTCGTACAGTTCCTCAAGCTGACCTGGCGAATCTTGAACCCACGTTCACCTTGGAAGTGGCCGTATAAAAATTGACTCATACGTTCCCAACCTCTAAAAATAGAACTTATTGTTTAAAAATTTACTTTAAAAATAAAATAATCCACTTTTTTATTAAATCATTTATTTGGAAATGTGAATAAAATAATTCATATTTATCATATTAATTTATTAATAATTGTCTCTTATTTTTATTATTGACTTTGTTGATGAAGATAAAAATTTCACACATAATTAAATTGTGGGTGGGGCCGCAGTGTCTTCATTGACGGTGGTTGTAATCCGGCATTGGACATCCGTAATACAACTCACTCGCGCGTTTATCTTTCTGCGGTGTGCGCGTGAATCAGTAAGTCGGGTTAAGTTCGTTGGGTAAGCGATGACGCGTTCTCGCCACACGACCCATCGAATCAAATATCGACCGCTTTTTGCTCTTCAAATTAAATTTATATAAATTTATTGTGAAAAGAAGAAGGGACTAGTTGGCGACGGATGCCCTTTAATGTGGTCGCGCGCGGCAATTGCGCAGCGTGGGTGGTGGGTGGGTCATTTGGCAACGAGTCAAATCGCGACTGTCAACTGCAACCGATCCGGTTTCGCGCAAGTTTTTCGATTGCGGTTTGATTGATGAAATTTTTATCCAGTCGCAGTGCGGTGACAAAATTTATTCAAAAATTAAATGCATAAAACATCAATCAGAAGTGAAATAATAATAATACTTGAAAAGTCGTAAATAAGAAATAGAATTTTTAATTAAATTTATACCATTGCAGTTAACAGTTTTTAATAACAATTAATTTTTTTATGTGAAAAGTATATTTTATTTTTCAGTTCAAATTTTTAATTTTACATTTTATTCTTAAATTTTTAAAAAAATGTTCAAAATTTTGCAATAAAAATATATAAATTAGTCTTGGTTGTCAAGGGAGTGTGGTTTTGAACAGAATTTAACGTAATTAGCAAAAATGATTACTTCTTGATGCTTCTTTAATAGATCAAACACATTTTTTTTTAATCAATCAAAAATTTCGCGGCGTCCTTTAGACAATTTGTTGCGTCGCGCTGCTTTCTAGTTGAAGGTCTCAAGCTTCTTTATAAATCAACGATACTCGGCCTATAAATAAATGGTAGCAAACAAATCAGGCGAGAAAAAAATGCTGGCCTTAATAATCGTAAAGTGAGACACGAAGATTAACTCTTTAAATGCAAATTTGACACTTTTATTAGCCTTTTGCGTCTTAAGGAAACAACTTCCCTAAGCAAAGTATACAAGTTGGCCTGAAAAGGTAATACAATTCACGATATTTAGTTTATTTACTATAAGAAAAAACGGTAATAAATTAAATTTCATGACATAAAATAAAAAAAAATACGCAATTATTAAAATATTAGCAGAAACGAGAACTTTTATTATTTAGGGGAGAAATAAAAATAATATTATCTTGATATTTTTTGTAGCTTAGATATTAAATTTTTTCAAAGTTTTTTTTCCTCGCTTTTCCTGTTAGTAGAAAATTATAATTTTTAATGTTTTGAATAGTTGGCAGATATAATTAAATTGTTTGTATATTAATGTAAAAAAATGAAATGCCTTTAAAACGAAAGTTTTCTTTACAAACTAATGTAAATTTTCAAGCTGTTTTTTTATTTTTTTTCTATGCCTTTATTAATCCAAATTTATTATTTTAATCCTGAAAATAAATAAAGTAACCTGGTATAATTTATATTGCTTAATTCTGTTTTTGAAATCTGATTTATTAAAATTAAGCTGTAAAATTAACTTTTTTAAACTTGAACTTAAACGTTTTGCGGTGTGCCGCAGTCGTTTGGTATTGTTATATTGCACAATTTTACGAGAAGCGCAGGCGGCGGGCGGGTGTGGTGCCGTACCCGCAATTTTTCTCTGCTACGCCGCGAGTGCTCATTGTCTAGTCGAGTGTGACCAGCAGCAGCAGCATCCCTGCTGTCGACGCGCGAGATCCAGATTATTGCTACACTGCGCTAGACACACTCTTGTGTGTGTGTGTAAATAAATTGGAGGAGCAGCGGAGCCACACCCAGTGCACCAAGGCCCTCTGTGCAGACCCGATCACCTTGGGCGGAAGGAGCTTTGCAGGAGGAATTCCTGCTGTCCAAGGCTGTTTGTTGCTCTCCAGCTGCCGGACGGTCCTGCCGGGCGCATCCTGAGGGTGGGGTGGGCGCGGCTCTTCTTCTCTGCACTTCCACCGGTCACTCCATCTCGATTGTGTCGATCTCGATGACGCACTCCGGAGGGTTCCCTTCAAGTTTTTTTCTGCCTCGCGGATCTGCTTGCGGAACTTGCTTGGTCCGGCTACTAATGATTTCGCGGAGGAGGAGAAATAGAGCATTGTCTGGTTTCAATAAAAAGGTGTCTTATCGGGGATCTGATTTATATATAGCTGGGAAAAATTTCCAATCTAATTTTATTGTAGATCTGCTTGAGAATATTTTACAGAGGTTATTATTATTTCTGTTTATTTGTCCACAATGCTTTTAATAAATATTTCTCATTCATTTATTAAAGAACAAATTTTTTTGAAAAGAAAGGGAAATTGTAAAAATAGCACAAATACTAGCAAAGATATTGCAAAAACTTCAGAGATCCGCTCTTTAAAATGGAGGTCTTGATAATAATATATTTTACAATAAAAATTCATCACGAATTTTTCAAAATTTGCATGTAAACAATGAATTCTAAACATTTGGACGAATAAACAAGGATAATGAAAATTTGTAGAATTTATTTTTATAATATGCCTATCAATGCAATCCTATTATTAAAAAATTAATCAAAATTTAGATTCTAACTTGCATACAGAAAATTTTGCATAAAACACTTAAAATTTTGAGCATTGGTTGATATTTTTATTCACTATTTTCTTTACTCACATCATTGGCAATTTTACCAACCTGCTTATTTTCATTTACAATTTAACAACAAGGAAAACGTTTTAACAAACAAGCATTAAACAAATCAACAATTTAATTTAATTACTCAGTAAGAGAAGAAATGTGTTTTAGTAATTTATCATGCCCATAACAAACTTACAACAATGAACTTCAACAAGAACTCCATAAAGCGTCCATTAACTCTCAATGCTAAACGTGGATCCACTCACGCGCGCGCTCACCTGCTTTGTTATGTCAGCGGTGAATTCTGTTCAGGAAAAAAAATCGGATTTTTTGCGGCCGAACTAATTTAACGCACGCTATTAAATTAAATTTAATGGGCGTCAAGTTGGACGTGACGTCTCCGAGGAGCCGATCGACTTTCGGGAAATGCTGCTTTTTTTCTTTGTTGGCGGCACGCGGAATGCGAAAATGATTATTTCTCGGCGGGTCCACCCAAGGCCGATCGCGAAAGTGCCGCCGGGAGATCGAGATCAACTACCGTATTGCACTCGGCGACAGGAAAACGCTGAAGAAAGCAACGACGTCAATGACTTTCAATAAATTGGTGATTTTTCGCTCCTGGGCTTTTTGCCGGCCGGTTTATGATTTGAAAATAATTTGCATAATTGCCGCCTGCTTGCCCTTATTAGTGCGTAATGTGCAGATTTGCGATAAGGATCTTCCTGGTTGAAATTAATTTAAATATCTACCTTGCGCCAAAGTTTATAAATTTATTGCTACATTTTAAACGACGCCGGAAGATTGATGAGCAAAAGGCGACGTGTTTGTGTAAATATAAATAAACAGTTGCGGTCGAGCCGGCGAGTCGAATTCACTCTCATTTTCATACAATGCAAACGAAACCAGCTCTACCGGTATCATAAACTCTCGGCGTAATCTGCATACGGAACCAAGAAGTGACATTCCGGCGGTGCGAAGCTGCGAAGAGAGCAAACATTAATGTAATGAGTTTGTTGGTGCAAAAAGGAGGCGGAGAGGTGCTGAGCGTTTATTTACATAACATGGAATGTGCATTTGAATACACGCGTTGACATCGCATTTTTTGAGGATTTTTGTTGTAATAAAATACAAAGATAAAATATTTAACTAATACCATTTTGTTAGTTGGAGATTATTTTAAGATTTTTAAAATTTTTAGACGTTTCAAATCTTTGTTTGAAGTCTGGAAGACATAAAGAAATTCTGGTAGCAAAACTTTTTCACAAAGAAATAATCCCCCCCCCCCCCCCCCCCAAAAAAAACAAAGAAATATAAAAATCTATAATTATTATTAATGTTGTTTATTTGTCCAAAATTTTACATCACATTGTTTACATTCAATTATTGAAAACAATTTATTTGAAAAGAAAGGATGTTGGACAAAACGGCACCATGACTAGCAAGAATTTTGCTAAAACATCCAATATCAAAAAGACCCAAAGAGACAGATAATAAAAATATTTAAATTTTATGTTAATAGTAAAATTGACAGTTTTTTTTTTTTTTTTTTTTATCTTTTCCAAGAATTTTTTTATTATTTTACACTCAAGTAAGCACAAGGAAACAAAATATAAAGAACTAAATCTATGCTTCCTTGCTTTTTGCTTTTATACGCAACAATATTTTTTACACAAATTAAGATCTGCGGTGGACATGAGCAGGGAAAAAAAGAGTCAAGCTTCTGCGGTGAAACTGGAGAAACCGCACGGCTAGAGACGCCGGTTAGAATTTTCCGCGTCGGGATCGAATTCTGCGGTTTCCTTGGCAGTGTGATAATGAATAATTTTCCCGCGAGCTAAACAACAATGACCACCTGCCTCTTCAAAATTAATCAGCACCGAAATAAAAAAAAAAAAATCAGTCCACGCATAACACAAGAGGAGACAAGAGAGAGATTTGTTTGTTGTGCTTGCTTTGTATGATATGAGAGGCGGCGGTCAGGGTCAGGGTCGGTCGTTCGTGAACTTGGCCGAGGCGGATCGGACCTGCTCCATTTCGCATCCGGCTGCTTTTCTTTCTTTCACTACATCTTTGCCTCGAGAAAATTCAATCTAGCCATTGTGCGTGCGACCGGTTTTATGAATTATTTTTTACTTTGTCGACGGCGTTCGCATTTTCGATTCGTCGCATGCCCATTTTTGGCCTTCGCGTAATCAGCGCTTTGATTTGCGGAAAATTTATGGCCGTTTTTAAGCCGTCTTTTTGTGATACGAGGAGACAAACGCACGCTGCTATAAATAAAAGCGGTTTCGTCTGCTGCGCAGTTTGGCGATTCTCGGGGTGGAGACGATTGATGCCCCGAGGCGGCGTCTCTCGCGCGCTGCCTGCGATTTATTGCGTGCGTGAGTTATAAACGCAAGATTCCTGAGTGTGTTTCTGGGTTTCCAAATTTACCAGAGAGGCAATCTTGCTAGAAACAATTCTTTGGATTTCATCATAAAATCGCTGTGTATTTTTATAAGCATAATTTTAATCTTCCTGTGCTGCAGAAATAAATTTATTTGTATTTATTTCTCCTTCAACCCCCCTTCTAATAACATAAAATAATAAAGTAAAAATATACAAATTGTATAAATTTTAGAAATTTATGGGAAGTTAAAGAGCGAAGTCATTTTTGTGCTCATTAATCTTGGACAAAGACCTCAGAATTTTCAATTTCATTTGGATTTATTCAGAAATTTTGTTCTTAATGATGAAAAAAATCACATTGCATTTTTATGGAAGTTTTTTTAAATCAACTTTTAAAATTAGAGAGTCATTTGTTATTTGGCATAAAGCGGCATAAAGACCTTTAAGTGCTACGAAAAAAATTAAAAAAATTAAAATTTCTTTCAATAGATACTGAGAATTACACGTTAAACGCTGTTCACATGAGTCTAATTTTAGCACTATAATTTGCAAGATTAAGGTGTTAAATCTAATTATCCCACGTCGCATTTCCGGCTTAATCATAGTTGCGCACAAGCCGTGTAACAAGAATTTCGCGTGACAAAAGCAAATAAAAGCCGTAAACGCGTACTAAAATTTGCTAAAATTATTATTACCAACATTACACTCGACCCTTATCATTCTCAAAATTGATGCCGAAGGCTGTCACGTAAAAAAACTCATGAATCTAATTGCACACTGCATCAAAATTGCTCAATAAGTGTTGTATTTGTGCAGTTAAGAGTTTATTATTATTTATTTATGGATCACCTCACGGTCGGAATCCGCCCATTATGCGCAATGAAAATAGTGATCCAATTATTTATTGCTGTGGGAGGAGTGCCCTTAACGTGTTTTTCCCTCTCGAAAAGTTGTTTTTATTTTTATTCCGAGGGTGGACGGCGCAGTCATTATTGTACGAAGAAGGCGACTCATTACTTATGCCAAGATATATGGATAAACCGTTGCTCAAGTTGGATAATAACGCGTACGCGACGATATTTTCAATCAGGCCAGGCAGTCGAGCGTTGAAATCTCCGATTGATAAACTGATCGACGCAATTGTATAATACCCTTGAACGAAAATACTTCAAATTTTTTAATATTTTGAGACGGATATCTAACAACGAAATAAGTAAATTACTTAAAAGAAGTAAATATATTAATACAAATTACTTTTATTGGTTATTTAGATTGTTCTTTTATTATTTTGTTATTACAACCAATAAACAAGACAATTTTATTTACTTTTATTTTAATTTTTCCTATAATAGTGATTGCAATGTAGAGAAACCTTTGTTTTAAAAGAATTTAAGTGTACTTCTTCCAAAAGTGGAAACTTAAAAACTGCTCAAAAGCTAATTGCTACTCAAATAAATTTACATATGTTCCGCCCAAATAAATTGTCAATTATACAGATGGGTGCAATTTGCTCTCAAGGGCGCGTGCGAGAAATCTCGTCGCTTCATCTTTTGGCGAAAATAATCTGATTTTATGGCGGTGGATATAAAGAAAGCTGGTATCCTCGGGTCCACCGAAAATTACGAGCTCAAGTTTGTTGCGATCGGGCGTGTCAAGAAGCAGAGCGTTCGGTCGGTCGGTCGGTCATCTCGCACCGTTTGGCGACCCAAGGCCGGCGAGGACGCCACCGGGGTGGGGCGGGCGGTGTCCCAGTATAAATGCTCAGGAATGAGACTGGCTCAACATCTTCCACACTCAAACTCCTAGCAAACAACATGAAGGCTTTCCTGGTAAGTCACGATCTCTCCACTGCAATGAGTAGAAATTCAAAAACTAAAATTAAATCAATTTATAAAAATTACTCAATAATTTAAATTTTTTAATTATTTTGAAATTTCAAATTTCCACCATCTTGTAAATTTTTAACTTTTTTTTTTAATTTTACAATTTTCTTATAATAATCATCAATATCTTCTCCAGGTTATCTCCGCCCTCGTGGCCGCCTGCAGCGCCGCTCCCGCCAACCTTTTGGCCGCCCCTTGGGCTAGCCCCCTGGCCTACAATGGTCTGGCCTACAATGGTTTGGCCTACAACGGTCTGGCCGCCCCTCTGGCCTACAACGGACTCGCCGCCCCTCTGGCCTACGCCGCCCCCATCGAAGACGGACAGTACAGGACCGGCCTTTTGGACAGCGCCATCGACCTCCGCGGCCAGTACTACCCGGAAGCCGAGAAGTACGTCGCTGACAACGAGGGAGCCTACCAGGCCGACGATGAGGGTGCTTACAAGCCCGACGCCGAGGGCAGATACATCGCCGATGACGAGGGTGCCTACAAGCCCGATGCTGAGGGTGCCTACGACGCCGCCTCCGCCCACGCCAAGGAGGCCCTGTCCGAGGACGGATCCTACAAGGGCGAGCCCCTGCACACCGCCATCGCCTCCGGCATCGTCAAGCCCGTCGCCTATGCTGCCGCCCCCATCGCCGCCCCCCTCGCCTACGCCGCCGCTCCCGCCGTCCGCACCATTGCCGCCCCCTGGGCCTTCAACCAAGCCTACAACCCTCTGGCCTACCACGCCCCCGCTGTTCTCTCCCTCAAGTAGATCTGCATTAATTCGTTCGGCACAGCCCAACTGATTGAACAACACCCTTAATTATGTTAGATGATTTGATGGATGAATGAGAGAGATGCCTGCTCGGGGAAGCCTGCGTGACCCGCGCGATTACTGCCTTTATTTGCACTTCTCAACTGCTTGCCACTTTCAATGTCAACCGATAACCTGTTTGATTTGAATGTTTTGGCGACCAATGTCAGTCATATGTTCCCCTTTGAATAAAGCCAGTAGTCGTGTTTTGACTGTGGAAAAGTAATTTACCTGCTGCTTTTTTCTCGCTCCTATGATTTATAATATTTCAAATCAAAAATAAAATTTAAATATATGATATTACAAAAATCACATGAAAACTGAATAAGAGAAAAATAATTTCTATTTTCACTTACAAAGTTACCAAGAAGAAATATAAACTTATTGTTAGATTGAATTTATACTTCTGCTCTGCAGGAAATCATAAAAGGATCAAATCGATGAAAAATAATTAAGAATTATCTACCAGTCGTCTTGTGTTTCTTGTCACGTTGGCCTTGGGTCAAGCTTGCTGATTCGAATTAGCGCAGTATGCACTTGACAACTTTTTCAACAGATTCCCTTTTCTTGTACAAATGATTTGTACATATTTATTTCTTTTGAAAATAAAGACTCTACTAAAGAAAATTCAAAAATTTACTTTTTATAGAATTAACTTTATATTTAATTGATTAAACCTCAAAACAAATCTTTATCGCACGCTCAAATCTCACACGCACGCCAATAATACTTGAGAAAAAAAGTGTTTCGCATAAAATTCTATACCGTCCGCGGCGGCGCCTCTTTTCTGATTTTTTTTGTTCATTCTCACGAGCAATTTTGCCGGGCCATTTTTTATACCGGATATTTTGCGTTGCTCCGCATTAAATTAAAGGAGAGCGAAAAGAAAACGCCCTTGGACCTCGCCCATCGAGCAAGAAGTCCTGCATGTCCATATTCGTTGACTGGCCTTGATCGTGGCCGGCCGGCGCGCTCAGGGCGGGGCGTCTCTTCTATTGCGATCGCGCATCGAACTCACTTTTCATTTCACGCCTTATACAACTAATGCATGCGTTAATAGCGATGGTCAGTAAGTTGGCTGTTTATTATTGTAGGCGCGCACCGCCGCGGTTATGTCACCCGCCGCCGTCTTCTAGGGCTGGACTTGATCGCGCTCGTCTCGCAATGCTCTGATTAGTCTGCCAGTAAAAATGCATAAATACAAACAGCGTGCCAGAGGAATTGTTATTTAAAGGACGATCGTCGACTCCCTCGTCAGCCGTGTTAGTTTATTTTTTATTCTAACTGTAGGACGAGTTGCAGTCGAGAACGTTCTGAATTGTGACATTCACTACCTACCTGAATTACCATTTTAATTTAATTCTATTATTTAAAGTTATGTTATTCTTTTCTTGGTTAAAAATTTTCATAAATAAAAACATAAGACCCATATATAAAAACAAATAAATTTAACCTAAAAAAATTTTACAATGTATCATAATTACTTATTAAACGCTACTTTATGAAATATTTTTTTCTCACCTCAAATACAGTTTATGCCTTGTTTAATTATGTAAGTTTATTTAGTTCATATCAATAAAACTGAATCTAAAATTTATACATAAAAAATACGGAAATTTATACATAAAAAATACGGAACGGATATTTTTTGTGGTTATAAATAAAATATACATACCGATAAATACATATCTAGGCATACTCTGGAATTCCAGATTTAACTAGATTAAACTAGAAAAGTTTAAGCCGGTATAAAGCTTGATTCAATTTCTAAGTTTTTGGAGAATTTCAAGATTAATAAACATTCATACATAATTTTGTACATAATTTTGTACTTTGTAATAATTATCGAAACAAGCTTAATTGTAAAATTAATTTTAGGAAGACAAATTAGCTTTAGACACCCGTTGTACACCTAGTTGTGTTCAATAAATACTCTATCTATAATAAACATTCAGTAGCGTAAACAATAGAATAGCAAGATTTTAGTTGCAGATGATATTATTGGTATATTCGTTACAACTCACTTTGCACTTCTTATTCTTTGAGCAGGTTTTGAGTGGTTTTGAGTTTATTTTAATTTGTTACTTTTACTCGACATAAAATAAATACATTTGTAAATTAACTTCAAATTCAAATTTTGTATTACTTTTGAAGGTTTTAGTGTTTCTAAGATGATTCGGGATTTTTGAGTTGCACCATAATATTCAAAATTGAGTTTATTTATGTCTGAAATTTTTGGAAGTATAGTTTCTGAGGATGAGCGCCTGCGGTAGTGGGGCAACCTAAAGAAAATTTTCATTATTTTGTGGATTTCAAAATATAGTATGAGATAGGATGAAATTGAAATTGAAATTTTAATACATAAATTAAAATTTAAACCTCTTTTAAGCACATCTCAACCAGTTTTTTTATAACATTTTTAGAGCTTCAGCTATGAGTTGATCTATGAACAGCTTTTTCAGCAACCTGCAAAGCATGGAAGTGACATTTTTGCCTACATACAGGCTGATTTCTAATAGAGAATATAAGTTTCTAATAGCTCCATATTCTTAATTAGATATAAAAACATGTTTCAACACTGAGAAAAATATTATCTCATATCCAATGAGATTCTCTCAGTCAGTTTAATTCGCAAATATAAGCTAGTAAATTATACTACATATCTTTAAATAGCCAACGGATAATATTGTTTTGCAAGCTATAATACAATTCTTAAATTTGTTGTTCTGTTTAATAAAGTTCAACGTTAAATTTCGTTATGATTTGCATATTTTGCATGCAGACTTTATGTTCACGAGTAATGATGATTTTGAATTAATATATAATAAATTTCAGACAACTTAATAAAGTATACTAAATAAATATTTTTATAAAATATTAAGCAAGCTTTTATCAGAAAAACAATAAGATCAGGCTAAAGTTGCTACTAGGTTTGATTAAAAATTATAAAGTTTTGCTTGTATAAATTTCTTTCTATGGGTGTTTGGTTGAAGTATTTCAGAATGAAAGCAGTGGATTTTTGTATATTCTCATACTCCTCACTCATAAATAGTTTTATTCAGATGTTCAGGCATAGACTCTCATGCATTCGATTATTACTGCCCATGAAGGTGCGCCATAATTGGTGTCGCGTGGTGTCACACCATCAGTCTAAACGCGGTTGAGGATCTCAGTGGTGATTTAGGCGATGGTCTTGACGACGGCGGGGGCGGCGGCGTAGCCGAGGGGAGCGGCGTAACCGTAGCCATAGTTGGCGTAGGCAAGGGGGGAGGCGGCGATGGTCTTGGCGTAGGTGGCGACGGGGGCGGCGGCGTACTGCAGAGCGGGGGCAGCGGCGTACTGAAGAGCGGGGGCAGCGGCGTAGGTGGCGATGGCGGGGGCGGCGATGGTCTTGACGACGGGGGCAGCAGGCACGGGGATGATCTGCTGGGGAGCGTAAGAGCGGACGACGTGCTCAACGGGCACGGGCTTGGCAACAGGGACATCGACTTCAACCTTGGAGACGACGACCTCAGGCTCAACCCTGGTGACCTGGGGGGTGAGGGTCTGGATGGAGCGGGCAGGGGCGAGGACACGCTGCTTGGTCACGATCTCAGAGGGGGTGATCAGGCCGGTGGCGGGGAGGGCGGGCTTCAGGATCTGTAAAAATTGAAATTTTCAATTTGGAAAAAAAGTAGTTTTCAAATTGTCGAGAATTTTGATTTTTTCGATTTTTCTTACCTGGCTGCTGTAGCCGGTGACGACGGGCCTGTTCTCGTAGTGAACGGTCTTGGTGACGGGGACCTGGATGGGGGCGGCATAGGCGACGGGGGCAGCGACGGGAGCAGCATAAGCCACGGGGGCGGCAACGGTCTTAACGACGGGGGCGGCAGCGTACTGGATAGCGGGGGCAGCAGCGTATTGGATGGCGGGGGCGGCGGCGTAGGTGGCGACGGCGGGGGCGGCGATGGTCTTGATCAGGGGGGCGCCGGCGGCATAGCCGTAAGCACCATAGGCGCCGTAGGCCAGAGGGGCCGAGTAGGCGAGGGGGGCGACGGGGAGGTTGCCAGCGGAGACCGCGGCCAGGAGCATGGGAAGAACGTACTGCAAAGCGAATTAATTTTTTAGGAAATTTTTCTTCAAAAATTTGGATGGTATCTTACCATGAACATGGTGAGTGAGTTCTAAGAGCTGCGGGGCTGCTGAGAATGATGCTTGTTGAGATGCGGCCGCAGCCTTTTATACCGCCGATGGGTGTGGTGGGCCGAGTGGGAGGCCGCCGCGCCGAGATGCAGCCCCCCAGTGCCCAATGCCGGGATCGTGTCCGCTTTTGACGTAAAATCACTCATGCAAATTGCGTGCGAATTGAAGACCTTCCTGGTCACTATCATGCTCGCGGTAAAAGGTGTCGCGGTTTCGCGGAGTTTTTGTTTTAGAACTTGTCACTTTTTTGTGCACATTTATACTCGTCTGACAATGAAGTGAATTATGAAGGTGGTTGGGTGCTGCAAGTCTATACGTAAATGCAAGTGAAAGAATGTGCTTCGGTGCGGCCGTGCATTGAGAGTCGATGACTTTGCTGCAAACTGGTCCAATTAAACGCTTGTAATGAGACCTTAAAGTTGAATTAAGAAACAAAAAACATTAAAATATTCATGCGAATTGATTGTACGCTATTAAATTTAGCTAATTGTAATTTTTTATTTAAAAAAACATTCAATAAAAAGAATTTTTAATAATTTTACGATGAAAATGAATTATGGTTTGATTTTTATCTTGAAATGAAGTGGTGATAAAAAATACTAAACAGCCAAAAATCGGCCTGCGGTTGAATGAAAATTTATTTATACGTATATTTTGTTTTATTGTAATTTAGAGCCTATTTTCATTGAAGTATCATATTCATATTTATTTCAAGCTGATTTTTTTATAATAAAAATTGCTGTTTATGGCAATTTTTATTATTTTTTTAACTTCCAATCTGTTTCCAAATTGATTAAAATTTCACCGATTAAACCGTGTCTCGTCTCAATGAATTTGGGACAAAAATCCTTGAATTTTACTTAAAACTTATGAAAAACGTTTCTTGGTAAAAACCTGACGGGACACATTAAACGTACTTCTTTTTATTTGCTTCTTAATCTCAAAAAAGCTCTCAAAGTGCTGCGTCTCGCTTGCTTTATTTCTGTCCGCCTTTCTTGCACGAGATTTCAACTGGTGCAAATGCAAGTTGTTGTTGCATGGCGCATTGAGAATTATTGAAAGAACCACTCCCCGTTGCAAAAGATATCTTGGACACTGATACATTTAAGCAAACTAGAAATATAAATAAATCTTGTTGTCAACTATCTACAATATTGCGCTTTGCCAAGTGTGCGCAAGAGATTTTTCGCAGAATTTTATTCATGCAATTGTAAAAATAATACTTTCATGTTACGGAAATTGGGTTGATTTCTACACGTAAAACAATTAATTTATTTTATTTAAAAGCTGTGGTTTAAAATGTGGAAGTTATTAACGAACTGGAAAATTGTAATCTTTTCATTAAAATAATTCAATGTAAGCGTCAATTTATAGTTCCCAAGAGAAAATCAATCAAGTTGTGGAGTCCGCCGAGCTCCTCCTCGAAATAGTCGCCGGTCTCTGAATTTTATTCGCGAGCCGGTTTTCGTTGTCAAGGTCGCAAAGTAGTGTAAAACTAACTAAAAGGGATGTGGTCGCGCGTCGTCGGGACGCAACTCTCGTGCGTGTGTCGAAGAAAGACAATACCAGTTTATTCACTTTGTGTCAACAGCAGAAAACCCCATAAATTATCTGGCCCGATCTTGCATTGTTAATAACTTCAGAGACAAATCAACCCTTTTTTTGGTAAAAACTTAAAATAATTGGGCGCGTCTGAAAAATTTCATTAGAATAATTAAAACGAAAAAGGACAGCAAGCAAAAAATGCACTAGTGGACCAGTTTTGGCGTGGCTCTTTCGCTCTCTTTTATTATTTTTTTCCTGGGCAAATTGTCCGGCTGAGAAAATATAATTAAGCAAGGCCGCGCACCAAGGCCGCCGATTGAATAGGAGCTACTCCTCCCAGCCTCCGCCTCGATCCTGCTACTATCGGCATAACTTCTTTATTATTAATACACTTATATGATCCGCATGTGAGAGAAATACGAGGAATATAAGGGAGTGTTGCAAATTGAGAGCCACCGCTGCGGGCGAGAGCCACTTTTTGATCTTGCTTGCCTCTAGTGAGACGCGACGTGCAAGGTACAAACGTTTTACTGCCTCTCCCTGTGATTCTGACGCAAATTACTACATTGGTTACTTTACTCCTAACCCAAATTAGAAAAAAAATATCAATATAAAATCAACATTCCATCAGTTTTCCTAAATAACTGACGTTAATTTGCGCATTTCTTACAGAAATAACAAAAACTAGGTATGATGAAATTAGCGAAATGTTTGTGTTCTTGTACAAAGTGCGCATTATGCAATTTAATAAATTAAAAGTGTATATTTTATGTTCCCAATATTTACGATTGTGGCAACGACAAAAATTAGCAATTCATTTTTTAATTCGAATTAATTTAATAACTATTGTGTATCATATCAGACTTTCCTAATACAATTTTAAACTTTTAATAAAAGAAGGTATCGTATCCATTGATGTTTATAGGATTTTAAAGAAATTTACATTTTCTCTTAACATGAAGTTTCAAAAATTATTTAATTAATTAAATTCAAAGTGTTGTGAATGTTAACAAAAATTATATTTTGTAGCAATAACAGACTTTTCTGCGTATAGTATTTATGATATTCATGCTGTATTTTATTTCAAAAGTTTTTGATAAAATCATTATTTTAAATTAATTTTTAATAAAATCACCAGCATCGCATTGTTTAGATGATAATTATCTTCCATTGCTTTGTTGCGACTGAAACCAACTGTGGACAGAGAAGCATCCGGTAGAAGCATCCTCCATGATGAAAGAGACCAGTGGAATTTTCCAGTTTCAGTTTTGATGCAATTTTTAATGATTTGAAACACACTAAAATTGTATCATTTGACATGTATCCTGATGTATCCTATTTTTTCTTTGGTTTATTTTGCACCTGATACAATAATGATCTTTAGATTATACTTTTGTAATGCATTGAAAAATTCAAAAAGAATATTAATAGCTGAAGAATAAAAAATTAATACCATTGCATAAAAATTAACATTTTTCTTTAGAAAAAATTGTATTTATGTTATTAAAATTTCTTGTTTACTTTCCATTTTATATAGTTTTAATCTTTTCATTTTCTTATAAAATTTGAAATTTAATTTGTATTATTTACCAGTATATGAGCAATTATATATTTTTTTCTTTCTAAACGTGGAAGCTCAAAAATAAAATAAGGTTTTTTTCATTGTACATGAGATAAGGAACAGTTTTGAGAAAATAATTTATTCACACCACATAAGACAGAACAGAAGAAAAAGGGCAGAGTGGCCTCTCTAGGCGGCCAGGAGACGAGCCTTGGCCTCGGCGTGGGCGGCGAAGTGGGCAGCCTTGGCGGCGGCCACGTCGGGGGCGTCCTGCAGGTAGACGGTCTGGGGGACGGCGGCGACAGGGGCGGCAGCGATGTGGGCGGGGGCGGCGGGCAGGTTGGTGGCGGCCACGCGGAATCCGTTGATGGGGTCGGCGACGTAGCTGACGCTCTGCAGGAGGCCGTTGGCGTCGACGTACGAGTAGCCACCACGGGTCACACCGTCAAAGGTCTTGACCTCGTGCTTGGCGGAAGGGCCGCCGGCGTATCCGTACGAGAACTGTCCCAGCTCGTCCTGAGCGTGGTACTGGTGGCTGCTGACGGCGGGAACGCCGGCGGACAGCAAGTACTGGGCCTGGGCGACGGCCACAGCCATGGAGAGGACCACCTAATAACAATTACAAAATTTAATCAATAAATAAAAAAATTTCAATGAAGTTTTTAATTTTAAAATAGATTTAAAATTTTAAATAAGCAGAAAAATACTATCGAAAAATGTCGATTAGAGTTGTTAATTTATGGAGAAAATTAAAGCTACGTAAATCAGGTTCTTATTTTATGAATTTTTCAATTAAAATAAAATTTTGGAAATGGAAAGATATTAGTTATTTGACCGATAAATGTTAATTTTTGCAGTTTCAAGCTAAAAATATAACATTTATAACTTATATAAGTTCAAATTTTAGTTAGAAATAAAGTTATAAAATTAATAAGTGATTATTTGACCGATAAATGTTAATTTTTGCAGTTTCAAGCTAAAAATATAACAATTATAACTTATATAAGTTCAAATTTTAGTTAGAAATAAAGTTATAAAATTAATAAGTGATTGTTAAATTGAAAATAAATTTTCGCTGATAATTTTCCAAATGAAATAAAATTGAAATTTAGAAGAAAAATAAGTAAATAATAATATTCATGCACTGAAATGGTTAATGAGTTGAATCGGGTCAGAGAGAAGTTAGTAGAAATGAATAAAAGAAAATATTACAATGAATCTGTGCATGTTGTCGGATAGTGTTGTGGGTGCTATCTGATTGCCTGTCTGACGCGTCCTCCGCTTATATAGCGAGCGCCTCAAGAAAGGGTGGATTCGCGATTGGGAGGGAGTGGTGCATTTGGTCAAGACCTTGCCCGATTCACTTTCTCGCGCCGCCGATAGTCTCTCTACAAACGAGCATAATAATAAGTGTGTATTAAATCGAAACACGCGCATTCATGCAGGACGAGCGGCGTAACATATTTACAGGTGCGCGTGTGTTGAGCAAAAAAGCGATTTCATGACTATACCGTTTCCGCGTTCATTTGAGCGAAATTATTGTCCGCACTCATTTGCAGCGAATGACAAAATAAAGAAAGATAAAGATGCAGGAATTGGCTGCTGAAGGACCCCACATAATAATCGATTTTTAATTTTTCCTTTTTGAAATTATTTTGCTTCTCTTATCCTTAAAATAAATGTTTTTTCTTCATCATAAAAGATCTAAAAGTTTTGAAGCAACATAATTCGATAATCGCAAAATCTAGGATGAAAAAACAATGTGAATTATTCTTATTTGTAGAGCTGTTTTAAATTTGTAATTGAAAATATTTTTTAAGAAATTTTGCATACGCTGTTCAATATTGTCCAAGCTCATGTCATGATAAAGTCAAGGCTTAGTTATAATTTTGAAGCTTTAATGCATTTAATGACATTATAATATATATAATCGTCATGTTCGTCGAATTTTTCCTGCTCATGAATTTCTCATACAATTCAAATTTTTTAACTTTTTCGGTTGGAGCTTCAAAATTTTCCCAAGCGCAAGTAAATTTTATGTCTGGCGGAGCCAGCTGTCGTTTGGGAAAATTTAGGTTGTCAAACTATTTTATCTTTCTTATGAAAAAAGATAAAAAATCAATCGTGCAAAAAGGATATCTACTGTTAAAATAATATTTGGAAATTAATGGTTTGCAGTTTCTAATAAAAAATTCGATCTCTTCCATTATTGTTGTTTATTCTACTCAAGTCATACATGAAAAAAATTGAATAAAAAATACATCATTTGCATCATTTTAAATTAATTGACGGCCTCTAATCTTCAAAAATTGACCTTTCATTGTATAAATTACCTTATAGAAAACCAACAAGTCTTTTTTTAAACTTATTAATTTTCATACCTCTAACTGTCTAACTAAATGTTTGCAGAAATTATGTGACCATGCCAAGTGGGCTTCAAACTTACATTTTAAATATTTATTTCAGATATGTGTGGTCACTATAAGCGTACAATGATAATGACTTTGTACATCAAGTACACTTGCAACTTGCACGGGAAGTTCGAAGATTATAATGCGGACACTAGACAAAAAAGTCGAGCGTCCTTCAAAACGTGTGATGTACATTTTGCATTGCACGACGCATTATGTCAATGTCAAAATACTGCTATATAAGGGCCGTGCGTTCATTGAAAATATATACTTTGTGGACAGACCTACAGGACAAGAAACATGCAGCTGACAATGAGATCTTTCGTGAGTTTCGTTATGATTAAAAATTTAACCTAGTTACGATACCATGATGGGGTTCCTGTTGTACAACAAACAAAGGGTGAAATTATACAATGTTTTGTCTCGAACTTCCTATAGTTGCACAGCTTGAAAAACTAAACATTTTGATATTATTATATTAATTAAATTTATTTTTACTAAGTACTTAGTTTTTTTATGATATTTCATTTTATTAAAAAATGAAATTTAATATAAACAATTAGGAAAAATAAACAAAAATAATAAAACAAATATTATAAACTTTTCAGGGTATACTCGAAAAATAATATTTTTATTTTTTTTTTTTTTTACTGCTTTATTACCCGTTTTCCGTTCTGTCAAAAGAATAATCAGCATCCAAATATTCGGCCAATGTCAATGAAAGGCCGTTCCGTTAATTTTCGTTTGGTCAATTCGTGGTACTGACCGTTCGGTCAATTGTCATTTGGGTCAAATCCGTCAACCCCAAGTTTTTGATCTGGACGGGCCGGGCGGGGCCGAGGAGCGCCTGCTGGGTCACGATCTCACGAGGAGGGTTGATCAGGCCGGTAACGGAAAGGGCGGGCTTCAGGATCTGTAAAAATTTCGAAATTTTTGATAGAGGATTTTTTAAACTTTGCAATCTTTTTAAAAAAATATTACAATTCACCAGGTGTGTAATTCAATAAAATATTGTTTTCATGGCAGCCCAATCTTAAAATTAGGATGATTGTATTGAATTACGCAACTGGTGAATTGCTGAGAATTTTGAATTTTTTATTCAATTTTTGTTACCTGGCTGCTGGCGACAACGGGCATGTTCGCGTACTGGACGGTCTTGGCCACGCGGAGGTCGTGGACCTGGATGGGGGCAGCGACGGGAGCAGCATAAACCAAGGGGGCAGCGCGGTATTGGAGGGCGGGGGCGGCGATGGTCTTGACCAGGGGGGCGCCGGCGGCATAGCCGTAAGCACCATAGGCGCCGTAGGCCAGAGGGGCCGAGTAGGCGAGGGGGGCGACGGGGAGGTTGCCAGCGGAGACCGCGGCCAGGAGCATGGGAAGAACGTACTGCAAAGCGAATTAATTTTTTAGGAAATTTTTCTTCAAAAATTTGGATGGTGTCTTACCATGAACATGGTGAGTGAGTTCTAAGAGCTGCGGGGCTGCTGAGAATGATGCTTGTTGAGATGCGGCCGCAGCCTTTTATACCGGCGAATGGGTGAGGTGGGCCAAGTGGGTGGGCTGGAATGTTGAAAATATTTTTTTCTATGTCTCAAAATTGGCCCAAATAAAATTGATATAAATTTTATGGAACCAAGATCATATCAACCCTAACAGCAAAATAAAAAATCAATGCATGTATCTTGACTTAAATGTTTGTACATTGATATCTGACGTAAACAATTTCTGTAATTTTTTCAGTTAAGATACAGCTAGTTGTTTATTCATCCAAATTGAAAGAAAAAATATTTTTTTTTTAATTACAATAGTAATAATAATAAAGATAAAAAACTTAATAATTGTTTTTGTATTTTATTTTCTAATCTTAAAATTAAATTCATAAAAGACGCAGAGTTTTATTTGTAAACCTTCTGAAATCAGGTTAGCCGGTTTAAAAAAAAAACTTTTGTTAAAGTCGTATAAATAAAGATCTAACCAAATCTACATATCGTCCAGGCTCGAAAATCAGTGGCAAATCTGATAATTAATTTTTTCTCTTAAAATATTAATTAAAAATATAACTCTTTGCAATTTCTGTTTATTTATTTTATCAGTTTTTAAACTATCAAACAAAAATTAAAAATGCAGTTTTTGCTGATGGCCGTTGGCTTGCTGGTGGTCACTGGTCGTGGAGGTATCCCCGGAAAAGGACAAGAAAAAGAAGCGTGGTGATGGAAGTTCCCAGGACGCTAGCACCACTGAAGGAACACAGGAAGTTGTGAGCTCCACTGGAGATCCCAATACACAGGGTCCGTCTGGAGATAGAGAAACTACTCCCGGAGAAAATAAGAAGAGGGGCAACAACTTGGAAGTAGGAAAGGACAGATCCAACAGGAACAAGGGCAATGGAAGGCCAAATAAGGGTTCGAGGAAGCCTAAGTCCGACAGAAAGAGCAAGGATTCCACCGATGCTGCTTAAATGAATAGCATCATTTAATCCTCTGTTAACTCAATAAAGATAAAAAAATTACATGCTGCATTAAATTTCAAATTTTTGATCTCCCATTCAAAATTTTCTTGGACTAGAATTTATGCATTTTTAATTTAATAATTAACATAATCTCCAATTAATTAGAGCATCTGAACTGCCTGAAATTAAATCCGTTTGTCAATAATTGTTATTTATATAATACTGTGCTCACACTGATCATTTCGCCCAATTTTATGAAAATTGAAAATCCAATGGCCCGCGTCTTTGGGCCTAAATAATCTGATAACCTCTTATCAAAAAAAATTTATACATTTTTCCTTTTTGACATTTCAATTGTTTAATATTTAGAACGGCTTTGTCAAAAACAAATTATAAAAAATATTATGTTTTAATAGCTGGACTAAATTTCCAATTAGGCCTTTTGGCGCAGGTTGGAGGTTGTATTTGGGGGTTTGAAATTTGAAACTGACTCAAACCATTGCTGTTTTTTATTCTTTTTTTTTAAGGAAAAATGCTTTTTATGATTCCATTAATTTTTTTCCTATTATAATTATAAATTATAATAATATTTTTCCTCCAAAACATGAAGCGCCTTTAAAAGACTGAAAACATCGTCCTGCGCGTCAATAAAAATTTAGCAAATTTTTTAGTCCCTGGAAAATACGTTTTGAGCCGTGCGTCATTTTCAAATTAATTATGTAGGCCGCTATGTAGCCTTGTGTATCACTGTAACTGCTTTAAATTGGCGATCGAATTTCAATCGTCATATGCGTGGTCCCTGGGCATGCTAATGATCACAATTCCCCGTAGGGACCATGGGAAGTTCAGGTTCTGCGGATGCTAGGCAAAGCTGTCCTTCGAATCCTCAGCAGCCAATAGCCGACCACCACACCACAGGAAGAAGGACCCATATATAAGGGCCATGCATTTGCAGAAAATTCATATTTTTTGGACGGGAACAAGCAAGACGACGAACATGCAGCTGAAAGCTTCTGTGAGTTACTTTAAAAGTTTTCAAATATAATTTAAAAAAAAATTGACGATTTTTTTTGTAATAAAAATATGTACCCTCTTTTCGATAGTCCACATCGAATTATTCGTTTTGCTTTGTCTTTATATTTAAGTTTAAATTCTAGTTTTACACGTTTGTTGCAAATTTTCAAACTAAAATAACTCCAGCTTTTGACGATGGCCGTTGGCCTGCTGGTGATCGCAATGATCGAGGCTTCGCCGGTGGCGGCAAAGGACGCGAAGGACGGGAGGAAGGCGAAGCCCCAGAGCGCCTCTGCAAATGGAGCTGATGCTGGTGGTACCCCAGTAGATGGAAAACCTACTGATGCCCAACCTGGAGACAAGACAGCACCAGGAGAGCAGGGAGGTTCTGCTGATCCTCCACCATCAAAGGGTGACAAGGGCAAGGAGGGAAAGAATGAAAAGGCAGTAGATGGAAGTGCTCCTGATTCTCAAACTGACAAGAAAGGAAATGGAGACGCGTCAGCACCAAGAGAGCAGGGAGGTTCTGCTGATCCTCCACCATCAAAGGGTGACAAGGGCAAGAGGGGAAAGAATGAAAAGGCAGTAGATGGAAGTGCTTCCGATTCTCAAACTGACAAGAAAGGAAATGGAGAGGCGTCAGCACCAGGAGAGCAGGGAGGTTCTGCTGATCCTCCACCATCAAAGGGTGACAAGGGCAAGAGGGGAAAGAATGAAAAGGCAGTAGATGGAAGTGCTCCCGATTCTCAAACTGACAAGAAAGGAAATGGAGAGGCGTCAGCACCAGGAGAGCAGGGAGGTTCTGCTGATCCTCCACCATCAAAGGGTGACAAGGGCAAGAAGGGAAAGAATGAAAAGGCAGTAGATGGAAGTGTTCCTGATTCTCAAACTGACAAGAAGGCAAAAAAAGAAAAGTCAGCACTAGGAGAGCAGGGTGGTAAACCAAAGGGCAAGTCTGCCGATGCCAAATCGTCACAGAAAGACAAGAAGCCACAGCAGCAACAGGCAAAGAAGGTAAAGGGCAATGACAAAAAGACCAAGCACGAAAAGACCACTACCACCACCACTGTCGGCACCCCAAGTGCTTAAATGAGAGAAATACGATTTGCTTAATAAAGCCATTAAAAAATAAATCACTTAGTTTTTTTAGCCTTCCTAAAATAGTTTTTGATGATTATTGTTTTGATATATTAATCTAATTAATGCTTCATTCTTTCTTACCATCAATGTTAAACAGAATAATTTTAAAATAATAGCCACTCACTTGTTGAGCTTGAAATTCCTTCTAAAAGCAATAAATAATCAAATGTCAAATCTGCCCGATTAATTTGTGATGGAAAAATATAGAAATAAAATAGCGTGAAAACTATGCAAAATTAAATAAAAGTACTTAATTAACAACAAAACTCAAGTTTTAGTTAAAATAAGAAAAAAGTTATCACTTTAATAAGTTAAGTGTACATGAGTCATGATGTAATTCCACTTTCATTTGATTGGCGCATTCTTCAGTGATTTGCATGTCAGCTTACCCAGTCTGGTGATTAAAGGGTTGCCCTGCCAAACAGCTTCCAAATTTCCATTCGTTTTCAAATCAACCTTAACATATTATTCTATCAAACAAAGGTAATTCAATAATTTTCCAATCGCTCACCTGGAGCTTCTCCCAAACTTTCTTTTTCGGGTTGAGAACTTCGTCAGCTGCACCAACCTCGTAACCTTCGACACTGACTTTATCGCCAGGCTTGGAGTCTTTTGGCGGCACAAGTGGTTCAACAGCTTTTGGCTCATCACTGTTTTACAGTTTTTAATAATTTTATTTAAAAATGTAGATCAATCGAACTTACACAGAGGCGCACAAAACCATCCCACAGGACTCCACCCCTCTCATCTTAGCAGGTTTCAGGTTGCAGAGGACGACAACCATGCGCTCTTGCATTTCTTCGATGGGAACAAAATTAACAAGGCCACTCACAATTGTACGAGGAGCTGCATCTCCTGTTAAAGAAATAATTAATTTCAAAATTTTCACTTCACAATAATAAAAAAAAAAACACACACACCAACATCAATTTTCTCAACATAAAGGGCATCTGCGTCAGGGTGTCGAGACACTTCGACAATTTTTCCCACTCGTATGTCCAGCCTATGAGGTGCAATTTCATCTCCACCAGCAGCGGCAGCAGCACCTCCCTCTAATCAATTAATTTGAAATAAAAAAATTCGTCAATAAATTTTGCCTCACTTTTGCTAACTGCAGGATAGGCTTGCTCAACAAGTTTCTTCAGCTCAGGACTTTCAAAGGTCTTTCTAATCGGGTCGAGCAGTTTGTTGAGCTCAGCTTCGACGGCAGCCTTCAGATCTCCAGGATGGACCTCCTGCTTGGCATAAGTGGCTTCGAGGCTTTCGTAGTCATTGAAGGTGACACTTCCGCCATTTTCTGGGGCTCGAGTGATTGTAAATCCCTGGCCAGGTTTGTAGATGGAGAAAAGGACGTGTTTGACAAAGGACAGAACTCCGTTGTCGGCAATGTTGCCCGGCTCGCAAAAAGCCTTCTTAAGCTTCTTCTTAATGTTGGCCGGTGAGTCCAAAATGTCAATCTTGCTGTCCTCCTCGGACGAGCTCATTTTTCCACCAGCCAAACCCGGAACTGGGGAGAAAATTGCAATTTTCATTTTGATAGAAATTTTAATTAAATAAATACCCATGGGATTCATAAGGTGAATTCTTTTCTGGTATCCAAGTTGGGGCAGATACTTTTCAGAAAAGGTGAAGATCTTGCGCTGGTCAACACCACCGAATTGGGCATCCACCTTCAAATATTCCTCATCTAAAGCTTGCAAACCTAGATTTGAATCGATAATTATTAAATATTATTGAGTTTATAAGTTGAATTCATTACCTGGGTAGAGTAATCCCGAGAGCAGTGGATGGTCAACTTGCTTCACAACTTCAGCTCCAGCTTTCTTGGCATCGTGCTCAGTAATTACCGAGCTCAGTCTGTACACATCCAGCGTGTACTCTCTGGATATTATAATTTTTTTTTAATGTTTTCCCATAAAAATGTCCAATCAAATCATACTTTGAAAGCTGGTAATCAGTTCCTCGGACGAATTTGAGCTTTTCCAGGGGAACGTCAATGGACTTGAGCATTTCCTTAATCACATGCTCGTAATAGTCAGTCCTGCGTTGCAGCAGGTCCCAGGGCGCTTTCATGTTGTCCAGATAAGCGTGCAGATCGGCAAACAAAATTGTTACCTAGAAGATGGTAAAATTCTTATATTTATTTATAGCTCATTTTATTAATATTATTACTCTGCAGTCGGCTCGGAGAAAATCGGCAATTTTGGACATAGGCACAAAATAGGCGATGTGCGGTTTACCAGTGGTGGCCGTGCCCCAGTAGATGCTGAACTCCTTGTCCGGATTCTTCAGAATTTCGGTCATTTTGTCCTCGCCCAAAATCTCTTGCAGATTTCGGCCAATCAGCTTTTTGCGTTCCTCCCAACTGAGACTCATTTTTGCAGCCTATGAATAAAAGAAAATTTGTTTATATAAAAATCTTGACGCATATTATAAAGAAAAAATAATTATTGCGGTTTGCAGGAAGACACCTTGTTATTTTTACTGTTAGAGCAATTAGAGCCTGGAAAAGAAAGCCGTTCGCCAACAGAGAAACTGGCGATGTGTCGAAACCAACGCTTAAGGTGCGGAAACTGGTCTGACGGACACTTATTGGACAGTTGATCGAAGGTCAAACTGTCCGTTTGGCCTGGACAGGCGCCGGACAGGTAGCTCTGGTCGGCCAAAATCGAGTCGAGCGCCTTCAAGTCCAGCATTCGGCACACCTGGCAAAAGGTCAAAGCAGCCGTCACCAAAAGCAGACCCAAAGCAATAAAGTGGTAGAAAGGGATGCAGAGGTTGATAATTTACCTTTGAGTTTGCGTCAAAACAGGATAATTTTGGCAATGTTTAGGTCGAGTTTGAATCAAAACATATGCGAACCCTCGTGGTTATCGTGGCAGGAAGACTGTTTCGTTGCGCCTGCGTGAAACGAAACAGGCCACGCCCCTTAATTTTTTTGCCAAAGAACCAGCCAAGAGGTTGTTGAGTGGAACCAAGGATTCATAAATGAAAGATCCTTGAGTGGAACCATAGCCAAAATTAACGGCGCAGCCACATCCTCAAATGAAGTTTAAATGGCATTTTTGTTATTAAATTGAACTATTCTTTTAACATGTTCAGTTTTATTAGTTATGTAATAAATTTATGACTAATAAAAATAAAAGAAAATAAATTACAACTGACAGAATAGTTGCCTTTAATCGCTAAAATTGTATGGGGATTTTTTTTTTACCATTAAAATTACGAAATTTGATTATTAATTTATTTATAATAAAAAAAAACTGTTTTTTAAATAATGTTACAATTTTTACAGTAGTTGTGATTATTCTTAAATTACAACAAAATATTATGCAACAACTTTTCATAATCATAAAAAACGGCTTTGACCTGACGCCCACCAAAAAATCGCCCATTCAGGTCGACGACAGCTAAAAAGTTTAAAATTAATGTCAGAAATTATAGTCACATCCTTTTAAAATACTCTGAAGCTCACCCTTTATCGCGGATTCCAAACGTTTGAACTCTACATAAATCTGCACTGCCTCCTCGGGCACAACGTTCGGGATCTCCTTGATGACAACTTTGACAACATCCCCGTACTTTGTGTTGCACTCGTCTTTGACTTCTGGCTCAAGGTCTTCGTCCACCTCTCCCGGACCAACCATATTCTGCAAAAAAATTTACTTTTTGATCCTCGCAAAATATAATTACAAGTGAATTACCCTTAGCAAGACTGCCTTTGAGGGATTCTTCATCATTTCGGTGATGGTGAGTTCATCGGCAGCCAAACTGGCAGGGGTTGATGGGGTAGGTGGAGCAGGAGGGGCAAACAAGTTTTGCGGCGGAGGAGACGCAGGCGCCCCACCAAACAAAGTGCTCACAGGAGGAGGTTCGTGGACGATCCGTCCACCCCTCTTGCTTGTCTTCTCAACCTGCAGGGCCGTGGAAATGCCCTGCTCTTGTCTGCCAAGACCTTGGCCCTCCTTTAGATTTTAAGAAATAATATAATCATACAAAATCAACACAATCACAAAACCTTGTAGCCGAACTTGGCCATGATTTTGGCTGCCACGGAGCCTCCTTCGAAGGTGTTTCCACCACTCTTAGGGGTGCTACTAGGGCGAGGAGGACTCTTCTGCTGCTCCTGAAGAGACGGAGGAGGAGCAATGGCCGCGCCCCCTCCTCTTGAGACTCGAGGCTTTGGAGGTTCTTCTTCCTCGTCACTTTCGTGCTTCCCAGCAAAACCTTTGAACCTTTTGACCTCGTCATACCTTGAGGGACTAAAGATTAAGAAAACATAAATAAATTTGTCATAATCAAAAATAAAACAACAATTCTTACTTGCTGCGCTTATTATTGTCATCGCGGTTGGTTTTGCTCTTCCATTTTCCTCTTTCTTCATCATTCTCCCTGCTTTTTCTTTCTTTCATTTCTAAATTAAGCTCTTAATGAAGCAGGGAAAATAACGATTTAATGAAATTTACCTTGGACAACAGCTTCATAATCGTTTGGCCACATAGGGTCGTACTCGTCCTCCCAATTCCACTCCAACTCATTGCTGGCAGTCTTCGGAATGTGACTAATTGTAGTTATGGGCAAGACATTACTCCTTGACTCCTGGACAATAGAAAAGATTATTAAAAAAAATTAATAATTAAAATTGAAAAAATTTACATGAAAGCCAGAGACGAGAATTGGCTTCTTTTCTGATCTGGCGTCGCCTGGCGTTTTTGCTTTTTTCAAATTTATGACCGGCGCCAAAGTCGGAGGAGGCTTCCTCATCTGCTCTCTTTTCGGCTGATTGACCAACTGAAAATAAATAATTCAGTAAAAATTAAATCTCTTAGATAATTTTTCTATTTATAGCAGGAATAAATAAGACTCACAGACTTTTCCAAAAAAGGCTTAGACAAATCCTGTCAAATTTTCGACAGATTTCATTAAAATTATTCTAATTCAAAAGAAAAGTCTTTTACTGCTAGAGATAGGATCTTTTTTGGAGCTTTGTGGTCAAATACCGGCGTGGAGTTTTGCTTCTGCTTGATCTGCAGTTGCGACTGCATCATTTTTATGCTCGAAGACCAGCCGGAAACTTGCTCCGACTTGTCCTTGCTCATCCCGTCATCGTCGTCGTAGAGCGACATGTTTGCAGGAAATTTTGTGCGAGATTTCACGAAATTTAGCACGGAAAATCGTGCTGCGAGGTCATCGAAGATTCGAAATCCAAAATTTTCCACATGAAAAATGTAAACACACGCAAGAGCAAAACATAGCGAAGAACAGTCTTGCCAACGTGATTCCAATGCCTGAAAATGAACTTCTTAACTTTATTTCCATTGATATTTGAATTTTTGCCAAATTTATTGACGATGAAATAATAGGAATATGAGTTTCATAATATTCCTTCAATACATTAATTTTTGTGAATAATAATTAATTATTAATGACCCTTGTCAATTCGGTGATCGTGTAGGCAACTGGCGCAACAGAGCTGTTATGCAGGTTGCGTCAGGCTTTTAATGAGGCGTTGAAGTTTAAAATATTCTCTATTTGTCTATTCTCTCATTTCATTGAATGCAAATTATAATTTCTCACGAAAGGAACAATTTATTTACTAGACCGAAAACTATTAAAAAATAATACCGAATTTTCACATTGTAAAAGAAGCTATGGTCCGCAACCAGTGCACAAACTCAAATCATCTCTGCAGAAATACATGCTATTTTAAGTCTTTTTTTAATGTTAGTTTAAAATAAAATTACAGAATGTTATAAATTGAGTAAATAAAAATGCAATATTTGGATATCAATAATTAGCAAAATGTTTATTTCATTGAAATGCAAATGACTAAAGAACTCAGGTCGTCTTGTTTTTTAATAAAAACAATTTTTACTGCGAGGAAAAAGCCCAAGTTCTTCATTTTCATGAGTACGTGTCAATTTGTTCAAACAAATTTATTTCAGTATTATATTATCATTTTTTATGCCAATACATAATTATGGGTCTTAACGGCATGGCAATGTCCGCTTTATTGAACTTATAGAAGGCAAGCTACAAAATAGTTTTTTGAAACTATACGTTTGTATTTCAAAACAATTAAAGTCTGATAAATTGAAATGAACTGTAATCGGGAAACAAAAATTTTTCTTCAGAATTTTTTTATGTCTATATAATTAGAAAGACTAGTAACATTAATTAAAAAAAAAATAATTTAAGTAGTTCTGAAAGTAAAATAAAAATCTTAAAAAAAAATGTTGATGATGTACACTTGCGTAGTGCTTTAGTAGCATTCTATAGGGAGTTCACAGATATAATACATTATTTCGGAGCAAGGACCGCGGTACAATTTGGCAGACCAGCCAGAAACGAGTCGGACGCAGCCACTTCTGCTGGCGTCTTTTGGACTCCATAGCTCGCTGCTTGTGTCCAACATTGTTCCATCATACCACCGAAAATCGTGTCGTCCAGTGACACCTAAGTCCTTTGCTGACAGCCACCAAACAGAACCATCTATTATTCAAATTAAGTTGAGTGTTTAAATTTTTTAATTTAATTTGTGTATTACAATCTCCGATTTTAGTGACTTCACGCCACACTACATTTATGTCATCTTGAATTTTCAATGAGGCTAATTGCAATCCTTTTTGCTTGCAAGTGCTGTTAGCTTCTTCCCAAGTCGTCTATAAAAAGAAGAAAATTAATTAATATAAATAACTTTTATTTTCAAGATCTACTCACGTCTGCTGGGAATGAGAAGAAATATCTTTTACCGTTGGAGAGAATCCTTAAATTATTGAAAGAACCTGAAATTTTTAGAAAGAATGTGACATTTTTTAGTATTAAAATACAACTAACAAAAATAATTTGTTTAATATAATAATTGTTATAAGACCACTAATTAAAAACCAACTTACGAGCCTTCCGGCAAATTGAAGATATCATGGGCAAAGTCTGGAAAAAGTATACGGTAGGAAGGAATATTTTTAAACAAAAAGTATTTTAAAGCGGTCCTTAAACTTTTTCTTTTGAAACTTTTACCTTTTCTTTTTGTTTTTTAAGTGTGACCAGCGGAATTTCACTTGTTATGGTCATTATCTCCTCAGAAGTGAAAATATTTTCTGAATCCAAAGCTTTATTATCTCCCAAAGAAATCTAATAAAATAATATAATAAAATATATTTATAAAACACACGCAATAGTGCGCAAAAACTTCTTTATATTAGTCATATTGATAAAAATAGAATTCGCAAATTCTTTTATAATTGCACGTTTTATAATAACTGCTCCTTTTTTCACCTCTTTGGTCCAGTATTTGAATTCTCCATTGTTCCATATCAGGAAGAAGTTGAAGATGGCCGTGGCGATTGTTACAACGAGGAGGACTATACTCAATATCAGAATTTTCGAGACTGAAGAACTTAACTTTTTATCCGCCGTCTCTTTGGACCTGGCAGGAGGAGGCAAGCGCCTCATCTTGTACGAACAGTGCGACTCTTTAAATTCCAATAGTGAAACAAAAACTTCCTACTAAAACACTTTTCTTTCTAAAGATTCAAGAAATTCAGTAAATGTTATCGGAACAGGAAACATTTCAAGGCAACTTTTGACGAAGAAATGATTAAGAAGGAAGGTGATTGCGCTTTGTGGTTATTTCATGTATTTTAAATAAAAACCACTTGGCAGCAAAAGTTTTTATTAAAACGAAGTACACAGAGAAATGTAGGAATTTTATAAAATTAGTTCTATTATTAGTGCATTATTATTATTATTAGTTTATTTGTTTATTTTATAAATCGATGTTGTAATTGTAATTAAAAGAAATTAATGTACATTAAGAAACACTTTTTAAATTATTTATCATTCAATATTATTTATTTATTATTAATTTGTTTTACGGCTCAAAGATTAATTGATATGTACTTTAAATAATTTGAAAGAATTGAATAATTTTCTAAATAATTCAATAAATATAAATCTGTGGTTTCTGAAATATCCGTGTAAAAACAAGCTTAATAGCCACTATTCAGAGCGCAAAAGGGGATAATTGGCCGAAGCTGATTTTCATCCTTCGATATATATCTTTTTTTTATCAGAGTGCTCATCTTTGGCGAGGAGGACACGTTAATCCCATTATATGGATTTCTCGAGTGAGTGAGAAAGAGGCGGAATGCGAGAGAGAGCGCGCAAGAAAGGCCGTGTGCATGCACTAGGTCAACCAAGCGCGCGCGAGGGTGCGTGCGCTCTCTTTTCCACCCCACATATTGATTCACCCCTGCCTGCCTTGGTCACTTCAACAACCGGTTAACTCGATTCGGCTCGGTTTAAGGGCCATTCAGCCCTGCGCTCCTCCTCGCGCTCGCGCGTCACTCCCCAGCATCGACCAACGCAGAGTTAGGCAACCGGTTCCTACACGCAATTGGCACCCCTATCGACCAAAGTGGGCTAAACTACCGGTTTCGCACTAATCACCAACGGTCCCAAACTTTCGCCCTAAAATTTATTTCATCAGGGATAAAGATTTTTAATTAACTCGAGCAAAATAAAAATTTGCGAAATTTCCATTCAGATTGCGAATCTCAATCGACGGACGGGCGATCAATATTTGAATGAGGAAACCGGTTCTTCGAGCACCGCCCCCGTATCGCCAGTTGCCCACTTTATATACTTTACTTTCGCGATCAGTGCATGTCGAGTCTCGCAGGCTGTCCCGATTGCAGAGCGTTGTTTGGATTACGGGCCGGCCGATGGTGACATGCACTTTGTCCTGTAAGTTTTCATTTCTGCCGATTCGCCGCCGAGTCTCTCATTGCGCCGGAAATCGCTTATCAGCGCAGAGCGCTTTGATTGAATTTTGCGTGACAAGTGTGTATGTGCATGGCTATAAATTAGCCACATTCGCTTTTCGGCTCGATCCGGCCGCAGCGCGGTAGTAAATTCAGCCCGCTTTCATTGATTTACGACGAAGCAGAGAGGCAGATTTTTCTCCTTTGAGATAGGCAACTTGAGACTCGACGGCGAAAGATCAAGAGCAGCTTGTACAGCTTTTTGGAAACTATTGGAAAAAGAAAAAATTTCAAACGCTCCGTTGCACTCTCGCTCCCTCTCAACTTTGCTATGCCGAATTCATTTTGATGAAAACGACAGTTAAATTAGGGAAATTTACGTAGGTTGTATTTTAGAAAATTAAGAATTAGGAGAAAGAAATCATTAAAAAATTTCAATTCTTACAATTTTTAGAGTTGAATATTTGGCACGAATCTCATGATTCTCATGGAAGTTTTAATTATGAAAATGAGCAAATTGTAGAATTCTTCGAGGAACAAAATAAAGTGCGTAAGCGTATTTTTGTGCAATTTTTGAGACAGAAATAAGGCAGTTTAGCACAGTTAAAACGTGTTTTACTTAGATAAAATTCGCCACATCTCATTTTTTATATCTTGAAATTGGAAATTATGAAGGATTCCAGGATGTGGTTAAGCTTTTTTCACAAAAATCACAACACAAAGAATAACTTGGATTTTACGAATTTTGTCATCATCTGAATTTTATAATAAAGTTTTTTTGCCTCATCACAGTTATCATATTTTATCATAAGAAAGGAAGTAGGATTTAGGGTAATCAAGAGGCTCTTATTTTATAATAGAATAATAAACTTTTAACGCCGTAAAACTCTTTCACCTTTATGCTTGGTATACAAAAAAAGGTGCCACTTTTAAAGAGTGAAGATCTCAAGTGTTCGCTCTCTTTCTCACTTGTTCTATCAAAGAGACGATGAATAATTAAAAGTCGCCCAGGGAAAACGAATTCGACAGCCTTGACCTTTGACCCGCGCGGTTCAATAAAAGCAGTGGCGACGAATTTCATTTTAATTTTTTCCGGCCGATTTATATACTCACGCGAATGTCAGTCATTTGTCAAAAGGAGCATTATATCCCACAAAATGTGCTTTTCCACTTTGAGAACAGAAGTGGCGCAGAGTGCCAAAAACAAATCTGCCGCATTTTGAATTAATCTCGGCCGCAAAACCAACGGAAAATAAAGTTGAAGCCCCGACTAATTAATTGAAGTTATCGGATTAATTGACCACATTTTTTACCGCTGTGGTTCTTTTAGATTATTTTGTGTATCATTTGACGCGAAAGCGGAGAGCATTTTGCTGCTCAGAGCATTTAATTTCCTGCGTGTGGTGAATAGAAAGTGTCGGTCTTGGTGGCGCCTGAATTATGCCCGCTGGCGGTATTCCTCTGCATTTCCATTTTTCTCTCTCAGTTCATCCGAGAGAGAGTTCTGCTGTCTGTCGGCAAAAATGGACCAAAATTGTTCCATCCCCAAATGCTAAATGAGAGGCACGTGTCGGAGTGACGATTGGTTTGCACAGTCGGATCTATCTTTCACCACAGGCTATCTGTTAATTGCTCGCAACGAGTGGCGTCTCTCTATGTACGTCTTTGCAGTAGAAATAGCGAGGAATACAAATACCGTAGACTGTTGCTAGGTAATTGCTGCGACCAACGCACCCTTTCCCGTATTGACCTACATCTCATGAGGGAAATGCATCCTCTTTATACATAGCAGAATGCGTCATTCGCGGCTATCAGGAAAGGCAGACACGATAAAAAAAGTGCGCTGCGTGTAGATCCGTGGGTGTTTTGACTTTCCTCCCCTTAAATGAAGGTTAGCAAATATTATTTTCCCAAGAAGGTAAAATTGTGGAAATCGCAAAAATGTCGCACTTTCTTTGAAATAGATTTTTCATTATTTTCGTTTTTAAATAATAATAAAATTTATTGACTGGTTAACTTTCAATTATTCAGAGATAAAATATTGCATTAGAAAAAAATGATCTGATCTTATTTTATGCATCAATCTTACTTTGAAAAAAGAGCTTTGAAATGTATTTTACTGAACAAACTATATGGTTGAAACTGGTAATGAAAACAAAAATTTCAACAGGAATCTAAGCTCATTTTACTAATTAAAAATTATATAATTATTAATGAGTGTTTTTATTTCAAAATCTTTTAAAGCCAAATTTTCGCTGACGTTGACCATTTTAAACAAATCAGTAGAAATTTTCAAGAAGAGAGCTAGAATAAAAAAAAAATACACAAGAAAGGAATTTTTATTTAAATTTAAAATATTTTAATTAATATTTATATACGTTGTAATTTTTATGACAGTTAAAGTGCCTCTTTTATGTCTTGAAAATACAACCACGCACTCAATATGTGACATAATAATATAATATATTCTTCCTCTCACTATCAAACGCGTGTCTCCCTATTTACACCTAATATTCCAATCCGGTTGCATAATTAGTGGAAAGCCTTAGAGAAATCGGCTCTTTCCGTTCACTCCGTCGCCTTCGCACTTCTACGGTTTCTCTCTGAACGAAAAAAAAATATGTGAAATGATTCTAAGGACAATATTATAACTATAGGACTAAAAAGCATCCGATTCGGAGCCGAGGGAACAACCTGCTTTCTGGGAATTAAGAAGCAGGATGGAAAGAAAGCAACAGCATTTGCTTGAATAAAAGTCGGATCCGAAGAAGGCGCCGAGTGAGGAGCGCGCATTCGGCATAGCAAGAGAGAGAGAGAGAGAGAGAACGAGCGGCGGGGCTAGAGCGGGGCGCGATTGTAGTAGGTGGGTGGTCGGGCCGAGTGGCGCCTGCTCATTCACGGGCCTATCGATCTGGCTGACAGGAGCACCGAGAGCACCACCAGCACCCTCGACCCTCTGGCCGACGCCATCTTGTTCGCCCGTGAAAGCGCTGCCTGTGCTCGCAGGGTGCCTCCCAGCATGGCGTCCTGAATCCAGGCGCACACCCTGAGCGTCTACCTGACTGTGCGTGTGGTGAGCAGCCGCCCGACTGAACCCTCTTCTTCGCAACTCGACTCGTCCTAGTTCACAAGGTACCTTTCAACTTCATTCTTAGCCCTATAGCAGGGGCGGATGTATTTCCCCACTTTTCCGACCGAATTTCGGCCCGAATCTGTGGCACTCGTTGACCCTTTTGGTCCTGGTGCGTTGCTCCGGAGTTTGAGGTCACTCTGCGACTCCTTTCGCTTGGGCACCGCTCGCGGTTGCGTGGGTTGCCTATAGGTCAAAGTTGCTTGCCAGTGGTTTTCATTGAGGGAATTTTCTGTGAGTCAATATTCTGTGGGAAAAGTACTCGGACCCTTTGTTTTGTAAACTGAGCCTATTGGTTCTTTCAAAGTTTGTAAAATATAATTTTTTTTGTTGGTTTTGGGAAAGCTTTTTATAGACAAAATGCGATTCGGATTTCTGATTGATTCAGAATTTTGAACCTTAAGTGGAAAATCATGTTTATAATATATGAAATTTACTGATATATTTTTTTCTTTTAAATTAAATTTGCGTGTTTATTTTTTGGTTGTTAAAAAGCCCATGCCTGCATGTGTTTTGTCTTGCATTTGGCATTTATGAATAATAAATTAAATTTTGAAAGGGAAAGTTTTACGCCCACCAACTTAAATTTAGAACTTCCCACGTCAACTTTACCTTTGATAAATGATGATTTTTATTATTTCTACTTAAAACTTTTGAATTAGAAACTAAGCCGTAATCTATAAAGGAAAATTTTCAACATGATATAAAACTTATTCTTTCATCTTCAAATCTTTTAATTTTCCTGATTACTTCCGTTTTGTTTTATTAGGCCAATATTTAATTTTAATTTTTAATCGACTCTTTATATATCTATCCTCTTTAACTTTTATTTCCAACGTTGTTAATTTTTGCACAATTCGATCTTTTCTTAACAAAAGCGGCGATTCCGAGCGAGCGAGCACCCACTCTTTAGTTGCGAGAGAATCTGTTAGGGGGCAGATTATGGGGCGCGCAGAACATGTGTGAACTTATAGGAAATCAATATTTGCCCAAAATTCGGACTGGCTGTCCCCGTGTTAACGATTTATTCGTTTCCGCTGCTTTTTGCAACTGAAAATTAGACTGTGGCGGCCGGAGGGCAAGAAATTACTAGCAAGGCTCCGCTTTAATTGCACCCAAGAGTAGTAGAGTCGTGCACTGGCGCGGCGGACCCCAGCAAAACTTGACCTTAATACACTTTTTGAGCCTGCATTTAGAAGTAAAGCCGTTTGCTTTGCAATTCCTCCGCAATACTCGTCTTTCAAAATGAAAATTTATATAAAAAAATGTAATTAATTTTAGAAAATTCTAATCAACAGGAACCATGTCGCCTGTATTACAAAAAAGAGAAACGGCGGGAGGAAGGTCCGAGACCCTGCCTTACGCGCCACCTGAAGCAGCAGAAAAGGTCATCAACCCTTCAGCAACCGAAGCGACCAATGTCGCCGGTAAGTAAAATAGAACCTCTTGAACTAGAGTTGCAAAACTCTCCCCGCGAGGCAACTGCTCCGTCACTATTGAGCGCTGCTAAAAAAGGAATGATTTTATCGAGTGTTGATTTTTGCACAGTTTGTTGAGGTCGGGTCGTTTTTTATGATGGCAAAAAGAAGCGTCTTAAAGATAAAAAAAAATTGTCAGTAGTGTTCTAAGTTCGAAACCACGAATTTTGCTAATGCACTCAAACAATGAGGGGGAAAATTAAGGCCATTTTCAGACAGTAAAATTTGAAAAAAATTTAAAAACAAAAACTTTTAAAGAAAAATTATAAAATAAAATGCTCAATTATATTTTTCGAGAATTTTTATTACTTGATTAATTAAAAAAGGTAGTGATAAGAATATTTGAATTTATGTAAATGAAATTTAAAGTGGCCCGCTATTTGCACATTTTGCTATTTTTGAAACATGTAAAAAGAAATAAAATAGAAATTGGTTTTGCAGACCCAAGTGAAGAGGCGTCAGCAGAGCCAACAAAAGAAGCTGGCGAGGAGCTCAGCGAAAAGGCGATGGATATGGCCGAGCACCTCGCCGAAGATATCGGGATCCCCACGTGGGGTCTCATCGCAATTATCGTAGGTAAGAAGCGTGTCCCTCGGTTTCGATTTCCGCCGCCTCACTCATCTCCTGTGCATCACTAATGCGTTTTCCGTGCGCTTCTCTTATTGTTTGCAGTTGTATTGCTGGTAGTATTAGGCATAGTAGGATTCTGCATTCGACGGTGTTGTAAGAAGAGACGCACCAAAGATGGCAAAAAGGGCAAAGGCATGGACCTCAAGAGCGTCCAGCTGCTCGGAGGCTCGTACAAAGAAAAGGTAAACAGATGACGTCCCTCGGAGAGCCGTCCAGCATGCGGACGGCTCAAACCTTTCCACTACTTTTTTGCCTGATCCCGTACGTTTCTCAAGTTTTTCATATGGATGCAATATATATCTCTCTCGATACATTAAATAGTCTCACATTTTATATCAAGTTAGACCTCATCAGCACACACAGACAAAAATTATAATAACGATCCAAATAAAAAACCTCGGAGCAGCAGCTTTTTCTGGTCTTTGGGTCAGAATTGGATTTAAAAAATATTATTTAAAACACATTTTCTAGGACACAATTACATCTCCTTTTGATTAATAGTTCCCATAGGATGCTCATGCTGCCGATGTTTGCATGAATATCAATTTCACTCAATCAAAAACACACGATTTTCAAAATTTGACGAAAAATTCCACATTCCTGACCGAGACGAAGAATATTATTTTCAGACGAAGAGTCATTTTTTTTAGAAGAAGTGCATGTTGGTTGATGATGGATTGGGCATGTCCGGCGCCTGTTAACTGTAGACTTATTCCACAACTGGCCGAATGACGCTCGTCACATTGCAGGTTCAGCCGGACATGGAGGAATTGACGGAGAACGCCGAGGATGGAGCTGACGAGGGCGAGAGCAAGCAGAGCGAGGTCAAGCTGGGAAGGCTCCAGTACAAGGTAGAGTGAATGGTAGGCAGCCGACGGGACACGGCCGCCCGGCAGGTTGCCTAACTCCGAATGCGACAGGCGTTCTAATCGCTTCAAATTGCAGCTCGAGTTCGACTTCAATACCAATAGTTTATCTGTGACCGTGATGCAAGCGGAAGATCTGCCCGCCCTTGACATGGGTGGCACTTCTGACCCCTACGTCAAAGTCTACCTCCTGCCGGACAAAAAGAAAAAGTTTGAAACCAAAGTACACAGAAAAACTCTCAGCCCCGTCTTCAACGAAACTTTCACTTTCAAGGTTTGATAGAAGGAAAAATTTATTTTAAGGAAATGTTAATTTTGCTAAAATTATTTCAGAATCTGCCATATGCAGATGCCATGAACAAAACACTGGTTTTCGCGATATTCGACTTTGACCGCTTCTCCAAGCACGACCAGATCGGTGAGGTTAAATTACCTTTGTGTCAGGTGGATCTCGCACAGACGATCGAGGAGTGGCGCGACCTTGTCAGTGTCGAGGGCGAGGGCGGTCAGGTGAGTGCCCTTCGAAAACCGATACTCCCACCCGTCCCAATCAAATACAATTTATTGTCTGCTCAGATCACCACCACATATATGAAATCTCTAACTGTTTATTCTCGCCGGAACAATGACATTAATTATTCTCTAGTTCGATATTATATCGCCTGATTTTTACTGACCAGCATCTTCTTTTCAGCAGGCACACGATTTTATTTTATTTGATCAATTATCTGTCTTCGATTCGTGAATTAATTACAATTATCTCTATACATACTATTACGAATGCTTCTTTTATATTATATACTCTCACACCGTTTGATTGAGTTTGACTTGTGTTTTCATTTGGTTGGATTTGACAGAGCAAATTAACCGAAACACCGCCTGAGTCCACTCTCTATATATATTATACAGACTTTTTACATTTTTTTATATATATGCTTGACACGGAAAAAATATTTGCATGCAGAGTACGAAAAAAGTTTTCCTCTTTTTGATATGTTCCGTCGCCGCCTTGAATTTTGTCGCACTTTTTATTACGAATTTTTACACTTTCAAGAACAGATATTCTCACGATTTTGATTTTTCTCGTTTGGCTGTTTTTCAATATACATTAAAAGCTTGTTAATTTAGTTTTTTCTGCATGTTTTAATTCTCTTTGTTTGATTTAAACAGAATAATTTATTCATCGTGTCCAGCCCATAAGTTTTGAATATTTAATATATTCCAAATTCGAATTTTTTAGACTTTTTCTCTTTATCTCTCACATTTAATACCAAGGTGACGAAAATTTCAATCACAATTCGATCCTTACTTTAACTAAATCATTACACTTTTCGTCACCTTGAAACCTCTTTATAACAAGTCACTTTGATCCTTTGACGTTGACCGACAAGTTTTGACCAAGGAAAGTATGTTTTGCCAATTTCTATTCACTCTCCGTCCCAACCCCTGATCAGAATCATCGATTGAGCTCTGCATGGCTTTCGATCAAATCCCCTCTTCTTAAGCCCACTCTATGTCAATTCTCTTCAGTTTCTCAAATGGGCTGGATTTTAAACTAAGAGCACACTTCTGTGTAAGTCAGCATGACACCAACTGAAAAGTAAATATATAATACATGTTACTTTTTTTCAACTTAAAATATATAGTCTGGCGCTAGATTTGTGAAAAAACAGCGCGAGATGGCCGTGGTTTCATTATTTCTGCAACTCAAAGCTCAATATAAAAGTCATGGCATCGTGGAAATGGTTTTAAAATTAACATTTTTATCTAGGGGCTGGGAAAAAGTCACTTTTCTAATTACTCAAACTTTATTTGGCCTACGTTAATAACAAAATTAAGTCTTCTTAATTAAAAAAAATATATTCCTTGGGTCTAAGAGAAGATGCATATTATTTTAATTTCATAATAATATCAATTTTCAAAGGGCGTTAAACTTTTTTCATGACTTTGAAATTGTCTGAAAATAGTATTTCTATATTTAAACCTACTTAAATAAAACAGCATAATTCTTGGATGTATTTTTGCGTGCAAAAAAAGACACTGCGTTTAGGCAGTCTGATTTTCATAAAATTTTGCATACTACTTTCAAATAATTAATTAACTAATTTTAAATTTAACCGAAAAAGCCAAAAGATTATTTTTTGAAAATAAGTTGACTTATCACACACAAAAAAAGAGAAAAATTCCTCTCATTATATCAATATTGCAAAAGATTAACAATCATATGGTACATAAAATTGAAATATCACAAAATATTTTTCATGTAAAAAAATATATAATATAAAAACAAGATCATTTGACACTTTTCCCAGAACTTATTTAAACATGGAAATTAAATTTTGAAAAAAGGAAGTCTGCACATTTCCACGCTCCCAATTTGCAGTATGTTGCATTTTCTTAATTACATTTAATTTCTGCAGATGTCGGAACTACTCTGTTGCATGCTTTGCTCTGGTCCTGCCCACGTATCATATTAATTTACGATCAATTACCACAAAATACTGGTTGGCGGACAAACTCAGGCTGCGAACAGACCCTTTTAGCCGCGCGCTTTCCTCTTCTCCTCTCATAAAATTACTCTCTCAGACATGCCACACGCCATAAACCAAAATTAACCATGTGTGCATCTCGTCCTGAGGGACCAGGGCAGCAGTAAGGATTGATCTCTGCTCTCTCTCACAATATATATCTCTAGTCACCCCCGTATATAACAGAAATTACTCCACTTTCCACCACTCTCCCTTTTATATCTCATCATCTATACGCTTACGCCGATTTATATTGTTACGATTTTTTATATATGCCACATTAAACATTATGATCTTTATTATTTATTTTATTCATTTTTATCAATCTCGTCACGTTTTGTATTCTGACATATTATATCAGCAGACTTTTCTATATATATATTTACGACATATATTTTAACCTTTTTCAAACTACTCAACTGCCTTTTGACTGACTGATTGATATTTTTTGGTTACCTTTTTGATCAAATTGTTAAGGTGATTTTTGAATGAATTATTCATGTTGATTCTCTCTCTCTTTTTCCCATAAATTTTCTCTGCTCTGCTTTTGGCCTGTGTATGGTTGTGATGCCCTCGACTCAATTGCATGCCGCTTCAAACTCCATCACGTAAGTACGCTCAATTCCACACGGTTGGGATTTTTTATTCTGGCAGCGCATGATTCGTTCGTTCGTATTTTTAATCCGTGTCTCTTTATCTGCATGTGTCGCACGCGTAGCTCGTTTTTAAATATATTATAATGCTTCATTCTCACTAAAATTAAATAAAAAGTTTCGCAAAAAATATGTATATTTCTCTCAATTGGAGAAGGATGTGTTGTTTAACTTTTTTATTTAAATTAGCTAACTGGTTCATCTGTGTGGTGTTGCCTGCAATTGATTGGGCGAGTTTCAACGTAGGAAGCAAGAATTGATGGCGATAGATTATTTTGATGTTTCTATTTTGATTCCTATTAACTTTTTCATTATATTCAAATCGATTCTCCACACCGAGAAGCGATCGGGCGCCGCATCGAGCCGCTCCTAGCTCGATGGGGCGCCCCTTTAATTATTGTGACATGATCTGTGGTCGTGTCTCTCTCTCTCTATTTCTCTTTCTCTTAATTGTGTCTGTTTCACGTGTTGTCTCTTTCTCTCTCCAATATATGTTCCTTTCTTTGATCGAACCCCCTGCTCTATAGAATCTTGTGGATTTGCAGATCAATATACATTTATTCGATCTCGTTTGTGCAGAATAATTCACAAGTCAGTCTCCTAGCTGCTCCCTTCTCCGAATCTCTTCTTTCTTAACCCGACCTCAAGACTTTAATTCAAATTAAATAAATATACGATTAGCAGCGTTTTGTTTGTTGTTATCATTATTCTTTCTTTTTAAGTGACAGCAAATGAGTTTTCTTAATTATTTCACTCTGTTGTAATGTGCTGCAGCCACCAGTTGATTATTATTATTACTATTGATTGATTGATTGATTGATTGATAGAGGCGATTGGTTTTAATTTTTCCATTATTTTCTGAGGGCTCTGCCGCAAGCGATGCGTGGAAACACACGTTTCGTTTGCGGATAGTCTCTTCAGATAATCACTCCTAGGCTGTTAGAAAGCTATTATACATATTGTTAAATATGAATGTGAGCTCAGTGTTGTGACTGTAGAATTAGCTGTGGTTCACAATTTGTTTATAAATATATTAATATTTAAAAATTTAATTACATCCAAATTCCAAGGAAAATTTAAAAAAAGGAACCTCGAACATTGCGAATTTCTCACACCTTAATCAAACTCATTTTTCATATTGCTGCATTTTCAATAAGGCCTCTCTCTAATTTAAAAAAAAAAATTGTCATATTCATTTCATTATAAAAATAACAATTTTAACAGCCTTATTGTAAACAGCTCATTAAACTAATAACACAAATTAATTTACTAATTTCTCTCCTTCATTCAAACTAATCCAGAAACACGTTTAATTTTTACAGATTTTATTAATAATACTCGATGTTTCTCATTGGGCCGCAAAACGCTGCAATTCGCTTTAGCCCGCACTACTTATTCTAAATCAAAGTATTTTTATAGTTCCTGTCAAAAAGGAACGTGTTTATAAAATTACAAAATTTTAGTCGCTCAGTAAAATACAATCGAGTGATCCTCCTTTCACAGACACTAATATTTATACAACCAACCACACTTATTATGTGTACGTACGCTAGTTGCTTCAATATAATTAACTATTTGTGTGTTCCGACCCGAGAGAAAAAGAAATGACTTGTCTCCGTTTCGCGATTTTTATTTAAAAAATAAAAATCGCGAAACAGAGCTCATGTTGCGTTTCTTTTCAAATGTGACACGATTATGTCAGTAAAATTGTAAAATATTGAAATTTGTGTCGCTGCCAAAAACCTCCCGAGTTGTCAAAACGCCTTCGCTCGTTTCATCCGAGAGGAAAGTTTCAGCGCGAAAAATCGGTTTGAATGTCCGAGCGCCGCGACTTTCCTTCGTCGGACGCGAGCGACTCCGTTTTGCCAACGTGGTGAAAACGAAATCTCCTGCCCGGCTCGTTCCACTCGGTCGGCTAATCAGAGATCGAATGTTGCAGGAAAACAAGTTGGGTGACATTTGCTTCTCTCTGCGCTACGTGCCGACTGCCGGCAAGCTCACCGTGGTCATTCTCGAGGCAAAGAATCTTAAAAAGATGGACGTCGGCGGTCTTTCTGGTCTGACACCTTTTGATTCCTCTCTCATCTTTTTCCGCGGCCGTACTAATTGAGCCCAATGGTTCTGGTCTTTGCAGATCCTTACGTGAAGATCGCTATCCTGCAGAATGGCAAACGACTCAAGAAGAAGAAAACGAGTATCAAGAAGTGCACATTAAATCCGTACTATAACGAGTCCTTCTCGTTTGAAATTCCCTTCGAACAAATACAGGCAAGTTTAAAATCATTCTGTTTTTACTAGTAAAATAAAATTTTTAGTAAAAAATCGGCTATTAAACCTTGACATGCAGAATGATTTTCAACCATATTATTTAATTTAAAAAATTAAAATCTAAAAAAAAAAATGAATACCTCTAAAGTGCGTTTCTTTAAATATGAAAAATACCCTAGAGACCAACCTTAGCGTTAGGTAGCATTTACAAACGAAATGTCTTGTTTGTCAATAATTTCAATGAGAAATCATTATATTAAATAATTACCACGCTATTTTGCTGATTTCTCATCTTGATTATTATTTTAATATTTTCATGTTCACTTTTATGGAAAATATTGTATCACTATGAAATTTAAAAAAATATGAAATTATTTGATCTGTGCAGAAAGTGAACCTGTCAGTGACGGTGGTGGACTATGATCGTATTGGCACCTCGGAGCCGATTGGCCGGGTGATCCTTGGCTACAACGCGTCTGGCACCGAGCTGCGTCACTGGTCAGACATGCTGGCCTCGCCCCGCCGGCCCATCGCCCAGTGGCACACCCTTAAAGACCCCGAGGAGTGCAAAGAGAGCGGCTAAGCGGCCCGACGCACCCCCGACCCCCAATCACCAAATGAATTTGAGCAGAACTTTTCTCACGTCCCAATTTTTTGCATTAGTTGGAAAGTTCTTTATAAATATATTATATATTGAGGATAAAAAAAGAGTAAGAAAATGTTCGGTCCCTTTCAAATTCCGTTCGCGTGTCGTTTTGGGTAATTGAATCTTTTACGTTACGATTCTGCTCAAATTTCTGTATACACAAAATACCAAAAATTTCAGAGAGTTGTGGTTTTCTCAGCAACCCTTTTGTTCCACACGCCAGACGGTCTGAAACTACGTTTATGTTTACGCGACCAAAATCAAGCAGTGTTATATATTTGCTTTAATTTCTCCTCTCAGCAGGATTTGTAGCCTCCTGGCCTAACTAACTAATAATCATTGCGAGACGCAGCCTTGAATCAGCATGAATTACGAAAGTGCACAACTCTCTGCCAGATTTAAGGATACTAGAGTTACAAATTAACAGACACAAGAAAAATATATATATTCCATGGTTTTTATCGATTTAATTTTTTCACTCACGTATGTTATATTTATGGGGAAAAAATTAATAAATTCCGCGTTGTTTCCATATGTATCAATTGCCGCACCTCTCATCGATTGGATGTTATATTGGGAAAAAGAAAGAAGCAGAATAATTAATTATAAATCGCTGTTGATGTTGAAATCTGATTTTTATCAAAACGGAATAATTATAATTAAAAAACTGAATGGTCGTGCGCGCATTGACTGCGCGCCTGCCGCACCGGTACGTAGCGGAAGATTGGATTACACTTAAATATAAATAGAGCTCAATTGTCACCTGATCTCCTGAGTTTGATTGATAAATATATGAGCAAAAGAGGATATGAACAAGAAAATTAATAATAATTATAATAATATGAGAAGAAAAAAACAGATGCCATAGGTGCTTACACGTTGAAAGACATTCGATGGCGCGTCATTCACTTATATGTAAAAAGAATCACAATACCATGAAAAAATGAGTGTGCATAAAAAACGAGCAAGGCGTTTTCATATCACTATGATTACATAAAGTTATCATCACACCCTGTTATTTTTTGATTTGGTCGAAAACAACTGTATCATGACTATGTATAACTGTAAACTACATAAGCAACCCTTTACAAATTGTGATTTGAAGCGTATGAGATAGAATAGGCTCTGCCTTTTTTCCGACCTAGTTGACCAAACGCCGTATATAGTCAACAGTTACGAAAAGCAAGATTAAGGATTATAACGTCACTGTGTACATTACTACATTGATCAGAAAATTTTAAACTATTACCGACTCGCCTCGAACGCCACTTCTGGAATTTCCTCGAAAACTCAAATCCCTGTGTTAAAAACTTATCATTTTCCCCACATCTGTTTTTTCCTTCTTTAAAGAGAGATAATGATAATAATAATTCTTGATTAATTTCTCCACCGAGTTGAGTTTCCGGAGGTCAGAGTGGCGCTCTTATGCGAGTCGAAAAACTTATTAATGAGGAACCTGTGTTTTTGCCATACGTCCTGTTCTCTTTGAAATCGAGTCGATGTGTGTGTTACTAACCTTTGTTTTGAGGTAAAAACACAATACCGGTGAGCGCCGCTCGCTCGGGGATGAAAACCATATCCCCCGCACGCAGCGCCCGCACCCTCTCATGTATGGAAGGTACTGCTAGTAATAAAATTGTTGATGATGTGTTGTTTTATCACACTATTGAGCAGCAAGAAGAACAAAACTTGTATCTGTGTGCGTATGTAAATAATCATTAGACACATATTGTTGGCAAGGAGTATTTAAAGAAAATAATAGCGCGAAAAAATAAGAGATATAAATATAACACTCTCAGTATAAAAGGAAAATAACAACAACAACAACCATCACTACTTTTCTCTATAAAAAGAAAAACATTTTTTGCGATATCAAAGGATTATGAATCGTTCTGTAGCTGGTCACACCCAGTACCAAGACAGGTTAAATAATAAATAAAAAATCTATATATATATTATACAAATATATATAAAGGTAAATACGAATTATATATATGAATATAACGTCTTCACACTGTCGGTTTATTGTATGGCAAAGCTGCGTAATTACCATAATGGAGTACGAATATATGATTGTTATCATTATTTCCTATACTCCTCATGAGTAGAACAATGTTGTACCACTAGTTAATCAAAATAATAAAAATAAACGAATAAAATGTAGCATTAAATTGTTACCTGCCACGATTTTTCTTTTACTCTTAACCTAATTTCTGTTTTTGGTTAAAAGTAGACAAGTCGAGTTTGTTGGAAAATTCAACAAGGTGATTTTATTCAGCATTAACGGTTCAAACTTTAACAACGACAAGATAATTCAATAAGTTAGAATCAACTACAAGTTCATGGCAAATACTTCGGTTTGATCAATGCTAAATTAAGTACTGGAAAGTCCTACTTAAAATAGCACGTCTAAGGACATAAAATTGATGTGGGAATGTAAAAACTAATAACCTTAAGGTGCCGTGTCTAAATGAAAATAAGCTGAAGTCCTTGAGGAGAAATGAAACTGCATACATTTTTGTATGCCTATCACTCATATTCCTTTGGGATCAACAATAAATTAAATATTGCAAACTAAAAGTACAACAAAATATTATGAACTGGGATAGTTTAACAAATAAAGGAATTTTGAGCTTTAAAAATACTAAATGATAAGCCAAAAGAAAAGAGAAAAATGACTTCTTTGGAGAAAAAATAACTAAAAAAATCTGACTAAAATTATTTGTGAATGATCTGGACTTGCCATTTCCATATTTTTGGTCTCGAAGGCAGTTAGAGCAAAAGTAACTAACAGGAAATCATAATTACGTCCATTCCCGGTGCAGTTTCTCAGCGATGGGTTTCAAGGCTAACATCTTATCCTGGATGACGTCTGTGATCTCCTTTCGAGCAGTCACGACGTCCACTTTGCGGTTTTTCAGAGAGCTCAGCAGACCCCGCAACTGGATCGGATTCCCAACATAAATTGTGATCTACAAAGAATAAATTAGTTCCTGTTTTGGCTGTAGTGAAAAAAATCTACTTTTTTCCCTGTTTGCGGCCGATATGGAGGTTCATTTGGAAGAATTTCCTCCATCCCTACGTGCCACATAGGGATGATTGTTGGCACCTCGGGGCAGTCCCAGACCAGCTTACCGACTCCCCACTTGATTCTCATTGGTTCCTGGGTCATGTTGACTTTTCCCTCAGGGAACACGTGCACCCAGCTACCTTCGGATAGCCTCTCGGAGCAAAACTTGATTGCTTCCTGATTTTAAAATATAAGTTGGTGCAATTTTTAATATAAAAAACAAGTTTTACCTGTTCAACTCCGGCACCTCTTATCACAGGTATGCACTTCCCCATCATGAAGAAGTATGAGTGAATTTTGTTAGTAAAACAAATGTCGTGAGCCGCCAAGCTCCATCTCATCACATTTCTGTCACACAAGTGCTCCCAACTATTAAGCATCGCTAAAATTATGCAGAATTTAAGAACATAATGTAAATGATATAAAAATTAATTCTACAAACCTCCCCAAAGACCAGGATCATCCATACATGAATGATGATTTGAAACGGTGATGAGAGGAATTTTCTTTGGCCTATCCAGCTCGGCGTGTAATATTTCTTTGTTGAAAACTTTCCTTGTGTTCAACTGGGCTACAAATTATAAATATACCTTATTAATATATTAAATTTTTATAAGTTTCGAGTAACTTACAAGTTATGACTTTGTTGATAAGTCCAACAGAACCTAAAACAAAGCTGCTCAAAAGTTTCCAACATCTTGAAGGAGGTTGTCGAAGGATGGGGAACATCCAATCAGGGTTGTAAAGGTTGACGTTGTTGTTGTTGCTCATGATTAAAATCCAATTTTTTTTGGTAAAAATATAATTTTTCTCTTCAGAACATTCGCTGGTTTCTGTGGAACTGGTCGGTCCGCTCTAGTTTTCCAGCTTAATTTTGGCCTTGATGACTTCAGAGAAAATCTTCGACGGATCCATGGATGGTAGAGTCTGCAAGAAGGAAAAAAACGAATCAGCCACAGCCACAATTTAGAATGACTGATGTTTCAGCGGCTTGATGCACCAGAAACGTTATCTTACATTTGCTGCAGTCAGGAAAGAATATTCTCTGACCTCCGACAGTCAAGAGGACCTTGTTGTTTTTATTCGTGCCATATGGGAAGAGTGATTCTGCAGCTTCTGCGCAACAAGACTTCTGCGCATAGGCTCTTATTATTTCAAACTGGTTTGCTTGAAAACCTTGGCCTAGAAATATCTAGAAGCTTCCAAGTTGTCAACAATTTTTTCTATATCATCCTCGAACCAGCACAAAAAAGAAGCTAGGAAACCTGAAATTTCAAAATTCAAAAATTTTAACTTTTGAAGTGCTCTGATTTTTGCGTACCTAAGTTGAAAAAATCGCAACCCTTCAATTTCGCGGTGTTCACGCCCCTTTTTGATTGGTTCCAAGTATGCTGTTCTCTCATTGGTCTAGAGGACATTCCCTTCAAATTTCAACCAATCAGATGGTTGTATGGATTTATTTGCCAGCTGGATTTGTTTGTGTTAATCGACGCCGGTCCTAGGAAATTTTCTGGTAAAATTGCAGCATTAACTTCATTATTTTTATACTTCCATTCGCCAAAATCATAACTTCACAAAGTCTAGGCATCGATACATGTTTCAATCGAACCATTAAGCTATTTAGAAAAGGCTAAATCAACCAAAATAATGCAATTAATGCAAAGTCATGTCTTGCGCAAGATTAATTCTTGTCCCAACTTAATGAAACAATTTACAAGGTGCTTCAATTTACTTCCCCAGAGCAGAAATCTTTCTTATCAACCTGTGATAAAATTTAAGTCACATACATATACAAGCGTCTCTAGGCGCCTATTATTGCCTTACCAAGACATTACGTAAGTGAGCAATATTACGTTATGTACTTTTTAGATTTATCTAACATTTCTGTATCCTTTTTTTTTAATTTTGTACATTATAAAGTAATAATTATTGTTTTTTTGTAGCGCTCAAAGAAGAAAAGGCACTATGGCTGACCTGTCGCAATTTATTCTGCCAAACGACCAGCCTGTTGTTTCTCTTGATTGCGAAGAGGCTTTCAACGCCCTGACAGCCAAGGAGAAGAAGTATGCCCACTACCTGAGCCAGGCAGCCTGGACAGGAGGACTTGTTGTCTTTGTCCAGGTTAGCATCTTTTAAACTTCCATCTGGAACGGTACTGTAAAATTTCTATTTTTTAGACCTCTCCTGAGTCGCCTTTGATTTTTTCCCTGCTGCACAAATTGTTCCTCTCGCAGCCCATCAAAGAGTTGCAGAAAGTAGCCACAGAAGAGTGCAAGCTGACGGAAGATGAATTCAAGGCTGTTCTTGTGTACACTTGTGGTGTCTTGACCAATGCTGGGAACTACAAGGGCTTCGGAGACAGCAAATTAGTGCCTAATTTGAGTGCTGACAAATTTGAGAGCTTGATCCTGGCCAGTGCTGCCTTCAAAAAGGAGCCTGAAAAAATCAAGTTCTTGTGGGAAAAAATCAAGAAAAACATGTACTCCTTAGACACCAAGCAGAGAAGTCTCGGTCTTGGAGAAAAGGTTTTAATTGTTTCAAACTGTAACCAACTTTTCTTCAATCATGATTTTCCTCAGGGTGTCACCACATACTTTTCCAGCAACTGCACTATGGCAGATGCTGATCTGATTGGTGAGTTTATGAAGAAGAAAAACATCGAAGCCTACAATAACCGACTCTTCAAGACTGTTGAAAATGGTGTCACTACCTACGAGGTATTATTTTGCCGTTGTCAATATATAACGATTTTGACCAAAATTAGTAACTTACAGATCAGGATGGCGTCCAGCCTTGGGGGTGAGGAGCCAGGAATCACACATGCTGAGGAGGAGTTCCAGGGGTGCAAAATTAAAATAACCCGAGGTGATTACGGTGCTTTGATTGGAAAGGTTGCTGAACACCTGAAACTGGCCAAGGTTGAAAAGGAGTTCAAATCATATCTAAATACATTACATAAAAATTTTCAAAATTAGAGTGTTGCTGCCAATGATAATGAAATCCAAATGCTGGAAAATTACATCAAGAGCTTCACCACTGGTTCGTTGGATGCCCACAAAGATGGTTCGAGGTTTTGGATCAAGGACAAGGGGCCAGTTATTGAGACGTACCTTTCTTGTCCCTTCATTATCAAATTGAAAATAAAATTACTTTAGTTACATTGGTTTCATCGAGACGTACCGTGATCCAGCTGGAATGAGAGGAGAATTTGAGGGTTTTGTGGCCATGGTGAACAAAGAAATGTCAGCCAAGTTTGCGGAGCTTGTCGATAAAGCCGAAAAGTTCCTTCACCTTCTGCCATGGCCAAAGGACTACGAGAAGGACATCTTCTTGCGTCCAGACTTCACTTCCCTTGACGTTCTCACCTTTTCGGGAAGTGGCATTCCAGCTGGAATTAACATCCCGAACTGTAAGAAATACTTGAAACAAAAATAATCTCATAGATTTCCTTATTGTAATTTTAAAGACGATGAAATCCGCCAAAGTGAAGGTTTCAAAAATGTTTCCCTTGGAAATGTGATTCCTGCAAGCTATCAGGCAACTATCACTCCCTTCCTGTCTGAGAAGGATCAGGAGCTGCTTGCAAAATATCGTGTACCTGCATTTGAGGTTTTATTTAGCAAATTGTTTTTAAATACAAAATATTAAAATCCGATTTGTTCATGATAGGTCCAAGTTGGCCTACACGAGCTTTTGGGCCACGGTAGTGGCAAATTGCTTCGCAGGGAGGAGAATGGCAAATTCAACTTCCCTGCTGATTCTCTCATTGATCCAGTTACAGGCAGCAAGGTTTGTTTGTAAAACGTTATTTTCTTGCAAGAATCAAATCAATTTTATGCAAAATTAGGTCAGCAGCTGGTTTGAAGTGGGTGAGACTTACGACTCGAAGTTCACTACCATGGGATCGACCTATGAGGAATGCCGAGCTGAGTGTGTTGGCTTGTACCTGAGTCTCAACAAAGACGTTCTCGAGTAATAAACTAAGAACGGCATTATTATTTGTGTGATTCTATGTTATTTTGCCGCAGGATTTTTGGTCACAAAGGAGAAGTCGCTAATGAAGTCATGTATGTGAATTGGATGAGCTTGATCTGGAACGGAGTGGGAAAAGCCCTGGAAATGTACCAACCAGAAACTAAGTCTTGGCTGCAGGTATCATTTTAATTTTGTATGTATGTAGCAATTACTCAAATCTAAATCTCTAGGCTCACTCTCAAGCCAGGTATGTGATCATGCGGGTTCTGGTCGAAGCTGGCGAAGGTCTGGTGACCATCAAGGAAACTGATAATGGGACCAATCTGCTGCTCACTGTTGACAAAGATAAAATTGAAACTGTAGGCAGAAAAGCCATTGGCGACTTCCTCCAAAAACTTCAGGCAATTTTTATTAAATTTGTAATTGAAATAAGAATCAATTGAGCTTTTATTTTAGATTTACAAGGCTACTTGCAATGTGAAGGCAGCCAAGGAAATGTATGACAAGTATTCAGAGGTCAGCGAGAAAGGACCTTACCCTTGGGCTAAGTGGAGGCCCATTGTTCTGGCACACAAACAACCACGCAAAATGTTTGTCCAGGCAAACACGGTGCTCAATGGCAAGTTTTGAAGCTTAAAATAATTTGAAATTTACTAAATGGAACTAATTTTAAAGGTGAAGATGTGCTCTTGAAAAAGTATGATCCTTCACCTGAGGGTTTGATCACTTCATGGGTGGAAAGATTCCCTACTACTGAAGTTGACTGTCTGTTGGAGGAATTGTGGAAAAAGGATGCTGCTCATTTTTAGGGCATGAGCATTTTTATGTATTGCTGCATTTTTTTAATAAATAAATTGCAATTATGAAAAATAAATTTGATTAATTATTTACATTTGATCTAATTTTGTGATATTCATCTGCATAGGGAAATAATACTAATTTTGCAACTTTCACTTAACCTCGCCTCAAATTTCACTTTCTCTTAAAACCTAGAATGAGTCACTACAAAGAATAAAGCTGGGTTTTGCAAAATAAGATTTTTTTATTCACCAGCTATTAATTAGGAGTATTAAATTTTCACAATTTGAGCCCTCACACTATCAGGGAATGGCTTATCATCTGCTGGCTTAGCAATCTCCAGCCTAGCAAAGGTTCCTCCACTAACTCCTTTGGCCAGCCTCTCGGGATTTACAACCAACGAGTCATCTACGTTCTAAAAAAAATTTTTTTATCAATAAATATTATTTAATTAAGAAAGGGATAAATTTACCTTCACAAAGAATCGCAAGTCCGATGGAAGAACAAGCACATGTGGCTTGACTGGTAATTGTCCAAACTTCTCCCATGCCTCGAGGTGAATGTTAGCTTGGGGTGGGTACAGAGGGTAGAAGGAAGCCTGATGCAGAACGTGACTAGCTAGGCGACCCAATCTGTCTGTTCCTTGACTATACAAATAAATGAAATTATTTAAATTACAATGATCTATCTAATTGTATTCAGTAAAAAAGTACCTGGCAATTTCACAGGGACCAATGTGCTTCAAAATATCAGTTGAGGTGATTCCAACAATCACACCATCAACGTCAAGCAGGCATGGATCAGAGACAAATGTTACGTTGTTGGGTAAGTCTTTTTTGTCAGCAGGAGATATTGTGTAAGGTGGTGATGGGAAAATGGGAAGGTGATGTGCATCTCTGCTCGATGAAACCACAACTATTTGAGTGTGCGAGCTGAATGGTTATAATACATTTAGTGACTGAAAGAAAAACAAATTATAAAATTGTACTTAGATATTGGCTTAAGTGCATCAATCAGCAATCTCATGAAAAACAGCTCATATGAGTCGTCAATCACGGAGTCTTGCACATGCTGTTGAATGGAATCGACGAAAGGACCGCACAGAACAAGAAGATGAGGCTTATGCTCTTTAACGTACTGCATCAAGGCTTGCAGAGGCTCGTAAGTGAGGGAATCGGAATGAGTGTATGGGCCAGCAGCAACAACCATCTCCATAGGTCCTATTTTTAAATTTAAATCAAAATAAAAAAACAAATCAAATAGAGAACTTGCCAGTGGTAAAATCAAAAGTGATAGGCTTGTCTGGGAATTTGAGATCAACACTACTGAAAACTTTGGTCGGGACCAACTTGTCAGCAGCAGAGTGGGCTTTAATAGCAACCACTTGGCCAGAAAATAGGGCATAGTCCTCGAGTTTGTGCAGATTGAGGGAGACCTCGGCGTCTCTGTCAGCTGAGCCAGTGATGACAACGGAATTAGATGTTAATTTCAAATCATCAGCATTGCAGCCGATCCTTCCAACAAAAGTTGTTTCTTCCTGCAGATTGAATATTTAAGAATTGGTTTTCTCTTGAGTTACATTTTGATTTTTACAACTTGTTGCTCTTCCATGAGGGAAAATTCAGGTAGGTCATTCTGCTTGCGTAGCTGTTCTCCCAAGAAGTCCACGCGGTCAGCCAGAATGGCTTTAGTCAGGTGGATAGGTTCGTACATAAACTTGTAATTGCTGGCGAGGACACCACTGCCGGTTGCCATTGACTCGATTGTGACGCGGTTCTCATTACCTGACTTCCATGAGGCTCCATTTGTGCTGCCAAATTCAAAGGCCACTTTGCCGGAGGTGGCTGAGGCTGCCTTTTTCCCAGACGGAGAAAATCTGGCCAGAAATAAAAAATACTCTTTAAAAATTTCCATTTGGTTGAACTTGCTATTCAGTGATTCTATATGCATAAACAAAAGTTATCTTTTATGAGATCCCTTCAACTTACATTGCAGGCGAGTAGCTTGCCGGGGAAAAGTCCGCAAGGGACGAGTCATGTTCCGAAGCAATACGACTCACAGGTTTGGCCTGCAGAAATAAAATGCACAAAGTAAAATGAATGAGTTAGCAATCCAAATCTATAGTTAAATGAAAAAAATAAATAAAAAGGAAAAAATTTCATACGCTATTGATAAAATATTCCAGAGGCGCTGATTGAAAAGAAATCTCATGGCAGAAGTTTTCTTAAAAATAGAGAGTAATTTCTGACAATTGCTCCAGAGTCTCCAGACATATTATTGTTCTTTATAATATCAGACCAAGACAATAATAAAAGGTCAATTAGACATGTTATGAAGAAACCATAAATATATACGGGGAGCTCCACAAATTAAATATTTTAATTAAAATCAAAGTGAAATATTTAATCACATTTATTTAATCAAAACACGCGTTATTATTTAGGACATAAAAAGCAACAAGAGACTAAATATGCAACAACTTTTTGATTTTTCCACCTTTTCAACCTTAGACAAAAAAATATAATTTTGACACTAAATTTATTTTCAAATCTGTACATGCTATCATATTTATATGATGACTAAATAAACAGCAAAATAATCAGTTAAAAAATAACCATCTAATTTGGTTAAATGAAAATACACAAAAAAAGCAAATACAATCAATAAAATAATATACAATTTGTAGATACTTATAATTTACAACAAATTGAATGTCAGTCAAGCAAAATAAAAGTGAAAACATAATCTCACACTGAAGTCAAAAGAGCCACGGTCGGCCACTATTGATGAGTATGGATCTAGTCATGGGGCAAAGCTCAGCACGCACTAGACCCGTACCCATCCATAGGAAACAACCTGCCCGTCTGCATTTTTCGGAGGTGTATCATACAAAAATGAAGGTGGCGCGCAGGAAGCAGCAAAAAACTTCACCGAAAGGAACAATCTTCTTTCCTGGAGTCTGGCCGGCTAATTGGTGCGGTAGTTCCTTCAAGGCCAGCCAATGATGAGTGTAGATCTAGTCACATACATTAATGGTTCGTGTGCTCTAGACCACCACTCACCACTGGACAGCCCGGACACGTGGCAACAGCGCCGGGGCTCAACGAAGCAGACCAACAATGCAGCTCCACTGCCTTGATGCATGACATGGCATTGACACTTCTCAGTGCCGCCGTGACCCCTAATCAAGCAAAGAAAAAAAAAAGACTATGGAGAGCGCGCGTCACACCAAGTCCGACCCACAGACAGAATATTTCGCACGTTTTACATTATTCATGTGAATAACTTACATCTCATTTTATACAGCCAGCAGAATTATTAGTAATTTTATAGTCAAATAAAAATTAAAAATTCCTAATTAACAAATGGAAAATATTTCCTTAACTAGTTTTTTTTTTTAATCCGACCATGGAGGAGTTTGGAGAGAAACCAGCGAGCCGATCGCAAGATAATTGAAGTGAAAGTTCTCCGATAGTTTTATTTCGCTCATGCAATAAGACTCTCTCACAACGGGGAAATACTGCGAGGAAAATAAGAAAGTGCCTCGAGCTGCTGTGAATTGGCGCCAAAGCAACAGGTAGACTAGCCATGCACCCCAAACCCCAGCGCTTGGGGGAGGGAAGCTGCACAGATTTCGCTTCACCCCCTACGGAAGCGAACAAACAATAAATGAAAAACGGTCAAACTTGCAGGTTTGAAAGTATAAAGAATTATCAAAATTAGAATGTTAAGATTTTAAATCAAAATTAGGAATATAAACGATCAGAACACATATAAGCAGTTTTAAATTGCGATGGATTCGTTCTGAAAAAATTACGTCCCAGATAAATTAAATAATATTTTAAATTTCGAATTGGAAGTGAAAAGCAAATCAAGGCAGAAAAGAGAAACTGCTTGAGAATTCTCACCAGCGGCGCGGGTCGAGTGAAATTGGCGGTGTTGCACGGGCGGCGCGCTCACTTTCACTGCGGCCGGTCGCGGAATAAATTCGCAGCAGCGGCAGACAAGACAAAGCCGGCGAAGAGAAATAATTTTGGGCGAAAACTCCAGCATCTCTCCGTGCGGCGGAAGAGATTTGGACGCTGGCTTTGTGGTGGCTGTGGTGCGGCTTCAACGGCAGCGTCACTTCGTGGCCTTGAGAAAGAAAAATCCCTTCTTCTCAGGCAGGCGGCAGCGCAGGTAAAGAGAAAGGAGAGTGGACGGATACCTGAGGCAGGTCGAGCCACCTCCCCTCCCTCCCTTGCTCCCCGATCGACCGACCAATCTATCCTCTCCCGCCCCCACAAGCGAGCGAGCAAGTCTCTCACGAGCAAGACAAAAAATCACATTTTTTCCACACAGGTATGCTTTGGCGAAAAGAAGGAAGGTTGGTATCCCAACATGAGATGCATTGGGTTCCCACCGAAACGTGGCAACCGCGCCTGTTATATTCCAATTTTCTTTGTAATGCTCCCCTCTTTTTTCAGAAGTATTATTATTCCTGTTGCCGCGCTGCTCTCTCGCTTCTTGAGATTTCTTTTCAATGCGCACGGCCGGCTATTAAAAATAAAATGGAAAAAAAATACACGAGAGCCAACTGCTTCCGAAGTGAAAGAGCGTGCACTGTGTATATACAGGGAGAAGAGAGAAGTGCACATGCAAAAAGAAAAATTGACTTGAATAACATCATGGTAGCGCTCTACTCACCCTCTGTGGTGTCACATATCCCGATGGGATGCTAGAGCTTCTGAGAAAATGAGAGTTGAGGAAACTTTTCAACAATGGATCAAAAATTTTGTTTTGAAAAAATATATATATTAAAACAAGAAATCTCATAAAAAAATTTTCCTTTGAATATAATAATCATAAAAAATTTGAGCTTATCAAATTATTTAAATCACTGCTACTATTATTTGAAAAGGATACAAATTTGTTTTTGGTGTGTTTTTTGGTTTCTGGATAATCCTGTTTTTGGCTTTATTCCTCTCCTTTTCCATCTCGGCCACCATACGGGCCAAAATGTCTTCGTCCAGCTTGTTGTGCCACCCTAAATGGGACGCACTGAAAGCCACCCATTGCTCAGCTAATTCCTCTTCGGTCAACTCGAAGTCGTCGCAAATATCAAGGCCTACAAATGAGACCGGAAAATTTGCAATTAGTTATGCAACTTTCAATAAAACTTTCGTAAATTGAAGCACGAAACACGTGGAATTTGAAAATTTTTATATAAACCTGAAATTGCCAAATTAAACTCAATAGAGGTGGATCAAAATACGCAAGTTAGGCAGTTTTTCAACTCGCAAAGGCCGAGTTTTGAAAACCCAAGCGACCTCGTGTAAGCGCAACAAGTTGTCGGAGCGTCAGTGACCGCATCGCGACGAGTTCGCGCGTCCCCCGAAAAGAACCGGCAAAATGAGATAAAAACTTCAACTCACACTTAGACAGAGTGCCGTCCGACAGTTTGGAGACGCCGACATTCTCGAATTCGGCCGCAATAGCGTCTTTCTTCACCATCTTGCCAGGCGAATGAGAAAAACCGCGAAAACGCACCCGGTGAAAAAGGTGACACGTGACCTTGACGTATCACGGAGCTAGTTGCCGTAGTTGTCCGTCGGCAAAAACCGCGTGCAGCTTCCTAGAGAGATGCGAATAGATCAAATAATTAACGGAGAAACTTGAACTTACAGGAAAAGGTGCCTGCGAATTTTCCAGGGTGCTACATGCCGCAGAATTCAACAGTAAGCCCGGCTGCTGCAGAGTGAGTGTGTGTAATGGCGTCTGCGCGACCAACAAGTTATCAAACTCGTCGAAACTCGACAAAAGGGCGCTGTAGTCGCGCGATCGCAGCGCCATCCCTTTCAAAATCGGCCCGCGAATCTGTGGGACGGAAGGATGTTTCGGAAATTTGTGGCTTTTCAATCTTTGAAACAGTGATTAGGCACAGAGATGACTTCAGTCATAAGTCACAGGCCACGAGACTGCCTCGGCTGCAGATTAGTTTCAGGAGGAGGACTTTTGGGTGCAGGAATTTACGTAGCGTACCAAAGTAGACGAGCCAACAATCTCCCTTTCAAAGTAGCTATGAACACATTTGCATTAGGTGCGCATATCCAATTCCAGGTTGTTTTTCTTAAAAATATGATTTTTAAATTTTTTAGGAGCCGCTGGAATTGGATTAGCCCGACTGTTTAATCTACCACCCTTTGATCATCTTAGTGATAGAGCTGATGAAATTCCAACCAAAACATAATAAGCCATGTCGAGGTGCTTCGTGGTGTTTATTTTGTACCTAATATAAAATAAATTTGTGCAAATAGTGCATCTGCTATATAAAACTGTAATAAGCTTACAAAGAATTAAAATACAAATTTTATTGAAATGTTTCGGGCGCATTTACTTCTGTTTACAAAATAGATTTTACAGTGTTTTTACACTTGTACAAAATTGGAGCATAATATATTCTTTATTAACAAACTAAAATTTAAGCATTAAATGACTTTTCTTTAGAAGAATTTTGTCTTATAGCAAGCTTGAGAATTCATGTAAATCTTAGATGCCAACACGTCCAATGGCAGTATCAGTCCTCGGATCAGCAGTAATTCCTTGCAAAGCTACAATAGTCTCATTAACGTTGGTTTGTAGCTGACGAAGATCCTGGAGGTAAAGCAACCTCAAAACACGAATTGCGTGTCTGACCGAGGGATCGCCCGATTCCTCCAGCCCACTGTCAGCTTCCTCAAGAGGAAACTCCACACCCTAGGGGCAGAATAAAATTAAAATCAAATTGTGTTTGGTAAAAAAAAAATATTACTGTAATGACAACTGTTTCTGGTTTGGCAATGGCTTCGGGATTCAATCTAGTGACAACCAACTTGCTAATTGCTTTGAGGGTAACCAGATGGTCGGGGTGTGGTGTCACGTTTAGCATTTTTGCCAGCCGAAACACACCTGCTTTAAAATCATCACTTTGGACTGTAAAATTATGTAATTTAAAAATAAATTTCCAAAAGTAGGGTTAATAATTACCATCTATCCATTCAAGAGGTGTTGAGGGTGGTGTGGATGCAGCTTCTTTCTTCACGTCCTTGTATCTTCCAACTGAAAATAATTTTAGGTTTTAATTTATAAATCAGTATAGAAGAAATTTTTGTACCTTCATCAGTATACTCAAGACGAACGGCATAAGAGAGAAGCCAGTCGACTTCTTCTTTCCTTTTGTTTGAGCTTATGGGACATCCTAAGTCGTTCCTGTACTTCTCAAAGCCTTTGTTCCAATCTGGAGACTCCGTTTTCCTCAAGAGGTCTCGATCTTCAATTTTGTAGTGCCTGATTTTTTGCTCCTCCAGCCAGAGGACCAGATTTCTGAATTGATTGTCATCTGAAAGTTAACATTCGAATCAAATCATTTAATTTTTTTTCCGACTGTAAATACAATTATGTACAATAGATTAAAAACAATGAAGGCTGAAAACTATAACGTGGAACTCAAAAAGAAGCGCCGGCATTTTAAATTATAATGATGAATTAAGCTGTTCTGAAAATCAATTCACCTTCACAATCAAATGGAGATTCCGATTGGAATTCCAGAGCCTTCAACTTTCTTTTGAACATTTTGATGAATTTAACTAGGTTAGAGATCAGTAAGCAGAGAGATTTTTAAAACTAGAACGTTTCGAACTTCTAGTTTGGCTTTGCCGGTATGATTTTTAAGTCGAATCTGACAACACTATTTTCCTATTATTTGCAGCAAATGCACTGAATTCAGCGTGTCGTCAACACGTCTATTTCATTCGTCCTGAAGGGGGTGTGTCGCGTATTGTTGAGGGTAGAGGGAAATTCAAACTTCAAAGACTGCCGCAAGATCAAATTTTGTATGTATCAATAATTAATTGATTTAACTTTCATATTACAAAAACGTTTGAAAAAAATAAGCCAAAAGCAATGGTATATAAAATAAAAAAGCAAAATAAATTTACTTTTCGAAGGTTCCAGCCAAAGAGGACGACGCGACCACATTCGAGGAAAATTTACTGCGCAAATAGAAGAGAAAAAGGATAACAGGGAAGCGAGCAGGATCAATATTCTCCCAAAATAATCCACAATTTAGATTGCTCTCGAAATTTTGAGTTATTAATATCTTCTGGAAGTCTAATATAAATTATAATACTTTATTTCATTTAATATTTGCGTTTAAATTATTCTGAAACTATAAAACGGAGAAGACTTTTTTAATGGCTAAGAAGAAACATTGAGTAAATCGAGTAAATACCAAAAGAAATGCAAAACAGATTTACCATTTTGCATAAAATATCTTTTTCTTTAATAGTAAAAAAAAAAACACTAAAATTACTAATTTATTATTATTATAATATCGTTAAATTTAATATCGTTGCCTAGCTTTCTTTTGTAAAAAAAAACAATGTTAATCAAGTAAAAATTTTATGAAGAAAAATTTAGTAATAATCTGCTATATAGATAAAATTACATTTTAAGTTTTAAAACTTATGTATTATGACGTAGCATTAATATGTATTTTTATCATTTTTTATTACGTTTCATTTAAAGTTAAAAATTAAATTAGCTAAATAGTATTATACATTTTTGGCAACGTTCTTTTAATTTTTATATTTAAATACGAAAAATAATAGTGAACCTACAAATTGTGTGTACAAAAAAAATGTGTAATAATTAAGTACAGGATTTTTCTCCGGTTTTTAAAAAAGGCCGCTTTTTCTTAAAATGGTCTGAAAAATTCAGCAGAGGCTAAAATTGTGAAAATTAAATTTCTATGCTTGAAAGCTGTTTGAAATTTTCAATAAAACAACACTTACCCTCTAAAAACAGTTTCAAAGTGCGAAAAAAATAATTCCCATTGTTTTCAATCACTTCGGCTGATTTCCGTACGGTGGCCAGCCTGTCCCCATGTTACCTTGAAAAAAATAACCAAAACAGATTGGAATGGCGATGTGTCAAAGTGAACAATATCATGAATGAAATCTCCTACGATATAGAATCTTCGCTGATGAATAGTCGCAGAATACGCAAGGTGAGGCATCTTTTGCACGTTCCGTCGAAAATCACGGCGGAAAGTGAACCCGGTTCCCGTGGGAAAAGCTCCAAAATTTAGGTCGCAGTACCAGGAGCTACCGGAATGTTCTTTCCAGAAAATGCCACGCCCCCTCTATTTTGTTTACGCACCGTCACGTAATTTAGTAAATTTTTGCAATTTTTCCGCTTTCCCAGTCGTCGCATCATGTAGGACGATAGCTGGGTGAATTGCCCTTTTGATTCAAAGCGGCCCGAAATTCGGGGGGACCGCCCATCTTCTAGAACAATCTCTGAAAATTTCTCCCCCATCACGCAGTCTCGCGAGGGTCGACCGTCGTGTCTCCTCTCACTGACTCACTTTGGATGTCAGTCTTGTCTGAGAGTTTGTGCGTAGCAGACGTGGATTTGGTTTTCGCAAGAATCGCAGGATAATAGTGCACATTGCAAAGTTTCCATCATGTAAGAACCGAATTTGTGTGACTGGGAGACAATTTTCTCTTTCCTTAAAATTATTTTTTTTTAAATAAACACAATTTATTACGTAATTTCAGGAGGATGCCGATTCAGGCGCCGCAGTGGACTGAATTCCTCACCTGCCCCGTGTGCTGCAATGAGTTTGACCCTGCAGCCAGGGGCCCCATCAGTCTGGGGTGTGGGCACACCGTTTGCAGGTCGTGCCTCTTCACCCTGCACAGAAAACAGTGCCCCTTCGACCAGGTAAATAAATATACTCTTTAACCAGTAAAGAAATTGCGTAGCTAAGGTAAAAACCGGAATCAATATTTTGTTTGGAAGTATCTAGACGGAAGTTTGTTTTGTTAAACCAAATTTATTTTATTTTTCCAGTACAACATAAGTTCGGAGTTGGAGAATCTGCCCATCAATCATGCAATTCTCCAACTGCTTGGGGCTCCTTTACCTGACAATGATTTCAATGGAAATGTTAAACACCTCAATTCTGAAGACCTCGGTTGCTACAGAAGAGCAAAAAAATGCATCGAGGACATGGCCCTCTATCTGAAGCCCTTCCCAGGTAAGAACAAGTTTTTGGAGCCATATTGTTGAGCCACAGTTGTCAACATCAAAAAAGGCTAACCTGATGACTCACGAATTTCGTCACAATTTGTAATTTTTGCAACGTTTCCCACTGCAAAGAAATATTTTGTATTATTTTCCTGCTCTTATCAGTTCTTGTTGTTTTTTTCTTAAAGGAGGCACAACAAATGCGCTGTCGCGACCCATGCAGAAAAAGTTGGTCACTTTGATAAACTGCCAGCTTCTTGAAGAAGAGGGTCGAACCAGAGCAATGCGTGCAGCCCGCTCCTTGGGAGAGAGGTCGGTCACAGAATTGATTCTGCATCATCAAAACCCTCAGCAGTTGTCGGCCAATCTATGGGCAGCAGTAAGAGCTAGAGGATGTCAGTTCCTTGGACCAGGTACTTTAATTTTTGTATTAAATATTATCTTTGCCTCACATTTTTTGTTAACATGGTTGGTTAATTTTTAAATTTTTACTTTTTATTAAAAAATACCAATCTTCACAAAATTAATTGGGCTTCTTGTATTTGTTTTATGTTTAAATTGATATTTTTTATTTTCAATGAAGTATTTTTTAATACTAATCTCTTTCCATTCAGCCATGCAAGAAGAGGTCCTTCGATTGGTCTTGTTGGCGCTAGAGGACGGCTCGGCACTTTCCAGGAAAGTTCTGGTGATGTTTGTAGTTCAGCGCCTTGAGCCTCACTTCCCACAGGCCTCTAAAACAAGCATCGGCCATGTTGTCCAGCTTCTCTATCGAGCGTCTTGTTTCAAAGTATTTGCATAATTTAATGTATTAATTTGTTTACTGATTTCTTTCTATCTTTTGTTAGGTGTCAAAGCGCGAGGGTGATTCGTCACTTATGCAATTGAAGGAAGAGTTTCGTAATTATGAAGCACTGCGTCGGGAGCATGATGCGCAAATTGTGCAGATCGCCACTGAGGCAGGTCTGCGAATTGCCCCCGACCAGTGGTCGTCGCTCCTTTATGGTGACGCAGCCCACAAATCGCACATGCAGAGCATCATGGACAAGCTGCAGACGCCCCAATCCTTCTCTCAATCTGTCCAAGAGCTCATGATTGCCCTTCAAAGGACTGGAGACCCGGGAGGACTTCTCGGAGGGTTGAGGAACAGCTTGGAACTACTAGCTGCTATTGATCCCTGCTGCAATCCCACAGGTTAAAATAATGCCATTTTTCTATATTTTTTATATTAATACCTTTTTTAAAGATATTAAGCAATGAGCAATTAATAATTAATCTAAAGCTGTAGTTACAGTTATTAAATTTAATGAATATCCTAAAATTATGGTGCCTCAAAAATCAATTTTTAATAACTTCAGGGTATTTGTTTACTCCTTTCTGAATTTTGCTCAGTATTTGCATTCTATTCTTGGTACTATCTTATGTTGTTTTCTATCTGGGGCGTGTAAATACAAATACTCTCTCCAGAGAGTTCCACCCTCTATCAAAGTCCAATCCCTCCTTTTCTAACTTTATTCCTTCTGGAACAGAAACTACCGGAGCGCCCACATGGCTCGAGCTGGCAGGTGCTCTAGAGGCTGCTCGCACAGTTGGCGCAGGTCTCGTCAGGTTCCTTGCTCAGCATGGGGGCATGACTCGCAAACCTAGCGACGGCTCCATGGGTATGAACGTTGGCTCCAGATACAAGGTCAGCATGTGCCGTGACCTTGTCACAAGAGGTGTGTGCCCTCGCACCATAAACTGCACTTTTGCTCACTCGGAAGAAGAGCTAGAAAGGTATACAAAATGAAATGTTACTTGTAGCAGCTTATTTATTTAATACTTGGAAACAGGTATAGGGCCAAAAATCGCAAATCTTCTCCCCGAGCGGCTGGACATAAGATGGACGGCCTCAAGGAGAAAGGACTGTATCAATCCCCTGAAAATCACATTTTCTCTCCCAACTCTGCAAGAGATGGTGAGTTATTTTAAAATTTAATTTTAAATTTTAGAATATAATATAAGTAAATCCCAAACAAAATAAAAAGTTAACAATAAGATACAAATTGGTTTAAATTTCAAAAATCTGTTTCTCTCCGCAGGTTTCATGCCTATGCCTGGTGTTGGGTCCTCTCTGGGCATTGCAGTTCCGCGCTCCACGGTGGAATGTGGCCCATACAGTTCCACTTACCCCCCGGGCCCACAGCAGCAGTTTCAGCCAAGTGGCCAGGCCTACCAGCCGGCCTCCTCTAAGTACCCTGTAGACTTCAGCAGCACAAGTAGCGTTTTTGGCGGCACAGCCGGCCAGATGTACACCCAAGGGCAGACTGACTTTTTACAGAGAAGTCCCATGCTGGGTGATGTAGCTCCACTCGACATTCACTACAGACATTATGTTCCCAGATCGGATACTAGGAGCAAGGTTGGTTATTAAAAAAAATGATTTTTATTTTATAAATATAATCTATATTTGATTTCCCACTTCCTGTTTAGTTGGCTTCTTTGAAACAAAGGCGTCATGAAATTCTTTCTCAGATTGAGAAAATGGTCGGTCATGATAATTCTGACGCCCCTAGCCCCTCTTTGGTATATTTAAAGTGATGCTTTTTGCTGAACGTCTGACTTATAATATCTTTGGATCTATCGCAGATGCCGCTCTCAGCTCAGACTAATTCTGAATTGACTGCTTTTTCTATTTGGGCCAACAACAAGACTGGACAGGATTACCGAGACAGTGTTAATCGTTACGGCCCCATTTCTCCCAGCATCCACCGCCCTCTGCAAAGCACGACATCTCTTGTGGATGTGAAACGTGGCAACCAATGGTATTATCAGCAGCCACAAGGTAAGACTATTCTTACATAATAACAATGCAAATTTAACTAATGATTTATTAAAAAAATTATAGAAGGAGTTGTTGGTGGCATTCAGCGTCAATCCATTTCTCCGGAGAATCAAATGATGCCCAACTATATTGACCCTCTCTCCATTATGCTGCAAACTCCCAGTCCTGAGCAACACACTCCTGTGAAATCTGGCTTCATCGACAATCCGAGAAAAATGCAGGAGCAAATACGATCATTGGAGAAGAAGATCAACGATCTGAGATTTGCCTACGGGAATGAGGAAGGCGAACGCCTGGCTCAGGAACTGCGGCAAATCGAACATAGCATCATCCAGCAGGAGCAAGAATTGAAAATGGTACAATATAAACAAAAGTTGCTAAATTTCTTCTAACCTTTCTCATTTGCAGAAGGAGGAGGAAGACAGCTATGAGCGTCATTTGGTTGATGACATGCGGGAGTTTGCTCTCCGTTGGGAGTCTGAACTAGAACAAGAGGAAAAACGTTGGAGCAGCGAGGAAGAACACTCTGCAGGACGACCTTAACGGTAGTTTTTGGATAGTTTTTAATCTTTATCCACTGCATTGCTTACCCAAACATTTTTTTATCGTTGCCAATTTTTTTATTTGTCCTTAACAATACGTCAAAGTTGACTGTGGCAACAAAAGTAAATCAGGTCAATTAAATTTTTTGATGCTGACGTAGGCGATCGCCTGTTTTTGCGCTGTTCTTTTTGAAACCACTGTCGAATCAGTCATATAGATAGGTGTATATTTGTGCACATACACACCACTAAACTTGAAATGCGTACATACATTGATACTTAAGATGGTGTAGATTAATAATTTTTGGGCACGGCAAGCCCTCTTGCCCTTCCCTATTATCTGCTTAGCTAATAGCATGTTTATAATTATTAATGTTGGTTATTGTTGTAAATATCAAGCATTATCCCCTAAGCCTAAGTGTTAAAACATGATTTATCACTCCTAGAAGCGTGACAAGCTTCCTCACTTTATTTTTATTTTAAATTCTGCTTAATTTATTCAGTGATCACATTGTGCTGTGTATTTTCAAAAAATTATTATGTGTGTATATGAACACTGGTTACAGAGTCATCTCATCATATAGCTTCTAAAAGCTGATTTTCACACTGCTTTTTCTTTTCCTCCAGACGGGTGCAAATCATTTTGAAAATGGAACAGCTATCAGCCATCTATTTTTGAAAGTTATTTTTATACTGTCAAGAAAAAAAGAACTTTTGCAGAATTTTATAAATTTGCAGAACAAGAACAAATAAGTCATAATCATCAATGGAAAAGTAGTTTAACTTGCTGCATTAATATTTTACTTAACCAAAACTGAATCAAAATTCGAAATTTATGTCAACGCAATAAAGTAATGATCAGTGGCTTGGTACCCGTTAGCCTTATCTCTGTTAATTTGCAACTTACTGTGCATAGATGGCTGAGGCTCTTTACGATTAGCCGAAAAAGTTAGCGACATTACTAAATGATAGCGAGTAATATTTTACTACATAGGAGAGTAATGTGGTTTCATTTTGAGACTGTATTCTACACTAAATGAAGAATAAAAACACTGTTAGACTGAAGCCTATTCAAATTGAATGTACGGTAAAATGGGACATATAATTTGTACATGCTGTAAAAACACAATGTGTGACACTCAATATTGTTTTATTTAAATTATTATTTCAACTTTTTGTTTCACTGAAAACTACTCTTAAAAATGCCGATGATTGATAATGATGATTGTACTTTGAAAATAAGATGAAACTTATCTGCAAGACTCATTAATTCTTCTTTAATTTTTTTACTGAAACTTTGAGAAAGCATGTTGCGCATGTTTATCGAGATGAGAATTGTATCGATTATATTAATCTATATTTAAATGTGTATTATTCTACGGTGGAATCAAGCAGAATTATCATGTAATTTAATAAATCTGTTTTTATTTATTAAATAAAATATAATTCTTTTTTTACTTCAATCATAACCAGCAAAATAATTTGTTGAAAATAAATAATATTATTTGAGGATATTTGTTTATTAAATATATGATCATTTTATTGAATTAAACCATTCCCGAGTTCAGTTTGATCCAGTCGGTGTAATAGGAAACTTCAGCAAAAACGGCAGGGAAACCTGGTTCTCCGCAAGGAACCCTAGCCCAGCTTATAATGCCAACTTGGAGTCCATCCACGATCAGAGGGCCTCCTGCGTCCCCCTACAATTAAAATATTGTGTAACTTAATTTGTATGGAGATGTTCATAGTTCATACACCACAAATTCCAACTTCGCTGCTTGACCCGATAGACATGCCAGCACAAATAGACCTCTCCGTCGGACCAAAGATATAAGCGTCAATACACTCTTGGTCGGTATACACATCCAGCTGCTCCACCTTTTTCTGCTCGTTAGGGTAAGAACTTCCACTCTGCACAGAAAAAAGTAAAATGAGATCATCTTGCATAGTTTCTACGAAAAAAATAAGGGCCTCACGTAAGCCATTCCCCAGCCGACGGCTACTCCGAAAGCGGTTGAGCCATTCGTTTCTATTCCCTGGTCAATTAGCGAAACAGGTTGAACCATCGAGCCAAACACAAACGGTGGGTCAACCTAGAGTGAAAAAATTTGAAATGTTTTGTGATCAATTTTTTTCTTTGGGCATTTTACCCTCATGAGACCAACGTCATTGGGCAAGTTTTGTTGGAAAATGAATTCTTCGTGCTTTTTCAACTCCGTGACATTGTGAACTGTTGACTCGGAGAGCAGGTTTGACCCGGACAAAATCTCAAAATACTGCATTTCCAAACTATACGTACATAGAATTTTTTTAACATAAATAAAAAATATAGAATATTCTGAATTAATATACTTGTGCATGCAGTGGGCTGCTGTTAGGATGTAATTTTCATTCAAAATGGTTCCACCGCACATGGTTCTGTTCTTAAATAAAATTGCAACCTGAAAGTAAAAATATTATTCGACTTCCTTAATTTCCTGTTGAAAAATCAAACCATGTAAGGAAATTCTCCTGGAGAGGAATTGGAACCTCCAACAATCCTGGACGAAGCTCCATTTTCAATTGAGGCTCCTTTAACAGAAATAAATAGATTTGTAATTTTAAACATCAATGCAATTATATTTTTTTTTACAAAAAATCGCACCAAAAATTATTGGAACCAAGGTGGAGACGCAAAGAAAAATAAATTTTTGATGCATGTTAATTTTGTGCGTAGAATCGAAATTGCTGACAAATATTACAATGGTGCCGAAACGAGTGATTTTGATTAAAATATTATGCAGCTCACCAAAGATAATTTTTTTTATCAATCACAATAGTCAACACTTATTTGGACCAGCTTATTGTTAAAATCAATCAAATGTTAGGCTGTTATCTTTTTTACTGATAATACTTAATTGGCCAGGAAAAACCAATCTTTTAGGATTTTCCGAAATTTTTTGAAATGTTTTGAATAAAAATATAGATTCAGATGAATTTTAGTTAAAAAATTTAAATAAAGTTATTTAAATTTTTTAACTAAAACTAGTTTACAATAGTTCAAAGAATTTATCCTGACATTTATTGATTACCGTGTATATAGTTAAATGAAGATACTGGAAACTACGGGTACGGAGTGAATAAATTAAATTTTGGTGTCAACAAAAATATTTTGATTTTAATAAAATGAATAAAACGATGTTTTATAAAAGAAAAAAATGCACCCAAATTTTAATTTGTTTATGGATTGCTCGGGCTACTTGCAATTAAAATAAAATAAACCTGAAATACACCGGAGGATTCTAGATTTTTTTTTGCTCGTGTACTTCCCGCGGATCGAGGTCAAACACCTGTAACGTAAACTTAACGCTGTAAACCCTGAATTTTGTTACACTCTGATATTGGCTAAATATCCGTAAATATAAAATATTTTCTTTTAAAATATTGAAAGGTCAATGATTGTGTTGTGTAATCAATGAAAAGTACGTTTTTGTGTGGTAACAAGGGTAGAAATCTTCTGGGGCAGGAGCTGCAGATATTGGCGCACCTGACGGAGCAGCTGACGCATTGCGGAAATTCACGGAAGGAGCAACACAATTTTTGCGGGCTCGCCAAATTTGTCCGTTTCGGCCGATTTGTGGGAGGATGCGATTCGACTGAACGCCGAAATGTCGAACGGTAGCAATGGAAATGACAAGCCGCCGAACCACTACCTGCACGAGCTGCCGCAGAGCGAAGAGGAGCGGCTCGAGGGCCTCTTCAAGCGGCTGGACATGGACGGCAACGGCCGCATCGACATTCGAGACCTGACGCAGGCCCTCCATGACACCGGCGTCCACCAGGGATACGCACAGGTGTTTATCTCGCGACTCTTGTTCATATTTTTGGCCTCCGAGCCGATCGCGAGACTAGCCGAGGTTGAGATTCTTATCAGGGTCACTGACCCACTAACAGCCGAGTTTAACCCCCATAATCATGCCCTGGGGCTCGACCGAACTCGCATTTCGTTTCTCAAGACGCTCTTTGAACTTAGATTTCGCTTGAACGCATTTTAAAGTGGATTTTTATTCTTTAGGGCTTGATTCTGTGGAAGAATCAATCGCCTCTTCAAGGGGGTCGTCGGATCTAGAAGGAACATAATTTTTTTAGTGCGTGATTTTGAGTGTGGACCACGCCCCCTTCTGCAAATAGATTTTGAAACCTTGGCTATTATCTAACTTGCAATAAAAGCTTAAATTATTTTATTAAGAGCGTACAATTTTTATATACACGTGGCAATAGATTATTTGAAATTAATATTTATAAAATATGAAAAATTTTTAAGAGATTGAAAGTGGATTATTTCTTAAATTGTACAAGAGAAATTTCAATTATTTGAAGATCAAACTTTGGGCGCTAATTTTTTTCTTTTTAAATTTTTGCTATATTATTATTATAGTGTATGGTTGGAATATGTTATAAGCTAAATATTTTAGAAAAAAATTGATGATATCTAATTTCTATTAATAATTGTTTTACTTTCAGAAATTTATCGAGCAGTCTGATCAAAACAAGAGTGGTGATGTCAGCTTGGCGGAATTCATACATTATGTGCGGGAGCACGAGAAGAAATTGCACCTTCAGTTTCACAGTCTGGATGTTAACAAAGATGGTTAGAAACTCGCATTGAATTTTAGTTTAAAACTTTACTAATGCCGTTTTGCAGGAAAAATTGACATGGACGAGATGGTGGTTGCATTTAAGCAGCTAGGAATTGAAATCAACCGGGACGAAGCAAAAAATCTTTTACAGAGGTGAACAAATTTTCCTTACTATCTCTTGTAATTATTTTTTTTTTAATTCGGACATTTTTCTGTTAATTTCAGGAATGTATGAACAATTTAAAGCTTAATTTCCATGCATTGTAATGAATTTGCCATTTTTAATCCATAGAATGGACACCGACGGAACTTTGGACATTACTTTTGACGAGTGGCGCAATTACTTGTTGTACGCACCAAGCACAGACATCAGGGACATCATCAGCTATTGGAGGCACTCCACGGTGAGTACCAAGATTTATTTAACACACCGTTTTGTGGTGACCGCGTCGTTTCTGATAAAACGTCCACAAATGGGATCAAGTTGTTGAGAGGCTCGTCTTTCTTGACGCGGCAAGGTCAAGAGATCACTTGCGCAAATCTCGTTGCTCAATTAGTTGTCGGTTGGCAACAAGAGCTTAAAAAGCTAAGGCAGAAGGCTAAGGGTTGTTATCAAATTTGAACTTTCCAATGAGCCGCAACTTGTGTTATTTGCTTTAGTTATCAAGTCTGGCATTTCAATTATTGCCTCCAATTAACATCGCGAGAGCATTGTAATGTTTGGAAAGCGAACTATAATATAACTAGCTTTTGGCTGCGACGCCAATAGGAAGTAAATGAAATGATATTTTGACTTAGTTAAAAGCCTCACGTCCAAGCTGTCAACAAGATTTAATGAGAAACTGCAAAAAATTATGTATTTGAAATTATGAGGGAAATATTATAAATATAAAAAATTGCACTTTTTTAATGTATACACGTATGTCAATTTTAAATTAATTAGGAATCGCTAGAAATTACAATAATTTTAATTCTTAAAAATTCAATATGAATTTTTTTTTTCGTTTTTTGTGTTTAAAGATCAATTAAAATTTTTAATTTATTTCAATAAATATAACGCGGTTTTTAGATCAGTCAGCGTAAGGATTTATTATTTCCATTTAGTTATTAAAATCAAATTAGTGGAAATTGCATTCTGAGGAATAAAACGAAGCTGCTGAACTACAATCCAATTAAAAAGAAACCATTTTTCTAAATCTCACGGTGCCGTAATCCCGCACGTGGATCAAAAGCATGTGCGTAGAACAAAGCGGCGTGCAGCTTTTCCGAAGCCTTACAAGATTCTTTCCTCACCGCGTTCAATGTTGGGGGCAGAGTTCAGCCGCATGCGAGTGGCATCACGAAAATAGCTCTGCACCAAACAGGCACTCGCTCCCTACGGGAGTTGCGCAAGGAATAAATTTTCCTCCTCGGGAGAACATAAATCTGACGGAAAAGCAAGGAATGGAGAAATTGCGAATCTGGAAAGGTCCGTTTGTCTCTCACCATTGAAGGCAGGTCGCAGACTGGTGGTGCCCAATGGGGCGTATTGAGTGACCTGGTTGCCGTGGCCGCAGTCGCTCTGTGACTAGCGCGCGCGGTCCGAGTGAGCAACCCCTCCGCGAGTCGCCCTCGAGACCATTTAAATCTGTCGCACTTGATCGGCGGCCAGCTGCCGAGTCGAAGTCGTCGTGCCCGAGGTCGGGACTGCAGAAATGGCCGCCCAACTAGCTGACGTCCACGTCCAGGTAGGGGACTCACACACCCTGACCTTTGCCTTCTTTTGGGGCGCAATCGCTCCGTGACATTGTGACGTCACGGATGCAGCTGAAAAGTGCACTCGATCGATCTCTTTTGGCACCGTCACATCTGCGGCAATCTTGGAATTTACCAATTTCTTGCACATTTGTTACCATTTTTTATTTTCAAATGTGTAAATGAATCATTGATTTTAATTTTAACTAGGTCAAGTTATGTAATTTAAAAGATATTTTTATTTTCAATTGCTTCATCACTTTTTAGTGTTATGAAATACGATAGATGATTTATAATCGCCTTCTAAAGATCTATTAATTCTTGATTCATAAACTTGAATTATAAAAGTAAAAATTGGTGAGGAAAAAAGTATTTATGCATATTTCAAGAATAAAATATTTCTATAAATGTGTCAAGCTGAGAAACAAAAATAGTTCTCATTTTCAGTGGCACGTTCTAGTTGGTTTTGGGGTTTATAAATTTAAAGATGAATTTTTTAATAGTAATATCCCAAAAATTTTACAATTTCTCCTTTAACAATATATGAAATAGTTTAAACCTACTGAAAATTTTAACAGAATTTTTTTATATTGCTGAAATCTGAATTTTGGTTAAAAGGGCAAAATGTTTTTCTGTGATGAAAAGATGAAAATCAAATGGAAACCTTGAAAATTGCGGATCATTCCGAATCCTAGTTTGTTTCCATTTTTCATTTTAGTTAACAAAATGGTAACCTAAATTTTCAAACAGGAAATCGACAAAACAGCTGTAAAAATCAAAATCATTTTATATGCTAAAGGCATTCAATTTTTGATCTGGTCTTATATTTTAAATATTTTTGTTAGAAATTGCATTCTAACATTTTTCAAAATTGCAGCAATTTTCTCGTATCCTATTTGCACCTGGAAATTACATGAAATTGAGTTGCAATCGACAATTGACCTCCCTCATTTGATAATAATTTATTATTTGACCTCAATGCACACAACCGATCAAGTCGAATTTTTTTTGTTAGTTGATTTCTTTGTAATTGATAAGAAAATAGTTCATGGAAAAACTGCACCGCATCGTCCTAGTCCTCTTTGACATCCTTGGCTGCTCCCTCGTCCCGTGCTGTCAAAACAGTTTTACGCTCTCACCCTGCAAGTTTTTCTTAACTTTTTCCAGCTTGCCATTCTTGCCGGCGCCCAGGTTGATATGGACGCGCTTGACCTTATTCTTTGCATTGGAATTCTTCACCTGCTTTTGATTTTTCGAGTCGATCACCCTGATTTTGTAGGTCTTTTCTTTTTTCTTTGTCCCTCTGGATTTCTTTTGATTTTCGGAAATTTTCTTTGGTTTTGTCCCTTTTCTCTGAATGATGCCTGCAGGGTCCATCTTCAAAGCAGCAGGAGTGTCTGTTGTGTCGCCAGCTGCAGCCGTTGTATCCGTTGTGTCGCCTGCTGCAGCTGCAGCCGTTGTGTCTGTTGTGTCGCCTGCTGCAGCCGCAGCCGTTGTGTCGCTTCCTGCAGCAGTTGTGTCCGTTCCGGCGGCGGAAGTGTCTCCTCCAGCAGCAGTCGTGTCTCCTCCTGCGGCTGTTGTATCGCCGCCAGCACTTGATCCTCCTTTAAATTATGGAAAATTAATTATATTTCTAACTTTGTTGGTTTTAAGTATATAAAACAAAAAATTATTATAGATAAACCTCACTATTTTATGTCTTACATTAAATTACTCAAAAATTATTTTAAAACCATTTTGACATAAATTTTAATCTTTATTTTTTTTTTTAATTTACACGATTGGAGATGTCGAAACTCGTTAGAAACAACATTTTGCTTTTCAAATTTCTGACTGAAACTGAGACTTTTCCTTGAAAATTGGCTTGTTTCACGTGAGCCAGAATGAATTTGTTTAAAATTAGCGTTTTTCCCTCCACAATTTAACTTCTTGAACGTGCATCCATTTTTCTTTACTAAAATTCAGGGTTTGATTGCCACCATTTCACCAATCCATAATAGTTTTTGAAAGGCCCAAAAACAATCTTTTGCTACTGATAGTCTGATTTTCAAAGAAATTAATTATCAAAATTAAAGATCTATCTAAATTTGTCATTAATTTTTATTACCGCCATCACCCGCAGTAGTTTTTTCATCTGCAGGTGCCGTTGTCTTCATATTTCCACCCCCTCCGTTTCCACCACCCTTAAATAAATTTTTAAATGTCAACCAATTGAATAATTTCATGATTCATAATTTTTTACCGCATTGCCTTCATCATAGTAGTCTGATCCGTTTCCAGACGAAGACCCGGTGCACGATTGGCCTCCGCAGCATTTAATTATGTAGCCTCTAGATTGCTTGACCGATTGGATTATTATCTTTGGTGCTGCAGTTTGAAGTGTTTTATTTAAAATTAGTCATTAGAAGGAATCGTGAAAATTTTACATACGTGATAAAAATTTTGGATCAAAAAACAACTGTCCAAAGCACACACCGGAGAGATGCACCTGTTAAAAAGTACAATATTTGCGAGATTATTAAATTGTAATGTTTTTACTATCGTGATGAAGTTGCTTATTCCATAAAGCTTAGTCCATAGTTGCATATTTTAGCGCTTCACAACGCATTTGCGTGGTTTTCTGGTGCTACTCCGACTGGTGTAGCGCGAGTGGAACAGCATCAGAATCATCATTATTCTGTGGCAGGTGTATGGCTTCATTTCCTGGGTGGAGATGGAAACACGAAAAGCGCTTTGATACCTCGTAAAAATTGGTCATGGAAATTTAAAATTTAACAGGCAGCCTTTTTGTTAGTATTTTACGGTTTGGATTTACCCAGTTTCAACAATTTTTTAATAATTATAGCAAGCCTCTCGACAGGGAAAAATTTGTAAGGAAAAGTGAAAAAAGCGTTTTAAAATGTACGCTATTGCTGTACATTTTAAAATTTTTATTTTATTTTAGATTTCATCTTGCTAACATAAAAAAAACATTTAGTTGGATGCCACTGTGTGGTTTCAGGGTATTTTTTGCCAAATTTTAATATTTACCACATGCTATTTTGAGCAAGTTTGTAAAAAAGAAATGCAAAACAATTAAAATAACTAAATCTGTAAAGAACTTTGCTCAAGAATAATGTCAAAATTTGCGATATTTTCAAAAATATTTTGCAAATTAAGGGAGTTTCAAGTAGGTTCCTGCAGAAATAGTCAACAATGGTAAATTTAGTTGGTTTAACCAAAAGCCCCCCTTTCCCCATTAACGGTCACAGGCTGCAAATGAAAATATAAATTACAAATATTGCTCTGTTTAAGATGTATTTTTTTTTTAATTTAAAACTCAAATTTTATAAGAAAATTCCCCAAGCTGTATTGAAATCTCGCAATTTTGCAACTGAGGGACATTAGCACCAATCTCTTGAAGAACGCAGAAGAAATTACGTCTCAATTTTAATGGGCGTCATTACATTTTCTCGTTTCGCGTCACTGCCGAAAAACTGTTTGTTATTTTTCCGGCGTCAACTGGTACGCGCAAGCCGCGGGCCCCTCGGCGGCTTGTGGTATCCACGTGTGCGTGACGTCACGTGGCGAACGCTCCCTCCACTTGATCAGCTGCCGCTCGGTGCTGGGTGTCGAGAGCGGACTGTCGGCAGTCGCGACCAGGCGGGCACTGGATTCGCATAATTCGCGCCAAATGAGCTGAAAGAGATCAAAGCGAGCTGTGATTTTTTTTAATTCTTTATTCGACTGCGAGTGATAAGTTCAACGAAGAGAGTCAATCGGTGCTTAACTATTCCTATTTCAAAATGGAGAAGCAAGACATGGTGTTGTGCGGGCGAATTCACCACCACGTGGAGGACGCGTGCCTGGTGTGCCAAAACCTGAAACGCCAAATCGATCTTCTGTACCAAATGGCCCAAGTGGTGAGAGATCTTTTGACTCTTGTAAAAAATCCGCTCACAAAAATTAGCTAGTGGAGTTTTAAAGTGGTGCAATATAAAATGAATTCTTTCAAAAAAGTTAAAAATTATATATTAAAAAAAAAAAAATCGGAAAATACGGTTAAATAAATTCCTCTGATCGTGTGAAAACTTTCACTCTAATTACGCCCCAGCTCAATGAAAGTGATCCAACTCTTGACTTGACATCCTTTAATCTTTGAGTAACAAAAGGACAAGAGATGCTCATAATATCAATGTTGATTCATGGAGATGATGGAAAAGTACCATATTTGTTGTTAGATGAGGGGCCTGTAACAGGTTTTCAAAGATTCATTTGAATTGTTAAACTGTTCTTGATTTTCTGCTTACAATAAGAAGTGGAACGCGTTCTGATTTTATTAAATCGCATCATCCTTGCAGTTAGCATTCCAACACCTTGCATTACCGTAATTTTACTGCAACTGACGAGTAATTGTTCCCGTCATTGGCAGCTACGCCACCCGCATAATCTAAAAATTTTGAAATATATAACAGCAGCTGATAATTAAAAAGTTCCAGACCTGAATTGAGAAACATTCGTCTGGGCAAACAAAGCCTAATCGAATTATTTTCTATTTAATTTCTCTAATCAAACGGCGTCCAGAGTGCTTGTGACGTATCCGTGACGTCACATGGATTCCTGGAGAACGAGGAAAACCCGCCGCCTCTTTAGAATGTGAAAGCAATTTGTTTTATCTTAAAACCATTCTTGGTATATTCTCCTCTCCGTTCTCTTGAGGGACCAAATCTCATAGAATTCTCATCAAGGTTTAAAAATGCACCAAACCAAATTTAACCAGAAAGTTCTGGAAGGAGCAGTGCAATATGCACCAGAGAAATGTTTTGCAATCCTGCTATGAGAAGGACCTTCTGTTTGAAATTGTGCCAGAGTTAAAAGTTTTACAAAACTATGATGGGCAGAAATAGGAAAATTAAACAATTCAATTAGAAATTTTGGCATTTTTCTAAATTATTTATTTAATTTGAACTTTATAAACAAATTTTTTTTTTCATCATCTTTCTTCCCATGCTTCTCAATTAAGCTGCATCGTCATTCTATCAGAGTCTTCGTCATGTGCCGCATATTTTTTTCACAGAACGATAAGCAAAGTTCACGCTTTATCTGGAAAAATCCCCAACAAGCCCTTCAATCGCCAAGTAGGCAGTAATGACATCAGAAAGAAATAAATTATTGAACTATTAATTAAATCGGTATGGCACGTGTTCAAAAGTGGGTCACGCCTTTCAATCTCAAGGCGAAGGCTCCAGTAAATTTGGAGGAAAACGCGCGGGTCGCCGCAGAATTTAAAGAGGAATTTTTGAATATGTGCCAAGCCAAAATCGTAAAATTCTCAAAAATAAACCTTTAAGTACACAAGTGCGAATTTGCTGGCTTAGATTTAATTTTAATGTGGAACGAGCATACTTTTCTCATATCGCGCTCGGCTGGTTACCTAACACGGCCGTCTACACTGCAGTGCGAAACAAGGTCGGCTGACAGTGAGACTTTCTTTCGCAGCTGACATATAAATTCACTTTCATTTTCATTCATTTGATCAATCAGTTACATTACTTTGACCCAAAAGCAAAAATAAAAATTGCAGTCAAATAAAAAATTCTGATAAAGTATTTTTTTTTTTTTTTAAATATGAAATGAAATATTTCATTTTTTTTTTGCAGTTAATGATTTAAGTTTTTATATTTCATGCAGCTAAATTTGGAATTGCATTGTAGTAGCAAAATTTTAGGTTCAAGCTGAATTGCCTCGGCGTTTTAGCTGCGGAACTTTGCGTACCGAAATAATCTAAGTGGAATAAAAAAGACTAAGGCCCGGAGGAGCAAATGACGAAAATTCAGGGGTAAGGACGGTTGCGATCAAGTGCCTCCTTGTGCTTACGGTTGCGAATTTGTAGCCCTTCCCGACGACTATTTCCATCCTTTTGTCACCAAGCCAACGGCCAGGCCCTCGCTTGCAGCTTAGCCAGCCGCTCTGCATTCATGATTTATCCAAGTGATTCGTCCGCCGTCGAAAAGCCAAGAATCCATAATTATTGATTTTGCAGACAAATTTTCTCCCATTTTTGCATGTTTTTTATTTTGTTAAAAAAAAAACTAAAAAAATTATTCAAAATGGAAGATTCTAGTCCGGATATTATTGCAGTTGCATAAACGATATAGAGCGGAAAACATGATCGTAATGCGCGTTACATAAAGCCGTTGGTGGTGCGTTTTATTTAATTTAATCCTCGTTCCGTCCGCCTGGTTACAAAAGAAAGAAACGATTAAATGCGATCATAAACTCGTGTGACTCTCGCGACCTCCGGGGTCATCAGGGCAGATAAAGAGCCGACCGGCTACTGAAAATCGCGCAGTTTTTGCATCAGAATAATACATTCACTTGCGGAAACTTCAAAATAAAGCGTCAACGATGACCTCCAATAAAATTTTATTATTTCTTTATTTTCCTTAAATTAATTTATTATAATTATTATTATTTGGTTTGGGATCGAAGAACTTTGTGAAGAAAACGAGCTTAGTTCTGGCTGAATTTTTTAATTCAAAACCAAAACTAACCAAAGTGATCAAGCGTTTTTTAATTTTTGAATATTTTCTTATATTCAGCCGGCTTTCTTATTAATTTTAATATTTTTTTTTATTCTAAACTAATTATAAAATTATTACGCCCTTCGATTTATTTCCTCTTGGTGGATTGCGAGACATTTTCGATCAGTAGAACACGATAAGTTTGGCACGTTGACGGCAATATGTCGTGCACCCTAAAATATCCCATTTGCAAGGTCACATCAGTGCTCTGCACCGAGAAGAAGACGTGCAAGTTTGTCACATGGATGGCAATGAGAATTTTGACAGGTCACTCAACCAACCTCTGCAAAATCAAATAAAGAGATTGCGGCAAGTGATCATGTTTATGAGATTAGTCTGTCTGCTCTGACAATTGAAAATAAACGAGAAACACTTGTCCGTAATCACAATTTATCAGCAAATTTACTTAATCCAGTCGTTGCCAGCAGGCTTTCACGTGTATTAATTCAATTGAAAAAGATTTTGAAATTCTTTAAAAAATTAAGAAAATAAAATATTCAAGAAAAATTAATGTGGCATGTAGAATCCGCATCAAAGAGATTTTCAATTAGCTAAGTGGGGCAGTAATAATTGCGTCTACCTATCTTGCAAATTTGTGGAAGATTCATGTTGTTATAATATGATTTTTTATACTTAATTGCATTTATTACTAAACATTAAAATATCGTTTATGTTTCTAAAATCAATGCCAAATTAAAAAAAAAAATGATAAGAAGATTAAGAAAGAAAAAGTGTAAAAAAGTAAAATAGGTTAACACACTTTACAGCGGCCTATTCAAACTTATATAATGAGAAGGACTTTATAAAGTTATATTTGAACATTCATCATTTTCTATCAATAATTGGAAGTATAATTTGTGTTTACCACAAATATTAAAAATGCATTACAAATATTAGTATTAATCAGTCTGATTATTATTATTGTCTCTTTTGACTGATTGGTTTGTAAGCCAAACAAAATTAGGAAAGAGCATATTATATAACATTTATATAAGGATTATCAAATAATTTAATGTTATTATTAGAAAAAAAGAATCAACCATCATTTTTTACATTTATATTTCTAAAACTTATCTTAAAAAAATCATAAAAAGAAAGGAGGGAATAAAGAGTTTATACAATGGTCTGTTAAAACTTTCAACATGAAATCAGACACATCATTTTCTTCTTTTTTTTGTGCATTCTTAAGTAAAATACAAATTTATTTTTTTAATGTCGACAAATATTTGCGTTTACCACAAACTTTAAAAAAATACTTAAATAAATATTTATTGATCAGGATGATCATCAATAGTCTTCTAACTAATATTAAGCCAAACAATTTACCTTTAAGTCTAGACAAGCTCTGGATTTTTGTTTTGTTTTGAGACTGACGATCTTTTGATTCTGTTGCAGTATTTGGACTTCGGCGAGGACATGAACGTGCCGGACGACTTTACGCAGAAGGAAATGCTGACCGGCATGTGGTGGAGACATTTGGTCGCCGGCGGAGTGGCCGGCATGGTTTCGCGAACCTTCACAGCACCGCTTGACAGACTCAAGGTGTTTCTGCAGGTAAAATTCCGAACCATTCATTCGCTGCAGAATTCACAGTTTGCGTCCACCACACGCGGCCTCATCAAGGTCGTCAGGTTCCATCTATCATTAAAAAAAAAAAAAAAAAAAAAAATGAGAAGCACGCACGCGACTCAATATGAACTGTTGCTGGCTGGTTTACACGAAAGGGATTCCCAGTGAAATTACTTAAATTGTTACTACTTCTCTTTGAATTTTAATTTAAAAATCCCGCTATGGTTTGAATAATTTTAAGAAAAATGATATAATAATCTCTAAATTTGCCAAATTAGTAGGAAATATTTTATCTTTGGATATTTCAATGAGGTTTATCCAGATTGGAATCAATTTTAATAATTATTTATCACTGAAGTTATTAAATTTGTAAAATATTCATATTAAAATTAAATAATAAAAAAATTGGAAATTTTTTTTACAGAGAACTGTTTTTTTATGGGAATTTAATCGTGACAAATATAATTATTATAGAAAAAAAGAAAATTTTAGAGTTTTAAAGCAACTGGACTGTTATAAAATAAAATATTCTTGGTCTTTTGCTGTTCTTGTTGCTCTCAATCTTGTGAACGATTTTCTTTTGAAATGATAAAAGCCAACGGTTTTTATCAAGATCACCAGCCTCTTTAGGATATCAGAGAGCTTGAGAAATTTGAATAACGAGCATAGTCCTCTTGAGTGCAAAGATCATCAGCAGTTGATAATAATTATGAGTAAAAGACGTCAACATGTTGTCTCGGTTTTCTTTCTTTTCCCTGCTTGGCCGCGAAGAAAAATAAATTTACGCTGGTGACAAAATCAAACTTGGGGGCGCTTCCGTTACTTGTTGACAATTGGACACTCGCTTTGCTCGTGCACCTGTGAATCACATTTAATGTAGCTCAACATGCGTGAACGAGTTTCAAAATCACCAACCTGTGGTTATCTGACGCATTCGGTTTTTTTTTTTAAATACGTCCGCCTTTCTTTTAAAGTTATTCGAGAATGCACTTTATTTAATTACGTGTGTTCAAAGTTCATCCAACCTTGTTACAATAATGAAATCTAATGTGAGCCAAGGCTGGACTTTGATGCATTTGGCCGCCGCTGCGGGGTTGGACGCACTTGCTCACTAGAGCCGTGACAAATGAACCCCTCAAGAGGTTATCTGAGCAGATCAAAAGCAGATCATTGAGATTGTTAGCTAGTGGGTGAATTTCAGTTGGATTGGAAAATATCTGCATAATTTTTGGTTAATTTAGGTACAGTTGTAAAAAAATCATTAAAAATAAATTATTACTACACAGTTGGCTCTTTTAAAATAGTCTGGTTATGTGATTATTTTTTTTTAAACATCAGATCAATTTTAATTAACTATAAGAAATATTGCAAAACTGAACTTATAAATTTTATATCACATTTGTTCAACAAAATAAAAGAAAAGTTGAAAATTTTCTTCATTTTAAGTGCTTATTAGTCACTATGTATTTTGGCTTGAAAAATTTCTTTTTTCTTTTGCGATCATTTCATTATTTAAAAAAATCCAGAGCTTTACTAATCATAAATCCTCTTTTGTTTGTAGACACTTCTTTTAATCTGCCCCTGCAATTTTCGTTTTCTAACGCATTGTTTGGCCAAAACAATCTTGCCCTTGAAGCAGCTTGCACCACTTGCATAACTACAAGTAGTGCTGCTTCATATAGTTCTTTCCAACACCTCTCTTTACCAAGTGAGCTTATTAATTTGCACTTGCAGTCAACAACTCACGGCGACGTCACAGGCGCACCAAGTGCGCGTCACCGTCGCTTTCACGCGTTCACGCGTCCGCAAAATGACCGCGCAGCAACAAGTGTTCCAATTACTGGACAATCGAATGCAAAAAAGCCTGGTGAACATGGCTGAGCAATGAATTGAAATGGATTTGTGGGGCGCTCGGGTAAAGACCGGATTGCGCGTTTCTTGCACCCGCCGCGTGATTCATTTTGCACAATGCTTTGGTAGAAAATAATCACTTACGAAAATGGAAGTAATCATAAAAAAAGTTCTATATTTCTCTCAAACACTTTTTGCGTTCTGAATGAATTTAAAATTGTTTATAGTAAAATTATTTATTATGATTTGTTGGCAGGAAAAATTTTATCACTTTGAAAATACCAACTAAATTAAATGCAAATTTATAGTTTTTCAGTCTGATGTATGTAGAAACATATTTCCCATTATGTAAAATACATGAGTCAGCCTAGCAACGTCGCAGTTTCTTTCATCTGCTCTTCTTCTCTTTGCTAAAGTCGCGCGTGCTTCTCAATCGGTCTGTGGGAAAATAGCACAAGCTAGCAAAATAATCTTTTGGCAGTGCAGATTTAATTTGGTCCCCACACAATCGAATGCCTGAGCGCGTTTGGCTCATTAAGCATCGATTGGAATTTTGCCAACGAATGCTATTTAATTTTATATTAAAATATATCATTTCTTTCAGGTCCACGGGACGAAACAGACAAAATTGGTGAGCTGCTTGCGCAACATGTTGGCCGAGGGTGGCGTTTGGAGTTTGTGGCGGGGGAACGGCATCAATGTTCTCAAAATCGCACCCGAATCGGCCTTCAAGTTCATGGCTTACGAACAGGCAAAGCGGGTGCTGCGCGGCAACTCCTCCAGGGACATCTCCATCTACGAACGATTTGTGGCCGGTTCCTTTGCCGGAGGCTTCAGTCAAACTATAATTTATCCTTTGGAGGTAAGAAATAGATTTTTATATTAAAAAAAGAAATAAAACTTAAATCAATTGAATAGGTGCTGAAAACAAGACTGGCGCTGAGGAAGACTGGACAGTATAGTAGTATTGCCGATGCAGCTAAGAAGATTTATGCCAAAGAGGGATTTAGAAGTTTTTATAGAGGTTATATACCAAATCTGTTGGGAATTATTCCTTACGCCGGCATTGATCTAGCCGTTTACGAGGTAATTGAAAAAAAAAACCATAACAAAGGTTTAAATTCAGTAATAACAAAAACCAATATTATATTTGAAATATTTTTTCTGTTGATTTATAGAAAATATAATAATTTTAAATTCAGCAGGAAAAATTCAAAGCATCTTTTTTTTCTTGACACCAAAATTATATTTTGAATCAATCCTCGATTAACAACAACTATGTTATGCTTGCAAATTGAAACTAAAAAAGGTGTTCATGTCTAACGATTCCCACAATTCTTTTACAGACCCTGAAGAATTATTACCAACGCCAAACAGACTCACAAGGAAATCCAGGAGTGCTCCTTTTGTTAGCCTGCGGCACCACCAGTTCAACTTGTGGCCAAATAGCATCCTATCCATTAGCATTAGTCAGAACCAGGCTTCAAGCACAGAGTAAGTATTTAACAAAATATTCACAAGCAACTAGGTTTCGGTATCCTTCGGCTCTTCTCTTGCACCGAAATGACTGCATTAAATTATTAAATACTGAAAATTTGAGCCGTCGAATGTGCCTTGCGAATCTAAGTCCCTTCACTTGTTGCAGCGATGGTAGCAACGACTGCTGGTGTTGCTCCAGCGCAACTCACCATGATGGGCACCATTCGCAGCATCATCCAGCAAGATGGCTTGACCGGCTTATACCGTGGCATCGGTCCCAACTTCCTCAAAGTGGCGCCCGCCGTCAGCATCAGCTACGTGGTGTACGAAAGGTGTCGCCAGGCACTCGGCGTCAACATGACGTAAACGACTTTATCCCATTTAAGTTATTCGAAATATTATTTTATTATTGGCAAGAGTGCTGGTTGTGATAAAATATAAGTGGTGAAATTCGAGCGTAGACTTTGCAGGACCTTAATTTACTTGTGTCGCTTTCGCTTTTGAAGGAAATTAATAGGGAAAGCGACGCCAAAACAAACAAAGACTGAATACGTAGCTCGACGGACTATTCAGTCGCCCGATACTTAACAGAAAAATTAGGCCTGCCCTATGGAGATGTGAATATCTGTGAAGAATCAAAATTTCAACCAACCGTATTGTCAGTAGTCTTCGATTTTTAATTATTAACGTTGCCTTCATTTCCCGCAAGTGTCAAACACTGCGTGCTTTATTTTTTTAATTTCAAATGACAGACGCGACTTTTGAGTAGAGAGACTTCCTTAGTTGATCGGAGTTAATGCCCAATGAAAATAAATAAAGTTAACTCCGACCAACGGCTTGCTCTTCCAATTATCCATCTCTACTATTTTTTTTTTTAACTCTCCTTGCTACTAAAATTAAATCGACGCCTTATTTATTCAATTATTATCAATGTAAAATGCAGTATTTTTAAGCAATAACTGAAAAACTTGGCTAGAAATGTTGTAGGGTGCTCACCACACATAAAACCCCGAAATCTCTAAATTCTTGAATTCTTCAGGCCCAGACGGCGGCAGAAGTTGTGCTTGCTGGCAGGTTTATCCTTCAGTCGTCCTCCAAAAGGCCTTGATAAATTATTGTTTGAAAATAGAAATGAGAAGTGGTGTTGGTTTAAGTTCTATCGTATTTATTCAAATGGTTGAAAAAATTTATATTCTCCGAAAATGCTTAATTTTTAGTTTCTGGCAATTGGGCAAAAATCGGTGAAAGACGCACGAAAAATAATTGTGATCAAAAAATTTTGATGATTTTTGTACAGAAAAAATTAAAGGCAGGTGAGCATGGAAGAAGTGCCAGGAGCCGAGATACACACATTCCATGCCCGTGCTTTGTTGAATGTTGTCTTCAGTCATCCTGCAGTGCCGGTGTTTTTTCCCTTAAAATTCTCTATCACAACCAATAAGATATAAGTATGTGTGATGATGATTGATGTCCACTATTTTGGCTTTCCTTACACACTTGTTACTGTTGATCACACAAATCGTTGTTGTTCTTTGAAATATATGGAAAAAAAGAGTGTGAAGGAAAATTGGAAGTCAGTGTTTGTTTACATTCAAAATAATAACCATTTGTGAAGATGAGCAATTCACACTTTGCTGTGAGCCATACCTAACGTTAACTAATGAATACTGTTCATATTGCATTAGACATTTACCCATTAAAAAACTTTAAATGATGAAAAGACACATTTTCCAGCTATCACCATGTTCGGCACAATTAAAACTAAAGTGCATAAATAAAATATATAATATGATGATCAATCACACTGATTGCGGGCGTCATTACACACTTGCTTGTATCACAGCTGAAGAATTATAAAATGAAAAATAAAATCTTCAATAAGTCCTAACCAAAATTCTTTCTTTGAAATAAGAATCCTATAAAGAGATTATTATTCAAAATATTTTCAAGATAAGATAACTCGTGTAATATTTTCATTCTTTTTGTTCAATTGGTGAAATGATATTTATATGATAGCAATTAACATAAAATCAAAATAAGTATAAATCAATGAAAATGCACAGTGACTGATGAAGACCGATAAGAAATTTAAAATAGGTCTACTGAGTGAGAGGAACACGATCTTGGACGATTGAAGGAAGAGCAGCTAATCAATTCAATGATAAATTGTTCAGACACAAAGTATTATAGTTGCTCTCAAAATTAAATTATCTAATAAATTATATGCAAGAGGTAGGCTTCCCGCGTGTCTCTTATGTCTAGCATATTGCCTAAATCATGTCACGTCAGGCAACCAGGCTATTTTATGTTCACATTAAAAGTTGAAGCTTGTGTGCAATAAAAAGTTTTGTGTATTTTAATAATAAATAAACAGTGAAAATCGAAACAAAAGCATATACTTACATTTTCTATTTCATTATTTATTTCCCTACAAAAGAATGAAGATCTTCAAGAATAAAAATCATTAATTTATATCCATTTCAATCTTTGCGGCATTTTAATTTAAGAATTGCATATAAAAAATTTTAATACAGGTTTGAAGTCCACGTCTGTCTTACACGTTTTGCAAAGTTAATTTTCTACAAAGACATAACTTACTCAAAAGTCTGAGCTTTACTTGCTAAGTCATTTTTTCAATTAATAAAAGGTAAAGTGGAGTGGAAGTCCGTTCATGTTCAAATTTATTTGTTCAGAGACATTCTAGAAAAAGTATCGAACGGTATTGAAGTATCATCAATAACTCTGAATAAGTAAAATTGTTTTTCCATGGGGAAAAAGTCGTTGCCAAAAATATAAAAGTGGAGGCAAAATTTCGCCAAGGGCTGCGCATAACCAACCAACTTCAGAATCGAGTTTTACTTCAAAGCATTCGCCTGTTTGCTGTGCAAATTGGGTTCTGTAATTGGGCTTCTGGAGGACTGGATGGGGTAATTAGTATGATGGGCGGTGGCTGGTGTGATAAATATTCAGCCCCCGCAAATTAGTCCTTATTTTAGTATGCATGCCTGGGTAGGCAGCTGTGCGGCAAGTCCTAAATAATAATCACGTTAATAAAACGAGATGTAACTTTACATATGAAAACTGCTTTTATTATTTTTTTTTCACATAAGCACCACACAAAAATAATATTTTATTAGTTTATAGTTATTTGTTATTTTTATATTAATTTTGTTTTTTTAATTTTGTTGTTGGTTTAAAATTAGGAAAACTCAACCGCATAAATTTACTCATCCAAATTAATGAAAGAACAAAAAAGTTAAAAAATAATTCATGTTTATTTACAATATAACAAATAAAATAATTAGTTAACTTATTACTGAAGCAGTCCAATTTATTTTAGAATTAAATTAGAATGTTTTTTTTTTTATTCTTCACAAGTCACGTTAAAAATAAGAAAATAAAATTACAAAATGAGGAGAAACGGTTTCATCTCACGAAAAAGGTCGCTCAAACGTAGGGTTCTGAAGATAGGTGCGAGCAAAGATAGCAAATGATTTTAAGTGAAACATTGAAAGCCACAACTTGATGCACCCCACCTAAGATTCACTTAACTTCTTGAAAATTATCAATTTTAAAGTTTTTAAAAAGGGAAAAAGGAAAGTATTTTCATATTTTTTCTACAATGAAAAAAATCGCGAATTCTCTTTTCGGTCTGCTCTAAAAATTTGATTAATTATACAGAGTGAAACGCAAATGCCGCAAAAAGCCATCACTTGACGCAGCCTTTGATGCAAAATTGAATTGCAGCTTTTATCTCTCCACTAGCGCTCAAGAGAATTGAATCACTGTGGCACTAGCCGTGTTATTAAACTGTAATTAATGATGACATGACGTCACACACATCGCGTCAACCGAATTAAAAAGCTCTCCATCTCTATAAATCAACTGGATAAAAAAAAACACAGCATTATTTATTACGTGTCACATCGTTTTATCAAAGTGATGCGTAAAATCAGAACAAACAGTCAATTAGCAAAATTGCCGATAATGATAAGTCAAATTTGGTTGTTTGTTTGATGAACTAAAATTGATTAAGCCAAACATTTTTTTGCTATTTATAAAGAAGTATTTAATAACGAATAAAAAATACTTTTCATATTTGATCATTATATACAGAGTAGATATTATTGAGTAGCTTTAATAGTATTGATATTTTAACTTTAAAGGAAAAACAATAAATTGATACAAATTTATTTATTCACAACCAATTTTTTAATATCTTACAAATAGTTTGTATTTACCGGTTCTTTAATAATGGTTACATATTGATAAGTAAAATTTATAAAAAAAAAACACAATAACTTCTGAGTTTTTTTCTTTCTAATTTTGATGAAATCCAGATGCAAAGCATGGTGAAAGTGAATCGATTTAAATTACATGTATTCAATTATTTAAAAAGAAATTTTCTTTAATGAATAATGCAGTATAAAAAATAAAATAGTTAAAGTGCCCTTTTTGCTTTATCTCAAGGGACGCCTCATAAATAAATTCAGGAAAGATGCCCGAACAGATTCTATATCACAGCACTTGGCTACGAGCACCTGCTGTCTTCAATATATCTTAAGCGGGGCAATATATATTTATGTGCCGCGCGCATTCCACCATAAATAGTGGGCGAATAAAAAGAAGAAAAAAAAATAGCGAAAGAGGTAAATGGTCAGGTGAGCGCTGCCGATAAATTGGCGGCGCAACACGTAGGGGATGTGCTTGCATTATTATAATGTGTGCTGAGATCGATTTTTGTTAGGGGTCGGCAAGTTGTCGAGAGCGAGGGAAAATAAAGGGTGGAGCGCACAGGAGGGATGCTGCGCCCGCTGTGCTGGAGCACACGCCACTCGCAGGTCCCCGCCAGTTGGATCTCGACACCCGTGCAGCGCGGGACGCAAACGACACGGCTCCGAGCGAGCGAGCGAGCGAGCGAGCGAACCACCCCACGAGGGGTAAACTAAGTTGATTTCAGCCGCTGCAGCCCGGGCCAACCCAGCCTCAAAAGTCAGCGAAGGGATGATTTGCTAGAGACGATCTAGTCCATCTGGTGAGACTTTTTTCGGCTTCTGGGGTGAAGAATGTGGGTTATCGTGGCCGGGGTTGAAACTGTGAGGGTGGATGGGGGTGTGATATTATTTATTTAGAGACGAGGATAACCACGAGATGTGTGGGGCGATACATTTTGCTCTTTTGGATGGCGCGGATGACGCAAAAGATGAGATGAAAAATTCATCTTTTGAACTCCCTAAAGCAGTTCATTTTAAACAGATAAATGTGAAATGTGAAATTAAAAAAAAAAAAAAAAAAAATAGTAGTACGATGTTCACTTTAAAATTATTCATAATCATTTAAAATAACAAAAAGTTTCTTTTTACTACTTGAGTTGATTAAAATAAAAATTGTAAAATTTTAAACTTTTTGCTGCGCTTCAAACTTTTTTCATTAACTGAATCAACCAACCACAAATTAATATCCAATTAAGAGTTAAAAATAAGCTCTTCCGTCATCCCATACTGCGCCAAGCACCTCGGGCAATTTTGTTTCGTCGCTTAGGAAGAATTTAATCAACGAGGCGTATAGAGCTATGCTCGTAAAGAGGACATGCAATATGTACATTATGCGTACCCAGTGAATATTCTCCCCCAGACGCTTCTTCAATTTATCGAAAGCTATTTACACCGCAATATGGAAATGGGTGAACGATCTGCAAGTGCCCCTTTGTGAATAATTCAAGTAATAATTCTCACCGAGCTGGCAATTAAAATAATGCTAGTTATTTGGAATTGGATATGAGAATGAGAAAACTTGTTGAACTTTTGTCGCATTTCTTTAAAAGGAAACTAATTAACTGCTCAGTTAATGCTCCTCCATTCAAAGAAGAAATACACATAGACGAGAGAACGTTGAAATAAAAACAAAGTACGTTCCTTTCTACTCACGGAAGAAACTGTAACACAATAAAATAGCTGTGGCTTCCTTTTGCTATATCTCTCGACGTCAATCTGAGGTTCACGGGAAATTAATTTGATCGTTATATCGACTCTGGTTGGGTAGACACGCTGGCCATTACTAACCGCTCGGACAGTCTAGAGAAGACAAATGCGTTTTGACACACCATTATGGTGAACAATTGATGCCTGCTGTCTTTCCAATCACCTCGTGAAGTGCTACGAAGAGAAAGGAGAGACACTTGGAAATGGAGGTTGACACTTGATCCAATGAATTTGGTCTCCGCACTGACCACAATAAACACTAATTGACAGTTGCACGGACGGGAAAAAGCTGTTGGGAATTGCGAACCATGCCCTATTAAAAATAGAGACCTGAGGCAAGTTGAATGTTTGCGATTAGTTTGAAAGCAATAAACTCTTGATTGCTATGCATTCACATGGGGAAAATGCGAACATATCAAACTAATGGAAAAGTTTTAACCGATTTAATCACGGCTTATATTTTTTTGACGCGAACGAGAAGGAATTTTTTATATGGATATTCTCATGAAAAACTTTCATATAAGAAATACATTTGACAATACATTTTATATAGGTTTGCATATTTATATTTTTTAAATTAGTGATCGGCTACTTTTTTGGATGATGAAATTATTAAATTTTAATTACAAATAATAAAAAAAGTTACTTAATTTGAATTAAGATAAAGCTATACATAACTGATACATAAAACTATGATATATACGTGTTTTAAATTTCAACGGTAATTTGCTAGCTGCTTTACTTTATTATACTAATTGTGTATGCTAATAATCTACAATTTTTAAATATAAATTGAAATTTAAAATAACATTAAAACAATATATTTTTAAATTGACTAAAAACACAAAAAAAGAAAGCTATATTTACCAAAGAGATTTTATTTTTTTGCTAGCAGGCAAAAAAGCAATATTTTTTCTGCTGTGATTGGCACTAAACAAAGCGGTCCAATAGCCTGCAACGGTTTCGATTGTGCATAATTGTTAGCGCGGCGGAACTGCAGACAAACAGATAAAATTAAGCTTTACAGGATTAATCCACAAAGCCCTCCACAAACCGTGAAGAGCGCCTGGGGAGTGAAAGCCGAGTTCAAACCCAGCACTGAGGCGCGTGCAAATAATTTATATTCCACTCTTGTTTCCAGCACCCGACACGTTCCGGATCTGCTCACGCGAAACGTGAACAAAAGGCCATCGCCAGTGTCGTGGAACTATTCGTCGTCAAACTAAAAAGCTGCCAACAAGATGCCAGTGGGCGGCCGTGTTGCCGGCAAGGTCGGAGTTTACTCCAGTGGCAGTTCTGGTGAGTTAGTGCATTTCCATCCTCCAACTGTGGGAAAAGAAAGAAAAAAAGTGCCCAAGAAAACTGAGCCTGCTGAATAATGGCCCTCTGCCCCAAAAAGGAAGCAAAAAATAATGAAAGAAAAAGAAAGCTTGACGTCTTTCTCTTGGAGTAAACCGGCATGGTCTGAGCAAGGCTAGATTTCCATCGGGATTCGAGTAATGGCATTATTTGCTCGCATATCTCGCATCTCCGCCTTCTCTTCTCAAACGGAAATTTCATATCAGGGCATCCTGATCTTTCCAGGAAAGAGTTATGAGGTGGAGAGTTTGATATTTATTCCTTCTGCGGTACAGGAGGAAAGCAATAATTGCTCTCGTTTTCCGCGAGAACTTTTATTCTAAGCCTCTCTTTTGCACTGGTGGAAATTCCGCTCTTTTCTCGCCGCGCGTTGGAATAACGCAGACCGACAAACGCACAAACAGAACAATACCCAGCTCGCATTCCGCCTGACAGAGAGTGAGAAATGCGCGGTGCCTCGGGCAGAGATGAAAAATTGCCGACAAACTTGGCACCCGCATGTCGGCTTATCCAATACAAGAAAAATTTCATTGTTTGGAAATTTATTATACTAGGCCCTTTTCCGCTTGGCTTTTTCTGTTTTTAGAATTTCTCTCTGGTGCTCAAAATATAGAGCTTCAAGTTAATTGCACTAAAGTACTTTCCTGTCCCACTTTTTCATACTTTAATTAAATCCTATAGGAGATAAGCAATTATCACACTGTTGGAAATAGTAATAAATGTCACACAAGATGAAATCATATAAATAGTTTTGTCGTTGTATGACGTCAAACATAATTAATGTGCGGCAGTCAGATAAATATCCATCTTTCTCAGACTACTTTTTCTTTACTGCGAACTAATGAATACAAATTATTCTAACAATCGACATCTGGCATCTGACGAAGATGAAGAAGAATTGTTGCGCGTGTTGAAAGAAAAGCATTCTTGCCGTGTTGTTTATTGTAATCCTGCAGCGCGCCCTTGCTCTACTTGAGTCCTGTATAGTTACAATGGCTTGATTTTCCTTCGTCTCCCCAACCTTGGATCGAATAGTCTTTGCTGCCTGGAAGATGATTTTCTTCTCGCTTCGACAATCGCACACAAAACGCTCTCGCCTCTCGCTCCATTAGCCTACGTTTTGGCACTGGCTGGATTATGCAACCGGCCCAGCACAGTAGTTGCGCGGGTTGCGGCAACCGCTCGAACAAGTAAACTTGATAAATGGGGCGCCTTTAGATATGGGAACGAGAAACTTAGATTGCTCGAACAAACTCTCTGGAGAAAATGCCAGCTCCTAGTTCTAATATAAAAAGTGCGATCAGGGCGATCAGGCAAACTTTGATGAGGCGATTTGAGCTCGGAGAAAATTTCAATTGCAATTCAAGACGCTTGTGGAGAGGATGCTTACATAGAATCGCTCAAAGTAATGCAGTAAATTAGAAAAGCCATCCATTGAAAACTAAAAAAAAAAAAATCGCAGACTTCGCATTCCATGTCTGCACTCTGAAACAAGATAATAATGTCTGGTCGTTTTCAAAATTTATTGCGTGGAAAATCAAGGACCCTGGCATGCCTCCAGCCGACTATCTCACTCTTCAGCTTTTTCTTTTTTAAAGTGTTGCATGAGCACTTTTCCGCCAGGACACATTAACTCTCTGCGATCGATTGAGAGGCAAATGCTTCCATATTTTTTCGACAAAAGTTCTGATATAGGGCTGAAAGCATGCAATTTTGTATTCGATTCACGTCCACATGCCGGAATAGGAAATATGCCCAGGCTCAGAAAATTAGCTTCTCGGAATGCAACAAGATAGACTGGGAATGCGATTACCCTTTTTCATTCCTTTTTTGTTGCCACCGCAGCTGCAAATAACTGCCAGAGAGTGTGTTAGATTACCGGAGAGAAAGGGTGCAGCGATAAAGAATGTCCTCTTTGATCATTGCCGCCTGCAGATGAAGCTACGAGAAGCAGCATCGGGCAGGCGGAGGCAGCAAATTGGCACAGACCTAGGGTTATTTGCCGAGCTTCCATTGCGAGAGGCAATTAATTAATTGAATAAAATGGAGATTTCTCAACAAAGATTTCTGAACAAATCAAAAAAGTTTTTCCTTCTCTTCTCTTATAAAAAAAGGCAATTTTATGAACTGTCAAGCAGACCATTCATTTGGAGCAGTGAGTCGAGAAGACTCGAGTCTCTGCAGTTTTGCAGAAAACGCAGAAACGATCCATACTTTACTGCCTTGCAGCAAGAACAGTCCGGAAATAACATACCCATCGCTGTCACCGACCTCCTTGATTGATCGCGCTAGATGTTTATCAACAAAAAGGGCTATAATTGCGTAATTTATTTTATACTGCAGCACATGAAATTTTGATTTATTATCTTAAATTGGGTGTAACTTTAAGACTTAAAAGTTTTTAATTCAAACGCTCTAGGATAAAAAACTGATCTAAATAATATATTATATGTTGTACTTTATATATATTAAAAAAATTAACTTTTATGTCAAAAAAAGCATTAATTTTTTTACCAATTTTGGAGCTTAGTATATTTATTTGAAGTTCAAATAAAGGATATTATATTAGGCAATATTTGATTTTGTGTCGCGTGTGCAAGTCGAAGACAATTTTCCACAATTTTCAAAGCATGGACCAAAGGAGTGGTAAATGGAAAGGGAAAAGAGGCCAAATACCATTTTCACTTGGGCAGTTCCTTTACTGATGCTCTTTGCGCTCCTCACAAGAGTTGCCATAAAACGGCATTCAGTTGGTTGTTGCTCTGTCAAGTCGTTCGAGCTGTGATGCAACTTTGCAGTTTACAAAGTTAGGCGTCTGGTGAGAAGAAGCACCAGAAGCACTCAAAGGACTGATGAACTTGGAGTTATGACATTCCTTTCAACCTGGCTGCCCTCACACAAACAATTTTTTTTTCTTTCTCAAAGTTGATGACAAATATTTGATTTGATTTTTATTTAATAAGATTTGAAGACTTTCAGGAAATATTAAAGCTAAAATACTTAAAAAGTAAAATATTCATGAAAAAGTTCCTGCTATACTTTCCGAGATTAATTTTCTTGCCAAGAAAATTGTACAATTTAATCATTCTTGTGTGCTTCTAGCAAATTAGCCCTCTTGTTGCATAAACTCGAGACGACGCTAGGAGCAATTCCATTTTCCCAGCCACGCTCTTTGTCAAATGCTGGAGGCCTTTCAAGGACCAAAACATGTAACCTAATTTCTATCCTCTGGCTTTCCACTCTGTGCACCAAGTTATTAAAAAAGGGAGTGCGCAGCAGTTTGTTTTTCAGATGCGCGCATCAAAGCGTAATAAATCCAACTTAACACTTCCGTACCAGTGTGGGGCCTACCTGGTGAAAATGAGTTAAAAATCGATACTGCGACAAAAAGCTATGTGAAAAAAATAACTCTCTAAAGTGAAGGGATGTATAAATACATATAATTTTCATATTTTGTGGAAGATTTTTCATTGAAAAATTCTGCAAAAAGAAAGAAACAAAATATTCCTGAAAAAAAAATAATGAATAATTATGAAGAAAATTTGTCATTAATGGTGTCTGAAATATATTTTCATTAGATCTGTTTTGAAACGGGTATGCTGCCTGAAGCTCAACTGGATGACGCTAATGAAAAGCTGCTCGATTGAAGTAGCAGCTGCTGGAATATTAGCAACAGGGCTTGTTTGTTCCTGAAAAGCCGAGTGTCATTCAGCCCAAGTTGCACGCTCGAGTGAATTAGCTCAAGTTAACTCGCCTCGGGGGCTACTCAGGCAAAAAATTCACCCCTTACTCTAACCTCTGATTTTATTTTGACCGCTGAAAGCCAAAAATCAAAGGAAAGAATGTATATGGGTTGAAGTTTTGACGTTTCTCGACAACACAAGTTTGCGAGTCTGCAAACTTTTATGCGCCCACGTAAATAAATAAAGCCGCCGACGCTTTTTTGGAGCTGTGAGCTATCCGAGAAAAAGTAATCTCCCGGGAAAAGTTTCTCCTCGGAGGATCGACACATTTTCAGATAGTCTGGGGAGCAAAATAATGTGCAGTGTCACAGTGTGGAGTGTGCGGTTAGAATTTGCAAGCAGATTGTTTGAAACCGACCTGCCCACAAACCGCGTCGGTCAATTTACTTTTCATCGCAGGCTCAGTATTGATTATTTACTCGGCTCTGCAAATCGGCTGATTAATTAAACTTTGTATTCGCGCATCGTTGCGCAGTTGACAAACCCAGTTGGTTCTGATTTCCGCCTCTTCTCCGCGAGTCGATTTTCCTTTCTGCCTTGTGAAATTCGAACGACGTAATCAAATATACCTGACGGTTCGACGGTTGGCTTACGGGCTTTGAGGAATCAGGATTGTCGATGTTCTGTGCCTTTTCCGAGTGTATCAATAAAATCCAGCTGAACTTGCACATGTACACGCTGATTGTTCAGTTTCTTTTATTTACCTTTTTGCACTGGCGCATGATGGAATGCGTACTTCGCAAACACAGAGAGACAAGTAATGGAAAAGTTTCAGCAAGCAAACACGCCAAACACTTGGAATGGCGTATGGTATTGATCGGATTGAAAACTGGTAAATACAGGCATGAAATTTTAACTCACGGCAAAAAAAAAATTGAATTTAAATTAAATTGAATCAATACATGACAAGTTAAAATTGTTAAATCAGCTGTTGTTTCAGTAAATGTTAAATAGCAAATTATTATATTTATTATTCATCAGATTTGTATTTGATTTTCAAAGTTTATTCATAACATTCGATCGCTGAACATGTGACATTTTAATCAAATACGGTCAGCAAATTCAACAAATCAACGCCATGAATTATTTATTTAGTAAATTCAAATATATTCACCCAGCGCTCATCCTATGCTAATTTTTTCATTCTCGTCAAAATTTGATCAATATGTGACTTTCCATTCACAACGACTCTTGTCTCGTGATTGAAAAATTAAACAATAAAAAAAATTCTTCGCTTATGAATTTATGAATGGCAAATTGAATTTATCACCTAAATAGAATAATAATTCCACATCTTGCACGTGAAATGAGAAAATTTCAATGCTTTTATTTCACGCGAAATAACAAGAAAGTACAAATCCCTGGACGAAGGAAATATAGGCCGCCGAGAAGAGAAAAGCAAAACCGCGCGCATCAACCCTCGAGATAAGAGCAGAGACTCATGAAAACAAAACGTGCTGGAATCCAGCCGAGATAAAAAAGAATGGTCTATCTTCGCGAATGCAAAACAGCAGCGACCCCATTAAAGCTGTATTTTTTGCCCAGCTAAATTCACCTCTGGGGAGATTGGCGCGCGGATTGCTACAGCGTATCCGTTTACCCATTACTGCCCAAAATGTCCCCGGGGAACTGTAAATTTGTCTGGTGGAAACTAATGGAGTGCGTGCATTGACTTTCAGGCCGCAGCTATACGGGCATCAACGAGGAGATCATGTGGGTGAGCATCGGCATGGTGATCACCATCGGTATACTCATCATCCTCGCCCTGTGCTACATCGCCAGGGAAAAGTGCAAGAAGAAACGAGAATTCTTCGTCACGGCATGATCCGCCAAAATTGCGGCCGTTTGATGTGCAGGACGGCACTGACTGCAATTTTTGTGAATTTTCAAAGTGAGCTCGCAAAATTGAACGTCCCTGTCAGTGATAAATGTAGTGGCTGCAAAAAAGACACTTATTCTACTATGGGAAACTTATTTACACAGATGAATGGAAAATAAACGCTTCGATATAATTTTTTTTTTAAATGTTTACTGCTTCCTTGGCCAAATATTATCTTAATTAATGAGCATGTTACATTTTTACTCAATTCTACCTAAGATGGAGTAAAAGATTGTAAACTGAATTATATGCATTTATATTTTAAAAACTGATTATAATATTAATTAAAGCAGACCTTTATACTTTTGGAGAGATATAATTTTTTATGATGGATATTATATTTATTTAATATTTATATCAGGAAAAAATTATATGTATTTTAAATATGGTATATTCTATTACATAGTTTGCAAATTGCAAATCAAAATGTTATTTAATTATAATGATATTCACAGAGATTTGAATGGATGGATATTTTATTAACTGTAAATTGAGAATCTGTCTTCAAATTTTGACTCGTATCAACTTCGTTTCACTTTGAAATTGTCATTGGTGTGAATATGAAACGTGTCATAAACAAGCAAGCTAATTAAAAAGCAGGGTTTCACTGTTGCGTTAGTTTGTAGAGAATGTGTTGAATGCATCACTAATTAATAAGCTGCGAACCACAGCTCCTTTTGTGCTGCATTAATGGAGCACATAATATACTGCATACAGTGTAAACAAGACCAATTAAATATCAGGAGAATATGTTAAATCACAGGCAGCAACAGTACGCACCAATAAATGGCAAGCTGGAGAACGAAGCGGAAGTTTTCTTTGAATGTATGAATATCTCCCGAATTACAGATTTGTAGACTGAAATAGAACACGCGCGGAACTGGAGCTCTGGTGAGAGATAAAACAAAGGAATTTCAAGTGAGTGTTTGTTCACCGCCTGCATGGAGCCTTTTCAACCAGAGCCAATGTGCAAATGAGACCAAATTTGCAGAAGCTCTTTGTTATTCAGCAATGGATACACAGCTTCACCCTCCCTTTGCTCTCTGTGATGAAAAGCCGCACTCATTGTCAGTCAGAATAACTAATTAGAAATCATTCCTGCGTCAAATTTTATCATTTTTTCCACGTGAAAGTTTTGTAATTTATTGAAAGTAAAAGAAAACATTTTGAACACAACCAAGGAAAAAACCGGAAGAAACAAAAAACTTGTAATTGTGTTTCCAACAGCTAAGCTGAATTAATGAGCCCTGTCAGTCAGCGTCCTTTGTATTATTTTTCACCGCGTGACCCAGATAAAAGTTCTCGTATATTGGATTTTCGCTGAATGCCCCTGTAAAAACATCGGCTTTTTGCTGCCTGCTTTAATTGGGCATATTGATCGTGTCGCTGTCATACTGAAGCCGATCAATTATTTATTCCTTATACCGTTGCATTGAATTTGCGATTTCTGACAACCAATTCAATACAATATTGTATAGAAAGATAAAAGCTTGTTGAATTTTATTGCATAGCATTACTTTTAATTACCTTATTTTAACTTTAAGTAATATTAATATATTTTTAATAATAATATGATATGTTTTTTTTTTAAATATAATATAATTAAATATTTTGTTACTATTGAAATAAATCAATTTTCTCATATCTTGCTAAATATAAATTAATTATTTATTCAAGATATAGATAGATGATCTAATTGAATAACATAATTATACTATTTTACCTTGTGAGAACCTCATCGTTTTTTTATTAAAATTTCATATCTCTAGTCTGGCTGATTATTAATTTTACATTAATTATTTTACATATAGTTCAATTTTTACAAACCTATATACAAATGCCATTACGAGTAGCCAAATATTTTCACTTATTATTAATTATTGTTGCTTTTGGCATAACAGTATCTTCACAGCAAGCCGCCCCTGGCCAGTGTGCCAAGAGAGGTAACACTATTATCAAAGTGTATACTGCTTTTATACTATAAATAGCTGAAATTGTTGTTGGTATAGCTTAACTGGTGCACATCTTAGTAACGTATACATTAATTAAACCACATATCGCAGGGGATATTTTGCGTGCGCAGCACTCCCTTATAAATGGCGAAAACATCAGGCGTAATTAATTGCAGTGCGGCCTCCGCTAAATTTACACGCTACCTTAGTTAGCCAAAAATCGTCCAAGAAACAGAGAGGATGCAACATGTTGGTAAAAATTTTAAAGGGCGGCGGATTAAAAAGAAAATGCGTACGCAACGTTCATCCGAAAAAGATGGTATAGATATTTGCAATCGGACAAAAAAATAAACTTTTATGCTGAAAATATTTTGTATCATGATTTTTTTTTAAATTTTTCTGTGTCCCACGCTCCATTTTTACGTTATTGACTGACAGAAGCAACTTTGCGCTGCAAAGCGCGGGGGATTTATATTTACACATACAAAGATCACGATGAATTAAGTTAACGTTTATCAATACTTTTCATGAAAATATCCGTTTATTTTAATAATTAACTTATCGTCCTAACTTAAAAGTGGTGCTGGATTTTTTTTTTTTTTTTTGCTTAAAAATGCAATATTTTCCATGCTTTTCACTTTGACGAGTGCACAAAAATCATAAGAATGATAAAAAAAAACAATATTGAATTGGTCAATACCAAATTATTAATTATTTTTAAACTATATTTTTTCAATCAACTACTCAAGTAATATACTTAAAACAATTCTTGAATTGTTGTAACAAGTTTCAACAAAATATTTTTATAATAAAAACTTATTAATTTAAAAATTTAAATAATTTTTGCTACATTTAATTTTTTTATTTTATATTGTTGAGATTGTTAATACAAAAAATAATAAAGATAAAAAGCTAGAAGTTTTGAACAATAACACACTATGTTACTAACAATATTTTCTTTATTTTTTTTGGAGGTGTAGCCTTTTCCCCTAACATCGTCACATTAATTTCTCTTGAGCCCACGAGCCCTTCGATCTTTTTCAATATAAATAATTTAAATACGCCTCAACAGGCAGCAGCGCAGCGCGCGCCCTTATTCGGCGGATCTCCAAAATGCAAACCAAAACACAGACACCAGACAGACACACCTCTCAGCTGGCGGACGGACGACGGACCCGACAAAAATTGCATGACAGTCGGAGGTTGTTGACTTTATGATTCACAAATTTTACCCAATCACCAAACAGCGGGTTACCTGAGAGACCGGCGGTGCACACATCTTAAATCCTTGATGAGGAGAGTAATTTCCAATTTAGTCCGCATTAGTGCCTTTAGTGTCCGTCCAGTTGGTGCTCGACCCCCGAAACACAAATTCCTTCAACTTTGCTCTCTCCAAAGCTTACAAGGTATACAAATTACAAATTGTTGCTCTCTGATCCTCCGTTTTTAAAATAATATTTGACTTACGATAAGAGATATAAACTCAATTGATTTAAACTGAAATATTAACTGACTTTATATTGATTAAATCGTGTTTGTTTAAAACCGTTTCTTCCAGCAAGAGCCATGTCGGAAGAACGCAAGATTGACCTGTCGTACGATGACATTATCGACCTGAAAGCCAAGGACCAGATTGTCCTGGTTGATGTCAGAGAGCCTAAGGAAATTCAGGAGACTGGCAAACTGCCTGGAAGCATCCACATCCCTCGTAAGCATAGTTTCTTCTAATGCTTATATAACAATAATTTTATTATGCATCATTTTGATTTTCACTGAAGGGAAATTTAAAAAAAGTTTCTGGTACTTTTTTGTTACTTGACAGACAGATAAATTGAGATAAATAATTCATTTGGTTAAAAATTTTAGTTGGAGAGTTGCAACAGGCTCTGCAGTTGCCATCCGAGGAATTCAAGAGCAAATATGAAGGAGCTGACCAGCCTGACAAGACCTCTGACCTTGTATTTTCCTGCCGAGGAGGGGTGCGCAGCAGAAAAGCTATGGCAGCAGCTCAGGAGATTGGATTTGCAAAGTGAGCTTTTATTTTTCTAAGTAAATTTTTAAATTAACATTTTTTAAATAATGCAGTGTGCGTCACTATGCTGGTGGTTGGTTGGACTGGGAGGCAAAAACGAAGAAGTAGAAAAAGATTTAAAAGCGCTTTTTCTATAAGAATTAATTAATGTTCCCTTTCACTGCTATTAATTACAGAATGTTTGCCTTGTATCTCATTCAATCACATTTTTGTGCACTGACATTCTGCAAAAAATAAATTTCTCCCATTCTATTTTGCTGAATATTAGTATTATTTTTTATTTAATTTTACCGAAACCTACGAAAATATTTTGAAGGGAGAAAATGACAAGTTGAATCGGCCTGATCTAATATTCACATTATGCCAGTATCCAAAAGTAAAAGTTTCTTTGACCATGATGTCCGTGTACAGTCTTCCGTCCAAATGGTCCATTTCGTGCTGAATTATTCTTGCCGACCATCCTTTTGCATTCCACTCAACCTTTTTGCCACTCTCGTCAAAACCTAGAAAAAATCGAGTTCAATTATTTTAAATAATATATTTTTAATTCAATACCTGTTAATGTTACCGAATAAAATCGAGGGACGTCTGCAGAGTATCCTTTTACGCTCTCGCAAGCTTCAGGAAATTTCACTTTTTTTGTATCGGCAACTTTCAGTTCAGGATTGATGAAAACCTGGTTGATTTTTGCATTAACAATCTCTTCGCAAATAAATCTATTTTACTTTAAAAGGGATGACTTCCATTTCTTTGGTTTTAATCATTTGTTTGTCTATCGTCTGAAGCATGTCTTCTGAAAAATTGAAAGTGATTATCCTCAGAGGAATACCGACTTGTGGGGCAGCTAGTCCAACAGCCTTGTAGCCTGCCATGGATTTCTTCATAGTTTTAATAACCTGCGAATATGGATTTAATTTAGAAATTTATATGTAATTTAAGAAGATAATTTTCTACATTTTGAATGTCCTTTGATTTAATTTCTTCTAGTTTTACTTGTCCGGCTTTAGCTCTCAAAATAGGATCCCCTATTTGGCAAATATGCGAATAAGGCGGTTTTGGTGGAGGAGGTCTCCAAAAATCCTGGTAAATTTGTCGAAATTTGTTGAAAGACCAAAAAGTCCTCACAGGAATTTTGATCAAATTTTGTGGCGAGGAAACAGCAGAATTTAACTCTCCGGCGTTTACTGCACGCGCCAACAGTGTTCCTGAATAATACGAACAAACGAAAGAAAATTCATTGATATAAATGAAAATTAATAAGAGCGAGACTTACTGCTAATTTTATGTTTTGATTTTGTAGCAAAAAGGAGGTTTCGCTCCAAAGTGCTCAGCATTTTGCTGATAAAAATATGATCTTAATGTAATAAAGGATTACAAAATCTCATTTAAAAAACCGGCATAAAGTAGGGTAAGATTTTTTTTGCAAGATCTCGTGATCCTCCTGCTTCAAAGTTTCACTCTCACCGACCAAGCAGTCTTATTGGACCAAGCACGAGAACATACATGCAAGGCGAGCCAGGTTTTTCTTTTCAATCAAAATCAAACCACGTGATACAGATACAGATGTATTGAGCTGGAGGTGTAGCAAGGAGCTAAGTAAGGAGTTATAATTTCTCATCAAAGCTTTATATTAATCATTATTTGACTAATATATATTAAAAAAATACTTAGAAGTACTAAAAAATAGCATTATATTTCAGTTTTATCCAAATTGAAGATTTATTATTTGGAAAGTGCAATCACAAATCCGTCTCCTTTCCCAACACCCCTTACGTCTCAAATGTGTGGAGCAGCTGAGAGAGAAAACAATGCAATTGTGACCAAAAGTTTGCAAGTTGATGGCTAAGTTTTATTCTAAACAATCTTCCGCGATGTCGACACTGGACAGCTAATGGCGAGGAACTGGAAGTATCTAATTTTCAAGCGATAGGATTCAAAAGGAGGAAAGTCTGTCCGCGTCAAATTTCGTGCGCTAGCCAACGCTGCTCACACATCACTCCTCACGAGGGTCTTGAGGAACAAAGAAAACGTAAGAGGCTCTAATTATAAAATAATTGTTCACCCGCTAATTATTCTTATCTTCAGCTGCTGAGGAGAAGCAAAAATGTCTGTGAGAAACAACGAGGAATCTTTGACTGAGCTGATCAGCACGCAAGACTTGCAAGATTTGGAAAATTGCTTCGAAGATGAGAGCAGTCTCAACTTTGACCGTGTGTTTGAGCAATTGCCTTCCGTTTATGAAGCCAAACTCATTTCAAACAATACTTCAGACAAGGATCCTTTAATTCTAGAAGGGAATTCAAAGTAATACACTAAATTAATTGCATATTTATATATATATCGAAACTAAATTAAACGTACTTTTTTATCTTTGCAGTTTTGAAATACACCAAACAGTGAGTTTAGATGAAATTCACATGCGAATCCAGTCCCAAGAGCTAACAGAAGAGCCTTCACATGCAACTATTACTATCGAGTCCACCGATCCAGACACAAGGGAGAGCGAAATTAAAAGATATCACTGTGATTATGAGGGGTGTGATCGGACTTACAGTACTGCTGGAAATCTAAGGACCCATATGAAGAGACACTTGGGTTTGTTTTATTTTAATGCTTCCCATTCAAATCTTCACTCACCAATTTTATTTTAGGTGAATATAGATTCAAGTGCTCTGAACCAAACTGTGGGAAAGCATTTCTGACCTCCTACAGTTTGAAAATTCACATACGAGTGCACACCAAAGTGAAACCCTTCCAATGCACACAGAATGGCTGTGAAAAAGCCTTCAATACACTTTATAGGTAGGCACCAATAAAAATTTGTAAATATTTAAGATATTCTTATTTTAATAAAAAAAATCTAGACTTCGAGCCCATGAACGACTTCACACTGGAAATACCTTTAACTGCAAGCAAAAGGGATGCTTGAAATATTTTACAACGTACAGTGACCTCAAGAAACATGTCAGAACCCACACCAAAGAAAAACCTTTCAAGTAATTAATATTGATTGGAAAATGTGTTTGGTGTAATGAGGATTGTTTTGTTTGTTTAGATGCTATGAAGACGGTTGCGAGAAGTCTTTCACTGCAAGCCACCACTTGAAAACACACAGGCGAACTCACACGGGTGAAAAACCATACTCATGCCCTGCAGATGATTGTTCGCGTACTTTTTCTACCTCACACAGCCTCAAATCGCACACCAAACGCCATATAAATCAAGCTGCCAAACGGAAAAGAGCTTCCAATGTATGTCTTTATTCAAATGTGGCTATCAATAGCATCACTTGATCTTATTTTACAGGGAAACGAATCCGACGAGGAAGACGCGCCTAACTCACACACAAATGATGAAAATGGTGTTGACCCTACGACCTTGCCTTCAGAGGATGGCTCCATTCAAGGTAAATCAACTTGAGATATAATTAAGAAAATTTTATTTTTTCTTCTTCTTCAGCCTATGCAATTATTCCACTGACCGAAAAGAATATACAAGCTATATCATCCCATGGTCTGATGACACTCGAAGGCTACCTTAGTAACAGCAGTGAAGTAAAATTGCAACAGGAGATACCTGAAAATGCTGCCAAAATTCTGCTTCAAGTGTGTTCATTTTATATTATGTTTTATACCTATTAATAAGCAATTTTTTAGTTGAAAAGTGGCCAAGAACTGCCTGCTGTTGAAAAGGCTACAATTTCTGTGGAGACTTCTCAGCTGAGCAACTGGAGCTTTTTCGAAAACCAAACCCAAATTATCCAGACAGCTGCTGAGCCTGTTGACAATAACCCTAAGCAGAGGTAAATACTTTTGTTTTAATGATTAAGATTTTCATAAAAATGTTCTTATTACAGTACATGCAATGAGAACTCCCTAAAGGACATTACTGCTGATGCTGACATTTGCCGATGCAACCCATGTCGCTGTCACGAAATGACCACGGACTGTCGCGGCTGCTCGAACGAGCTTCTTCGTCTGGTCAACAGCTCCTTGGACGCGTCGAGTCAAGATCAGGTAAAAGAAACGTGTACCGACATGTTGGATGAAAATCCACTCTCGGTTATTAATTCGTTGTGCGTGACTGAAGAGAAAGAGGACGAGGACTTTTGTGATCTGCCGTCGATCCCGTCCCAGTTCAGTATTTCCGAAAATACTATGGGAAACTTTGTGGCTCTTAGCTCGGACAGCATCTTAGAAGGTGAAGGTCAATTAATTGCCAGCAGCACCGCTCTGCTGAATGCCGAACCAGCAGAAGATTCGTTCAACAACAGTCAGCCAGAAAACGATCCTCTCGATATGGAAGAGAATGGAAATGACGTCGTCTTCACTCCTGCGCCGTTGACTGAGGCGGAGTCGTCGCCTGGAATAGCAGTTCCGGTCTCTTTCAACGCCAGCACTGGCAACTTTGAGTGCATCAAGGCGTCCGGGCCGCAGCACAGTATAGCCAAAGTCTGGAGAGGAACCGAGGCCACTGAGGCCAACGGGTGTCCATGTGGTGGGAACAAAGGAAAGTCGCCGTGCTGTGTGGTTGTGTGCCTGAAAACGTTGAAGCAAATCAAGAAGGCTGTCAAGCAGGGCTGCTGCATCCTGAAGCAAACAGAGCCTGGGGGGAAAGAAGTGCCAACAACGTCTTCCGAGACAATCACCGAGCAAAACCAATTGAATGGAAACGTTCCAGTCGAGCCGCAGCAAGCAAACGTCACAAATAGACAAGATTCATTTTTAGAATTTGTCGAAATTTTAGATCTTCCAAACTCGGTTTTCTCTCTGGACATAGAAGAGGACGTAGAGGAGAACCACTTTTGATTTTGTTAGTTATTCTTGTCAAAAATTTTTATTTGTGAAATTAACGAAATTGACCTGAAATTTAGTCTTGCCACTGTATGTGTTGATGTGGGCGTTATTGATTATTTGTTAATATTTGTGGCAATCAGAGTAATTGGTGCAATTCGCGCAAATTTTCCTTTTGCATTTCGTGAAAGATTGCCACCGCTTGTTGATAGTTTTCTAACGTATCTTTGCTTATTATCTTGCTTTATCGTCGCCAACTTGTAGATCGAGAGTTTGTTGATACAACTTGCATGAGTTCTGTGTATTAATTCTTACTCGTGCAGGTGCCTTATCATTCATATCACGTGCCTTACGTAAACACTCCGGATAATTATGACCGAAAACTCAAATCTCGCCCAAAAGTAATGATCAACTCGTATCAATATACGATTATGCCACTTGATAAGACAGGGCTTAATTGAGTCCGTCACCTAGTCATCATCGGGCAAACTTTTTGCAAACCCAAGCAACTCAATTCCTGCTAATGTGAACCAATAAAAATGTTCTCTCTAAATTTGAATAATGCTGTAACAGTGAAAACGACAAAAAGTCTTTAAAAATTTAATTTAGTGATAATCAGGACTGGGCATTTGTTAATAACAACTTTGTAGTTTGTTAACCATTGTTAAACAAACAAAGTGAGATTGGCTTTGAAAAGATTTAAATAAAGTGTTTTTATTAATTATATATTTTTTGTTGAACGATGGACTAATTTTTGAACAATAAATCATGAACTATGTCAGTGATATGTAAATTACTTGTATTTTATTTGCACTACTGTCGTCAACTCAGCACACTTACATATTAAATTACGCTTTACAATCACAGCGATTCAACAATAACAGTCAAAACGGCTGTGACTTTTTCCGACGGTTGTAATGCGAGATCTAGTTTATTAAATCACAGGTATTTAAATTAATTTAAACTTAGATATTAGATACTGTTATAATAATTAGTGCATTATTTTGGTGGCAACCAAATTTCGCCAGTGTATTCTGGTCCCATGATGCCTCTGAAAGCTTCATTGAAGACTCTGTCATTGAAGCAAGCCCTGTTTTTGCCTGTCTCGGCTTCCAATTCCACAAGCTTGGCCGCCTCTTTAGCCGCTTTGGTAAAACGGTGGACGTCGGCAACCGCAGCCTTGATTTCTGCGGCGTGGTCCACATAAGAAACTCTGAAAATTTATTTATTAAAATATTCCTTGTTACTTTAAAACTTTGATTACTTAAAATTGTACTTACTTTTTCTTAACATTTGATGAGAAGCCTATCGGAAACACTCGAACCCAATCGCCGTCCTTAGCCGGCGCATCCCTCCAATCTCTGCCATTTCCCCAGACAGTCGAATTCTGAAACTTATGCATTGAAAGTAGCGTGATTTTAAAATTCCAACCAGCTGCTTAATACCGAAGGGGGCATTGGCTGCGGCTGTCTAGACCACCTAGACGATGGTACTACTTTCACAGGCCCTGCGTCCTCCCTAGACCATCGTGACGACGGAAGCCCCTCCGTTTCGTCCTCACCAGTCAGGATGGAAAGTGACCTTGCCCTCTGCAGTCGCGGTCGAGCTGCTTTAACAATATATAATTGAATATTTTTTGAAAAAAAGTATGCAAAATATTTATTTTATTTAATATTTTTTTCAAATAAATTATTCAAAATATTATAATATACAGTTAAATCTCTGCGGTTGTCCTTTTGTTCTGCTACGGGTTTTTCTTTGCATCCATCTATTTCCCAAATTAGAATTAACTACAAAGAATACATGATATAAAAATAAATTAAGTTGAATTTAATTTTCATGGTTTTTTACTTGTGTAGTCCTCCGAATCGGAAGTAGAATCTTCTTGAGGAGGCTGCCAGGAGGTGAACATGGAGAGGCCTGTGTGGGACACTGGCATTCCCAGAAGGTCGAACATGTCGTGCAGCATTGGTTTTTTAACAGCGGCGTCAACGTCACTATCAGCGCCAAGGGCGGGGCTCAAATTGACCTTTTGACATTTGTAAAATTATCAAAGGAACAATTAAATTTCACGCATATATTATGATTATCTCACTTCTAGTAACCAAGGGCGCAAGGAAGTATCTACGAGAATATCAAATCCGTAAAATTCGAAGCAGTTTGGTGAGGGCGGCGGCGGCGAAGATGCGTTTTGAGCGAGAACAGTGAGAGCGACGATCGAAGCGATTCTCTGCCAAAGAAGCCAGTCGTTTTCGCCGTTCTGATTGAGGTAGTGCCGCAATTGCTTCAGGCTCCATTTACAACCTGAGGATTTTTTTTGTTTAATAAATTGATTTTTTTATCCAAATTAAATACCAACCTGCTCCAACTCTTTCCTTTTGTCTGGTGTACCCAGGTCCGAGTCTGTTAAGCGAGCTGTTGGTCAAGTGTCTGAAGAGATTGTTCAAATCGCCTAATGAAAATTTATCCGTCGCAAATCGAACCAGGCCCTCACGATAAAGATAAACGCAGAGCGGGCGGAAGCTCGGGATGCACGCGTAAAGACGCAGGTCGAATTTGTAGCCGCCGATCAACAGCGGGTTGGTCACGTATTTCTGCACTACGGCGCTCGACGCGTAATTCAAATCGCTGAACTCCTGCAATAATAACAATAATAATAAAAAAAAATACAACTTTCTAATTAGATTTTAAAATTTTAAACGATTAAGTACCCTGAAAAGAAAAATTCCGCGTCCCTGGCTCTGGCCGACAGGTTTGCAAATCCAAACCACGTCTTCCTCTGGTGGTTCGAGGCAGTGGAAAGAGCCCGAGCGGACTCTGCCGTTGCTTCTATTGCTGCCGCTGCACTCGGCCAGCAATTTTGTGTACTCAAGTGGAAGCTGGTAGCATGGCGGACTAAAAAATTTCCAAAAAGAGCTATTAAGGAATTTGTGTATTTTATTTTTATTCAGGAAATTCCCACGTTCAACAAGAGCAATCTCTCGCGTTTATCACGACAGGGTGGGAATGTGCTTGGCATGCTCAAGTTTGAGGTAAAAAATAATCTCATTGCATTTTGTGGCCCTCTTGTTCTCATGCATATGAGCGTATTACCTGAAATCAAAGATAGAGCCATACACCTTTTTCATGCACCGCAAGTAGCGTGCCAGATGATCCTTTCGGCAGATGGACGAGCCTTTCGGAATATGATTTGTGTACTGAAACAATAAATCACGATTTAATAAAAGCACATCCGCGGCGAGTCTTCATAAATTATTGCTAGTTAGCGGCCCCTTTTATGCACGTTTCTGGAGGAAGATAGACATGAAGTTTATGAAAGCGCGCGGAAGTTGGGGCAGCACTGAGTGTTCATTATCCCACACAGCGTTGCGTGCTCGATTTTTACAATGAAAATAACATCTTCATGCGCAAAAGACCAGCAGTACTTATGCATCGAGAAGCGTGCCTTTGAATAATCAATTTAAAAACTTCCCCCTACTAAATCGCCGGCTTGAATTTTAAATTTAATACGATTCTGCTGCTAAATATCTGCATTATTATTACGCTATTGGTTTTTGTTCGGTCTTATTTTTATCTAACAATATTCAAATTATATCGAGGCCTTACTCACTTGCCAAGGTTTGAGCTGCTTATAGTGTGACATTGGGAAGCCGGTCGTCCGCCACCAAAGGTTCCAGTTGTCCTTTATGACGCCGCACTCGCTGTGCTCACGCCAACCACGCTCGAGGCATACCTGCAAAACGCGACACCGATTTATTGCTTAATGAGCCCCTTGTATACAAACAATAAACACCGATATGAGCTGCAAATTGGAAAAATTGCAAGCTCGAGTCAATTTAAAATAATATTTATCTTACAATTAGCAATACTTAGATTTTTATATAGATTAAAATGTAATGTAAACCCAGCCAGAGTGTTAAGTTAATTTTTTGCCTATTTTGAACAGCACCTTTCCGTGACCTAAAATTGTTGGCTGGGGAGCCTACTTTAGTAATTTACATGCGTAATTCGAAATTTCTTTGAAGTAATATTGCTAATTGTGTTGATTTAATCAAGCTTTTTATACACGCAACATTATTCAAAATTTCCTGCGATCGATTGTTGCGGGCTTTCCAGGAAAGGACATCAGATTAAAGCAGCCACTTTTGGCAGACGCCAACTTTTATTTGCAACCACTCTGCTGGAGTTTCGCAAATTGCATATTTATTGTTGCCAATAATGTGCGGCAATGTTTTAAACGTTTTAACGTTGTTTCGTTGCGTGCGGAGCGACCATACCGGCAGAAAAATACACGATGGATCAAATTTTGTTGGTTCCGGCCCGCAACCTGATTACACGTACACACACACATGAGACGAGCCGCTGCCTACTTTTCTATTCTCTCTGCCCGCCCGCCGCGGTATATGTCATTTCCCAACATCAAAAAAGTTTAACAATATCCACGCGGCGGTGCTCTTTTGGCTGCGTATATCAGTCAAAACGTCGACTGCTCGCGGTTGTGACCCAGACCCCTCTCTCTGGTCTAACGATTTCGGGTGGGATCAATATTGCTTCATAAGACTACGGCGGGAACACATAAAATAAATGAACGCAACGCGCCAGTCAAATTGATGAGATTTCCATTGGCATATTTCTCAAAAGTAAATAATAAAAAAGCGTGACCCCTTCGCCTTAGAAACCCCGGGAAAGATTATCAGATAAAATTGATTTTTTCATAACCTTGACTTCCAGCCCTCCCCAAGGACTTCCATTTAATTCATTATTCCAAAAATCTTACCCCATAAATCTTACATTTCATATCAAGTGTGGAAATGGGCCTTTTTAATTGTTGCTAGAGATTTAATTCGTTTATTTTTTTTACCACGATATAACAGAATGCGTGCACGCAGGGCTGATTGATGAATGTGTGTTTTTTTAGTGTTTCTATCTATATACGAATGTTTATTGAGAAGACACTCGAAATAATAGAAGTAAGGCTGGAGGGTTTGAATGGTGCCTGACAGACATTGTTCAGCAGAATAGCAGAGGGATGTGCAAACAGCATGATCACGCGATTTCTATTTTTAGAGCTGTGGAATGGAGAAAGCGCGCCAGGTTTAGTATAGAACGTTCAGAGAAATTGACGTTTTTTCGGGGGAGAAACTCATTAAGCGGATTAAGCAGTTAAAATGCAAAGGCCCTGGAACTTCAATCCGCCAGGCTGGAAATAAATTTTGGATGCGGGCATTTTTCATTCCTGACACTGATTGGATTCGGGTGGATAATTTTCTTGGAGTTAAGACTGATATAGTTGTATAACTAAAATGTGAGTGTTTGTATCAAGCTGGAGGAGTTAAGAGCTGCGTGTTTTCTTATTGTAGAAAAAGGTCTAAAAACACAAATTTCGGTCATATGGCTATTTTTCTTTGTGAAGGATTAAATAATAGGATGATTAGCTAATTTTGAACAGTTAAATTTCATAGAAACATCAATAAATTGTAGCTCTGTTTTTAAAAAGATATTGAAAGACTTTTCCCGAGTTAATTTAGGTAATACTTTTTCAAATAAAACGCCACATTCAGACGGCTACATTGCTCTAGACACACTAAAGACTGGTTACGTAAAAAGTAACTTCGTCAAATTGAATATTTCAAAGTATCTAGATTTGCACAACCATGCAAAACACCAGAACCAACCAAACAAAATAGCAAAACTTTTTTTCCATGTTCCCGTAATTTACCACCGTCATTCACGTTAATCTATTCTGGTATTGCTGCCGCTTTTCCCTTTAAAGGACTGTTTAAAAGCAGGTAAATAATAAAAGCATTGTGTCTTGGAAGTATTTAACTTTTTGCCGCCGACGGAATGGACAATAAAAAGTGGCGACGTCTTTCCTTGACTCATCCTTAGCTTCGCGTGTTGCCATTTCAATAATAAAACCGGCGGGTCACCTGGTGTCACCTTAAGTGCTCGTAGCGAGCGACTTTAATTGTACGACTCTGCTCCAGGCTCCATCAAAGCCGCCCCCTCCCACCCAAAGAAAAAATACTAATGCCCGGATCGAAATTAATTTTGTTTTTCTAATTTATGCGCGGCAGTCGGTCGACACGCTGCGAATCCGCTGTTAATTTATTCGTCCGCGAGAGAATGCAAATTAAAGCGGCTTTATTGCCGGAATAAAATGAGAACGCCCCTGTGCGAATAATGCGAGGCTCAATTTATTTATAAATGCAGAGCCAGGGAGTCACGGCCATAAAGGCTTATTATTTATGTATCTCACTAGCTGTTCGACATAAATATGATGCACGCGGGAGGAAGCGGCCTGGTATTTTGTGAACGTGCGCCGCTTCTCTCTTCCTCTCCGTTCAGTAATTTGAAGAAGGCTTTTTAGAATTCATTGATACTTGTGAATTTTTATAGCGGTACGGAACAAGGTGCTCACCAAAATTCAGCGTTCGAAACAATTTCCGACGAAAAATTCTTGAATAATTATTATTGATGGGATAAAAGATTAATCCAAGACGACGAAGAATAAATCAACCAATCTTTAAACTAATAGTTTCTTTGTGTTTTTTTTTTCTTTAATCGCATAATGATGCGAGTTTATATACCTCTCAAACTGAAACTTACCAAGCGCTTTCAGCTTAATTAAAAAGATTATCACGAAAACAACAGGCTTTCAACTCAGGGAATTACCAACCAAGAAATAAATGCACGCCTTTCTCGCTCGCAATCTGCTCAAGCATCAACGCTTTCGGAAGTAGGCAGCTTGCGCGACATAAAAGTAAAGCGCGTTGCATACCCACTTAAACACGATTAAAATAAAATGAGACACTTATACTTTGTAACATTTTAGACATTAAAAAAAGTAAATATACATATAGGAACAATTTTTTCTAATAATAAAAATTTTACTTCCTTCTATAAGTGGCTTGCATACTAAATGAGTCAGTTCTGTCAAGCAAAATTGAACTGATAAAGCTTTCCCAATGATTGATCGCGACGCGAATGAATTCTCGATCATCCGAGAGCTCACGGCATAGGGTGTGTGCATGTTATGCGTGGCTCCAACCAGAGTGGTGTTCGCCGGCGGCGTCAATTTTCCTTAACGAGACGGCCGAGGTGCAATTTTCGAGGGTGGGTTACGGACTAAAATGCTAATCAGGGCCTTTCCTACTCTCGCGTGGTAAATGATTGTATTGTGATGCCCTTGAATATTAATGCAAGATTAGCTTTTCACAATATAAATTATATTTTCACGGTCGTGATAAAAACGCCTGCGCCCCCTTTTGTTTTCTGTTTGTGGTAAGTTCAGCGCCTCCACTTTCGCGGAAGAGATTGGTTTTATTTGTTTTGATTACAGTACGAAGGCCGCATTACATTTCACTGCTCACAACCAATGATTAGAGAAAATTGTTCAAACATGGATTTCTGATCGTGTTGTATTATTTTATTGGTGGCGGTATTTTTTTTTTTCTTAAAAAGGCAAAATTTATGTTATCAATTCAATTGTTGAACAGGAGTAAAGTTACCTTTTTTGTAGATTTGAGATCAAATTATCAATACAGAAAACAGCCTTGAATTGAAATGTATCAATGTATTGCCAATGAATGTCAACAATCATTGTCATAACTTGGTTCAAAGCTGGCTCAAAGCACCACGACGAAGGACCTAACACTGAAAAGTTCAACCAAGGACGGCCTTCTTATAATTGTGATCAATAAAATCATAACATAGAGCACCATTGCGTTCTATACTACTTGACCAAAGGAAGGATGATTCCAATTCGATCACGATAAGGCCACCGAACTGCCCACTGGTAACAGAATGACCTTGACCACCAAAGATTTTTTTAAGAGCGTCTCATATTCCATAAAATATATTAGGAATATGTAATAAGATCATCGCAATTTATTTATATAAATTAATGCAATGATTAAGATTTGTATGAGAAATCCTTATTTTACTGATTTTTACCAGTAAGAGTTTTTTTTAATCTTTAAATCGATTATTTAAGATTAAAATTTGAAATTGTAAATGTGTCATTGTAAATTATTCAAAGATTTATAAGAAAAAAAATCATCACCAAATAAATTAAAATAACGCTTGGAAAATATAATTTAAAAATTAATAAAGTCGTTGAGTTATATTTTTAATTTTTTAATTTTTTATTATAATGAGTAATTGTATATAATTTTATAGTAGTTTTTCATTAAAAAAATTAACACAAAAATTTATGATAATTATAATAAAAATTATAAATTATATTGTTTTTATTTAAAAAATAAAATAATAATAATTATAAATTTATTATTAATTAATTAGGCAATTGCGTTGCGTTAAGAAGTGTTAAGCATATAAAATAATCAAAACCGATTTTTTCCTACCTGGAGCAGAAGATTAGGGCCAATTCCATTGTCGTTTATTCGGAAAACAAACGGTCCGTCCTCCCAGTCCATGTTTGGGTCCTCTGGTTCGACGTTGAGCTCAACAGGCGGCAAAGATGACCCACCGCAGGTCAAACTGAAACCACTGTCCCACATGCCGATCATGACGATTGCAAAGTTAACATTATAAAATTGAGCAGATTCCAAATCAATCTTCACACGTGGTGAAAGCAGCAGCTCGGAAAATAATAAACAATTGGACTTTTTATTATTCGTTGCCAGGGGTTACACTCGAAGCAGTGGGGAAAGCGAAAGAGCTTTCACAAGGGCTTTTTCCGCACCCCACGTCATAAATAATAGTATACGCGAGCTGTGCTTTTGTTGTGTGTATGTCTAGGCCATACTTGTATTGTGGTCTCAGTTGTTTCATTTGAAAAAGTTTTGCTCGAGACAAGAAGTGCGTCATGCACCACTCATGATAAAAAAATCTTTTTTAGTTACAGCAGAGCACAATCAATTTATTTAACTTTGATTTAATAGAAAATATTGAAATAGCGCCCTTTTTTGTTTTAAATGACCATTTTAATTTTATTTTTAGGTTATTACAACGAAGAAAGTTATAGATTAAAATATTTATTTTGGGAACTATGGAAACAACGCAATAATTCATAATAAATTTTAAATGTCTCATTGTAAGTTATTCAAAGATTTCTAAGAAAAAAATCATTACCAAGTAAATTTATAATTATATATCAAAATGGCATTTAGAAAATATAATTTAATAATTAATAAAGTAGTTAAGCTGTTTTTCTAATTTATAATGATATTTAAAAGTATTTGTATAATTTTGCATAATTGATGATCTTACCGAAACTAATGAGAAAATGCTTTTGATGTTGGTGGGTAGAGTTATAAATATGTCTGCTACAGCGCTAAATTCACAACATCAATCTTTTGTTAATGGTGATATTTAATTAATGGTTAAAATTGATTTAAAATTGGGATAATTCACTCCCGCAATCGCAAGCATGTTTTCATGGAAAAAAATTATAATTTACTCTATAAAGCTATAAATTAACTGACAGTAAGATCCATTTTCTTTCAAATATTTATCCACGAATAAATTATATTTCTTCATATTTATTAAATTTAACGTTGTAAAATTATTAAAGATTAACTAAATATTTGTAATTATAATTAAAAAAGACTTTGTCTATGTTCTTCCTTTTTTACTGCAATCTGTCTTTCCAAGCTTAAATTTTCATTCATAATTAAACTGATCGGCAAAGTGAAATAGCTCCCAGCTGGAATGATCCGTGATAAAGAGATTTACAGATAAATAAACAAAAGAATGTGCGTGCAAATTGAGTCATTAAAAACTGGGTCTGCTTTTTGTGTGCCACTGCCTGGTGCGATGATTCCACCATCAAATTACCTCTTCCTTTATCAGATGAAGCGTGCGGGTGGCCAAGTGGAGAGCGCCGTAGTCGGCAGTTGCCTTCGAGGCGAGCACGCCAACAAAACTGGCCCGACCGAGGCCCGGCGGCGCCGTTAAGTAAGCGCCCCTCCGCGCCTTGCAGACGTACAAGTCCCTCCCCGGCGGCGCTGGCTCGAATTAATTCTCAGGGGTGGAAATATTAATGTATGCAGCCTTCAAGGATAATTCCATCGTCGTCGTTTATCACTTTTCTGACTCTCTCTCGCTCTGTTAGTCTTTCTTTCTCCTTTGCTCTCTCTCAATCTCCACCCTTTACCGTAATAATAAAGCAAGGTTAGCAATAAGGATTGATTTTTAGCGTGTCCTCTCATGGGCTGCATGTGTGTTGGCACCCTATCTCCTACGTCAGGGTATAATTTGTTGCTTTTTATCTTCTTGTATATAGAGATTTAAATGGTTGCGCATGTGGGGTATGTATTTTCGTTTTTATCCTTTAAATTTGTAATCACTGAGTTATTAAAATTGTTGGAACGTACGAAACGTTTCTCAAATAAAATCCAAATTAACGCCATTTTTATTTAATGCAAAAGTTAAGTCTGTGAAATTGCTATAAAATTTTAAAGATAGCAATATTGATGTAGAACCATGAAATAAAATCCAAATTCCGTGTTTAAGATTCAGTTTATGAATTATATGATATGATTTAATGTAATGATAAGTAACATTATCTCATCGTTCCAGGTTTTCTGAGCATGAGCATTTTCATCTGTTCGACTAGTTTTGCTCATGAGCGTGCTCACCTTTCGGTGCTCAACTTCGTCTGCTCATATAGAGAAATATCTCTGCACTGAACCGATATGTAAAGAAATATCTGCATTGGCCACATTGGGCAGATGTAGAGAAATATTTATGCATTGAGCCTGTGCTCAATGCTCATGCTCAATATACCCTTGCTCAACGCTGCTCATGACTCATGATCAAAATTTTGCTCAATCTTGCTCATGAGCTGCTCATACCCAGATTCCCTGCATCCTTCCAACGCCTGCAAATTGTTGATGTAGGCAACCTGTGCAACGTAAAAGCATGAATAGTTGCAAACTTTCTCAACTTTCTATTACTTGAATTGCATAACAAAATACACTGTATGTACATAAATTCAGTAAAATAAGTCAACGGAAACAAAAATTTCAAGAAATACATATTGAGCGCCTAATTTATTAATTTTATATATGCTACAATTTTAATGCAAAAAGATACATACTTTTAATAAAAATAAATTAACATACTTCAAATCATCAGTTAATTCTTATTATTGAAAATATTACTTTTGATATATTTGACAAGAGGTAAAGTGAGTTTCGGTTCAGCTAATTGTACACCTTGTCATGATATCTTTGACTTGTCAGAGACCAGGCACGCACCTTTCTGCGTTTATGAAGACAAGCAATTATAGCTAATCATAAGTTGCAAACCCTCGCAACGAAGAAACCTCTCAACCTCCTCACGCGAATTCTCATTCTCAAGCTGTGCATAGGCTTAGATAATTAGTTAATTAATTCCAAGCCGTTGGCAACGTTTTTCAAGGAAATTATGATTAAAGGGGGAGCGCGACTGTACAAATTAAGAAAAAGTTTGCGTTTCAAACATGCATACTTTGTAGGTAGAATTGGCCATAAATTTAAACTTCTGCTAAAGAAGAAATTAACCTCTGCAGGATTAGTCTCGTGCAGTTGCAGTTGGGTGCATGGACAAGTTGCAATTTACAAAGAATTCCTCATAACTAACTTCAAGCAGACAATTGTGAGAAATGAGTGAGCTCTAGCAGGAAATTAACTTTTATTACTTAATTTAAAAAACCTGTATTACAATCAGTGGCTTTCCAGGAAATCTGTTTTATTTTTATTATTACTTAAATGTATGTACTAAAATAATAATTATCTGATATCAAAAAGGGGAATAAATTTTTAAAAAAATTAAAAATATCCCTAGTATCCCATAACTTTGGCTTTGATTTTCATCTCAACAGTTGAGCTTCTATGGAAATTTGACATGGAGATCGTGCGAGTTTGACCTTGGCAGTCAATAAATTTATGCAGCCCCTCATGATCGGAGAATAATAACAGGTTATCGACGACATCTACCCATTTCTTTCTCTACAGTCGTCCAGTGTGAAAGGCTTCGAGATAATCTTTGCCTTTACGGTTACGGGCGACGCAAATGGGTATATATTCTAATTTCTCACCACAAACGTCCGCCCTCTTCCGAAATACGTGAGGCGAAGCATGAACGGAAGCGAAGGCGCGGCGTGATTATGGGCCATTACATTTTTCATATTATCCCATCGCTGCTCATCCTCAACAATATATTTATACAACTCCCTCAAGTTGGGAAAAAAATTGAAATGGAAATTTGTAAAATTAACAAATATACCGAGAGGTACAAACTGAGTGTTTAATTAATAATTGGGGACACACTACTTTCTACCTGGCACGTATTTTCTTTTCAATGTCACGACATTCGCTAAACTTTTCGGTGTCAGTTTAGCAAGGCATCGCGGATTAGCCCGCGAAATGCCGTGCAGCCGCGATTTATTTGTGACGTCAAACGCTTTCTTCTGCACAATGCCACATATAATGTGTTCCCGCAGCGCGCGGCCCTTTTTGATGAAGGAGCAAAACGCACACAATGAAAATGAGTTTGCCATCCATCTCCTCGCTGCGGCCGCGTTTTCCAACTAAATCATCCAGCACGGTTAAAAATAAAACCGCGATTGATGGGAAGCGTCCGTTAGCGAAGCAACAACTTTGCTATTTCCAGCCATCAATCAAAACGAACGCGAGTAGTGCTTAAATCAATTTTCCCAGCTAAACGTGCCGAACGGCTATGAAACACATTTTTGCATATATTGACAAGGTAAAAATGAAGAGTATTCAGAAATTTCCATAACAAAACCTCTTCCTGTGGTAATCGATGAAGTGCACAGATTATTAATGGTTCGGGGAAAATTTAACTGCTTCGTAAAATGCAACTGAGCGATTAATTTATCATTGAAGTTTTCACTCCTTAGCCTTGAATTTATTAAGTCGATTCTTCTTGCATCGCCAATAAAGAAGCAGTGCCCTTTCGCTTTCAACTTATCAAACTGCAGCAAGTCGGCGGCAGCGAAATGCGCTTTCCTTCGATGCACATGCTGCTCTCCCATACAATTTTCCTCACGCTATATGCACATTTAAATCGCAAATGACAAACATAGGAAACTGCTGTCTGCAACTCTGCACTGCTCTATTTATTTTTCACCTTGATTTTTTCACGTCCACATGATTTTACAGAAGCGGAACATATTTATTTTAAACACGGAATGAAAGTTTTTAGTTTACTAATGCTTGAGAAAATTTGATTTTCTCTGAATTGCATAAATTGATTATTTTTCATTGAAAAAATTTTTTTATTGGTTACCTTTTTCTCAATATATTTTCCAAATCTATAAATTAAATCAGGCTTGGTAAAAATGTGTTTAAAACAAAATATTAATTTAATAGAAATAATAGTTAATCTTCTATATATTGTTGAGTTTGCTACCTGAATATAATGGTATATATTTCAGAATTCTGTTTACCCATCCTGTATTGCAGTAAAAGGGTTTAATTGTTTTATGCTGCAGGTAATTTTAAGCACAGCTCCACTAGTCACGGAAAAGACTAAGCGTGCACATGATTAAACAAAAAAATTGCGCACAGCATGCAGTGCCAACAAACTCAGTTCCCCGGCTATCACAACACAAGGTTCTCTTCCCTTAGTTTATTATTGTGCAATATGAGCAATTAATTAATAAAGGGCACTAATTACTTGGTGCCACCAGGAGCAAGAAATGGCAGTTTGTCTTCAAAATGATTTATGTCATTAGCTACATACATTTTGCATGCTAAAATAATCCAATTGTATAATTTGTGTTCAGCAAAACACTTGCGACTCCAAGTAAAAAATTTATTTGTCCACATAATTATTATTTAGCAGATAATGTTCATTTGAAACACATTCATAACTCCTATTCAACTCTGCTGCAGGTATGAATAGTGGAAATTGGAAAATCAATAGTGGAACATACAATTTATGTCGCGCTGATAGCAGAATAATGGGGTAACAGGGTTTTTTAATTTTATAATTCAAGATCACAGCAATTATCAACTCAGCTGCTTCACTCCAAGGTGTCATTGACAGTCTTTGCTTTAGAAATATTGCCATTTCCCGAGGATGGAATCTTTGATGGCATCAACGTACTGAGCGGGAATCCAGTAAATCCAATATCTGGATGCTTCTGTCGGCCCTAACTGAATAGCCTAAAACATAAAGTCAAATTTAATATTTTTTTCCTACCACTAATTTAAAAAATAAATTTTTATTTACGTAAATAGCTTCATGAATTTTTAAAGATCGAACACTCCACTTACTAGAATGTGATACTCCTCGTGTCCAGTAATAACCTCATTGACAACTGCTTTTATAGAACTCATGGGGATCTTGTCTGTGCGCTGCTGAGTTCCAATCCACAACTCATCCAGCTCCATCTTGAAAGTCAGTCTAACTTTTTTGCCCTGCTTGTTGAGCATACCATGCAAAGGAAACGCGGGCAGAGGTTCCTGTTACAGAATGTTTTGTTTATTTTTAAATAATTAAAAAAAAATAGTCTCATTTTTACTGAAAATTAAATATTTTTGAATTACCTTAATTCCTTTGATTCCGGGCAAAGCGTCATCAGGAATGCCTTTGTCAAGAATTTTTTTGTGCATTGTTTGAGAGCAGAAGGTCTCCTTCTCTTTGGTTGATGACTCGGCAGCTGCCAACTCCTAAATCAATTGTTAGAAACAACAAAACATCAATTGTCTGGAAATTACCTGAGGCGACGGCGCCGACACTGCAATAACATCATCAAGTTTTGAACCCACAACCATAACCTTTGCTCCTTTGGTAACTCCGAGACTGCGTAAGGTTTGGTCGTCCTGGGCCAGGCCTTTGATCATGATTTTCTGCATGGCTGGTGGAACGCCTAAAATATAAAAATTACTAAAATTTATTCGGCTTGACATTTTTGTTTAAACACACCAATAATTTTTTGAAGATGATTTTTCAGTTTGATGATGGTCTTGTCAAGGCCAAACTCGACCTCATGTTTGGTTTTGCAAAAAATCACTTTAAAGCTGACTGTCTCTCCACCCTCTTCCTCTTCAGGGTCTTCCTGGCTTTTCAAAATGTCATCGACCGTGGCTGCTATGTCAGATTTACTCTCTTCAGCACCAGGCGGTTCTTCGTCTTTTGTTTCAGTAGCTTGTTGCGGCGCTGCCACGTCTAGAAAAAGAATTTAATTTGGTTTAAACTTACCGAAATATTAAAATTTTTTGTCTAAAAAGTGGATTTTTACTTCCAGAGAAAAGTCTAGAAAAATGAATTTAAAGTTTAAAATTAACTTTGCTCACTTTCTTGATAATCAGATTTAGGGTAAAAAGTATTTCTTAGTTAACTTTTTGAATAATATAGATGAATTTTAGCAGAAACACGAGTTGAAACTATTTGGCTTGTTTTTCCCTTGGCATTACTTGCAAAAATAATAAACAAGTGAATTTTAACATCAACTTTGTCGAATCGAATTTTCAATTAGACAATTCAAAATTTAAACACTGGAGGTGAAAAATGTATTGAGAATTAAAATATTTATCAACGAAGGCATGCTTCTTATTCCCATTACCATTTTTATCAACTTCTTTGGACATTTCTTCCATTTCTTCTTCTTTTGTTGCTATTTTTTGACGAGAACTGTTGCTGTTTGCTGTAAACTTGTGGTGACGCGCAAAACTGCAGTCACTTGTTTGTCAGAAAGCAGAAGAAAAGATAAAAGTTTTGCAAAATGTTTGGTTATCCCTGAATATATGATAAGCAAAATAGTCTTAGTTTTTACAGGTAAATTTCTGAAATAAAATTCATTTACTCAGACGTGAATTAATAAGAAAAACAATATTTTTCACACAAATCTCAACTTTTTTGAACGGCGCGCCACCAGCTGAAAAATAAGCCCCGCCCCCATCCAGTATGTCTGCCCGGTCTGCCGTTCCCGTTGATGTGAAAGACCGCGCTTTTGCCGGCAGCAAGGTTTGTTTTCTTTGATTTTCAACTTAATTTAAGTAAATTTGATCGCAAATCTATTCAAATTTCTAATCACAGATGCCGATTCCACAAGAGGAGCGGACGAAGCGGCGAATCCGCAGCGTGTCATGGTGTCTGATGTGCCATGCAGCCGCCTATGCGTGTTTGCAATCGGTGCTTTTGTTCAGCCCTTTGCACCCCATCAACTGGCTCTCCAGCTCGGTCAAGAGCGTTCTCTCGCTCAGGTTCCTCGCGTTCATGGCCGAGGTGTGCGTGCTGACCGCCGTCCAAGCCATCCTCATCTCACAAAGTCTGTCCAGCACAGCGCAGACCGTCCGGCTGTCCAAGATCAACCAGCTTGTGAAAGATGCCAACTGGAGGAAAAAGAACTCGGCGCTCTCTCTGGCGTCGAAAACTTTCCGGACTGTAGTCGACGTCGTCACTGACCTGCCCTTGAAGACTTTCACAGGAGACCATCTGAAAATTTTGCTCAGCAACACCGTGACAACACTTTTGATCGGACTTTTCCTTTCGGACTCAAACAACAACCCCATGCTGCAGAGTTTCTTCTTCCTGATGGCCGGCACTTTTGTGACCGTCCGCACCACCTACGGTCTGCACCCTCTCGATGCCGTACCTGTAGTCAACCTTCCCTTGTGGACCCAAGTCAAGTCCATCTTTAAAGAAACACCAAAAACCCTTTTCCTTCCCACCCTGAAAAGTTTCATCGGCCTAAATGCCTTCATTCTGATCTACCAACTGCTGGTCTTTGTTTGGGCAGAAGATTCAAACTTCCTGGCCATCTTCAGCTACCTCAGCATCTCCTTTTTGCTCAAAACCTTCTGCATTTTCTACTTTTTGGTGCTGCTCCTCTCCGTGAACAACCGAGTCACCGAAGCCGTCTTCCTCACCAACTGGTACTTCCCCATCGAAGCCACAGAGGAAGGACAACTAAGTCTGTTTGCAGCTCTCGAGTCAACCAAACAACTCAAACTGGCCGCCAGTCGCTATCTGCTGTTCATTTCCGAGCTCGATGTTCTCCGACGTTCCGAGCTTTGGGTCATCAGCCAGCCTGGAGGACACCCGACTAGATTCAACAAACTGATGCAGATCTTCTCCGACTCGGTGCAAAATTTCCAAAAGGACTTTGATTTGAAGAAGGACCATGCCCAGAAGGCTCCAATCAATTCAATTCAATCCAATTCAATTTATTTTTCTCCAAACAAGTCAATACAATCAATTGTGAAAAAATTCAAGAATCTTTCCTTCAATGGCAACAGCTTTGGCTCTCCTCTACTTTCGAGCACCCCAAATCAGCCGAGCACTCCCGTCCAGACTGCCCAACCAATGTCCAGATTCAGAGGCCTTCTGTACCAGACTCCGCAGACGCCGACCATCCGACCCATGGAATCGATCCAGTCTCCCCTTCGACTGGTCCCTGTCAAAACTGTACCAAACGAACCTTTTGAAGTTCCCACCAAGTTCGAGGCAGCCATGAAAAGTGTCCAGGAATTCTTCAAGGCTGACCCGGAAACTGAAATGACTCATGACTTTGCCAACATTTCAAAGCTGGTCACTGCAGTGATGGCGGAGGCGCCTTTCTTGTCCTTCATGGTCTCTGCCGTTTCGAACTTGGTCCTAGCGTCAGTGGTCGAGGACAAGTTTGGCATTGTGCAGATCAAACTCCAGGAGATTATCTCACCCCTGATCACCCTTCTGCACACAATCGAGCAGAGGATCGCCCTGGGTTCGGCCCTGAGCAGCAAAATGAGTGCCAGCGATGTGGCCAAGGTAAACAGAGCCATGGATCTGGTGCAGGACGCCACCTCGAGGGCCCTAGGCAAAATCTGCAAGACTTTTGGTGAAAGCCTGCTCGATCTCAAGTGGAGTGACAAAGAGAGGGAAACTATGACCCTTTACCTTTGATTTCAGCTCACAGTGTCATCACTAACATTTTAAAACACTTATGTGCATGTTTAAAGACATCTTTATAAACAGTGGAACTGAAATTTTTACTGATTCAATAAAATGGAAATTCAAGTAAAATTTAAAAATTTTCATTGTTTTTAAATTTAAGGCCTACACATAATTATGGATGAAAAAGACTGTTTTTTTTTTATAATGTAAGTTTCGCATTTGAAGGTATTTATTTTAGAGCTTTTATTTTTCAGCTAAAAAATAAGAATCATTTGTGTATAAAAGCATTTTACTCACATATTCAGAGGTAAATTTTATTTACAAATTTCATACAGATAAACGCGGTTAGTTTTTAATTAATTGATAACATAAATAGACATACAAATAAAATCTGCAACTGATAAACCCTGAGAAATCCACTCCTTTGCACTAACAATCTCATTTAAGCTCTGCACTTCAGCGTCTTTCAATGTTCGTATAATTATGAATGGCACGTAGGAAATTTTCTTTGCACAAAATAAATCTCAAAGTTCCACAAAGAGTACATTTTTTATACAAGGTGAATTGGCTCAGATGCTGACGCCACGTTGCTGCTGCGTGGGTTTCAGCTCCAAATACTGGAATGGCACATGAAGGGTGCAGTTGCTGTGTTCCACCAGCAAGTGACCGCGACGAGGCGAAGCTCCAACCACGAGTACCGTTTCTCCCTTCAGAAGCACAACGTTTTCAACGCTTCCATCTTCTGTGAAATTAAAAACCATAAAATTATAATATCATGGACTGCAATAAATATTTATAAAATTATTTTAATGTAATATTTCTAATTAATTATATATTTTTTTGTTTTATTTTAGTATTAAAATATTTTAAACAAACCTGGAAAAGCCATTTTCATGAGTCTGGTTTGTGGATAGCCAAGTTTTGTGTTTCCAGTCACTGTGTACGATCGACTCGGGGGCACTGGAGGCGGCCGCTCCTATAAGATGAAAGGAATCATTTATCAAGGGAAAAATAAAAACTGCAAAGATAACTCACCAGGTCCAATCCAAAGAGAGAGCAAGTTTGCTGAATCATTTTGTGGTCACATTTATCTGCTATGTCAGGCGGAGGCGTACCGGCAATAGGCTGAGGTCGAGGCCGAGCATTTGCAGCAGCTGCGGCTAAATAATTTTTTTAATAAACGTTTTTCTTATTTTAAAATATAGATTTTAATGTACCTGCGTTGGCTGCGTTTTTGCTTGCATTGTTTGAAGGCCTGACAAGTTGGAGTTCCAAAGTCCTCCTCAGGGTAGGCCATCTCCTTCTCAGGTGCCATCCCCTCCATGTACATTGTATTAACACTGCAGACTTGTGCCGTTTTGAATTTCTCATTTCCTCCAATTGCTGCCGTGCTCCCTCACTAAATTATTAAAGGGGTTTAAAAAAATATTTTTCCAATTTAATTTTAATTTTTAATTACCTCAGGAAAATGTGACGTTTTCCAGTTGCCCAACTGGTGCTCACAGTAGAGGACGAGTTCTCTTTCATGAGGTCGGCTTGGTTTTGCTGAGCAAGGGCAAAACTTTGCAGAATGGTGTGGCAGTCTTCGAGGACGCGGTCTTCAGTCCTGCGCAGTCTCTTGAAGGGAGCGAGTAGTCGGTACCGGGAGTTAAAAGCCTTGAATCTCATTCTATGCGGGAAGCCTATTTTTTTAATTAAATTTATTAATTCAAATATTTCAGTTGAATCAAAGAAAAATACCTCCAGCCATTAAATTTACTGTCTCCAGAGCTTGCAATGATCTGATCTGTCGCATGACGGTGGCTCTCTCGAATTGCGTTTGCGCCTCTGTAGAATTACTTCTGACGCAGCGCACAAAGTGAGGCTTGGCGTGCACTAGGGTCCTGAGCAAATTGTCCAGTCTGGTGTGGAAGTCCTGGGTCAGAGTCGAAACAGGCTCATCTCCATTTTGCCTGGGAATCAAATTATTATAAATATGTTCAAAAATTAAAATTTTATTTATTACAAGTCAGTGTGGGAGGTTGGTGAAATCCTGAAGCTGACGCCTCTCGGAGCGGTGTCTCTGGCAAACAGGGCCTTCAATTCGCTTCCAAAGAGATGGGTGGCAAAACCGAAATTGCAACTGTGTTTGTGGAAAACAGCAACCAGATCGTCAGGGACCACATCTTTGTTGGTGTCTAAGAAATCGGACGCGTCATAAACCACCCTGCCTGCGTAGTGCTGAATTCCGAAAGTTCGCGCCTCCAAAGGTCTTGGATCGAAAAGCCGCGGGTTGCTTTTGTGCTGAACTTTGACCTTCTGGATGTAGGACTCGGCGTTTCCTCTCATGGTGCACTCCACGTCCAGCATGCTCAGTAAACCAGTGCGCTGTAAAAAATTATTTTTCATGTCAGAATTAAAAAAAAATCTATGCTACTAACCAGTGATGAAACTAAATCAATGCAGGGAACATTATCAACATAGTCGACTTCTACGTCGCACCTGATGCCCTCATCCCTGCAAGACTCGATGCTAGACTTGAAGATGTGTGTATTGTAGAAATGCTGCATTGTTTCGGAACACAAATTGATGCATAGATGCTCCAGTTGAGATGGCTAAAAATTAAAATTATAGTTTTTTCGTTTTAGTTTTTTTTTTAAATATATACCTTTGGGTCTTCAAATCCGAACATATCCAAAATACCAATGAAACCATCAGTGGCGTGCCTTACAGCATTATTCAGGGCCGCCATGGATTTGCTAGATTTTGAGCCAGCAGTGCCGACAGTGGAGGCGTGTTGACTGGCCACTTCGGCTTGGTTGTGCACCGACTCGTTCGAGTCTGAACTAAGGGTTCCAGAGGTGGATCCCAATCTTTTGAGACTGTTGGCTCTTCTCACAATGGTAGCCACAGTCCTGCAGTAGAGGGCTTTTGCCAAAGAGTCTCTCGTCATATTAGACTGTAAAAAAATAAATTTTTAGCCTCAGGATATATTAATAAAATTAAAATGCTCACCATATTTGCATCACAAACTGACTTCACAAGTTGGCCTCGGACATTGTGCGTCCTGGTGGTGAGGCCCCTGCCCAGGGACACGGCGGGAACACCCAGCAGACTGGCAACTGAGGCCAGCTCAGACTCGCCTTCCACTCCAACCTCGATGGCATTTCCGTTGGCTCCGGCGTTGGAATTTGCACTTGGCTTATCCACAAAGGTAACGTTGCCCAAGAGCAGAATGGCAGCCAATACGCGGACCACGTCAAGAAATGGAATTCCCAAAACGCCAAGGCAGGTTTTCCACGCCTGGAAACGGGCAGCATCCTCGGCCTCGTCCTGAGACGTGTCACCGTACCGCAGGTAATTCAGGTTGTGAATTGAGTATTTGTCCAGATTGAGTTTTGCTAAAGGGTGGTTTAAATTAATTTTTAATAAAAATTGTTCATAAAAACTAAATCCCGCTTACTTCTTTCATCTGTTGTAAGTCCTGCAAGCATCTGGTAGAAAATGTGGTAGTTTTTCTCGTCCTTCATGGGGGTCACAACCCTGGTTTGGTTAAGGAAATAGCAATGGATTTTTGTCCTGTACAAAGCACCGTCTGTAACTTGCACCTCGATGAAGTGACCCTGCGAATGAAAATGGAAAATGAATGTATGAATGGCTGCAGTTTTCATTATTGAGAGGTGCTTACAATTCGACTAGATTCAGTGTTGGTGCTGGTTTTGGCGCTGCCCAGTGAACGCAGGACGGTGAATGCGGCGGCCAAATGCTTGAAGGCGTCAGTCTCGGGGCCGCCACCGGCCACATCAAATAATTGGCGCAGCAAGAGCATTGAGGTAAATGTTTTTCCAGAGCCACTTCCACCTACACAATTAATTTAATAATTAGCAAATAATATTAACTTAATATAACTTGATAATACAAAAAAATTATTTACAAGATATTAATAAACATAAAAAAATATTAAATATAATTATAAATATTTTAATAATTATTTACTATAATAATTGTGTAACAGATTAAAATATTTCTTTCGCGCGTATTTTATATTATTATTAATAAATAAAATATTTATGATCCTTTTTTTTTAACAAAACCTTATATTAAACAACATTAGCTTCATTTTAAATTTTTTTACTTTTTAACCTCAAATTTTGATACTATTATAATTATTCGTTTTCATTTTTTTTATTAATTTTTTTAGCACAAATTTACTCAAATATTATAAATGTTGAAAATTAAATCTTTAAATTATAATCTCTTGATTAAAATGCAAAAATATGTGCAAACCTGATAAAATGATGGCTTGTGGGTATCCAGTTTCAGACTGTTGGCGGACAGCATCTTGAACCACCCTCACGAGTTTTGGGTTGAGCGGAATTCCTCTGGTGCTGCTCAGAGTCAGCGGATTTCCGACGTCGTTGTACGGGTTCACAGACAGCAGGATGGGCCCGATGTTGGTCTGCAAAAAAGTGCGAACGGAACGAATTTTAAAATCCACAAATTGCTGCTAACAAGTTTGTTAATTGGAGGTTAAAGATCACGGGACGCGTGTGAGCGAGTCGTGACGATCGTGCTCTAAAATTATGATTGAATGAATTTTACGATTGCGCCGCGTATAGGCTCGCGTGTGAATTCCTGCAGGTATCATCATCATCATCCTCGCTCGCGCCTCTCGGTGATTAAAAAGTAGCCGGACGGGCTCAGCATTCCTTCGCGGCAACCCGTAGCGCGAGGGCCAAAATTCATCAATGCGCGAGAGAAAAATAAAGAAACGTATACAAGCCGGCGAGAAATTGCGAATTAAATTATTTGCACTTTTTTGCATTGTCTTATTATCGGCGCACACCCAGAAACGAGCAAGTGAAGTCGAACGCGATTTTGCGAGCCGCAGAAAATGAAGAAGACCGGTTTTCAGAGGCAGACGACGTGCTAAATTATTATTGCCTGGCAACAGAATATAAAACATCCAAATTTATTAGCTCCCTAATGGCAGCCAGTTAAAAATAAGAAAAAAGGGCGAACACACAAATTTCTGAAGATATTTTGTCCGCGAGGATCAGCCGGCCGATAGATAAATGAGGCAGATACACGGTTGGAAACAAATTTGCATAAATCGAAATGGTCACTTCTTGTTAACTTTTTCTACGCGAATTTTCTCCAGGGCAGACGAGTGCGCGACACGTACGTGCGATTTTCGCCAACAGGTATCTGACGCTTTTCACGCCGCGTAAGAATTTTCAGTCTAATAGGCTTGCGGTACTATACACGCTTGGTGCCGGACCTTCTCTCCGATATCGAATTTCAGCGCTAAAAGCGCCGAGTGTATGGATATGTGTGTGCACAGTCTGCGGTCAAACGGCATGAAGGATGAGCGCAAGAAAACAAAGGAGGCACTGATTTCAGTGTACACGAGTGTCCTGCTTTGTTTTTCCCAGAATCAAACGAAAAAATCCAACCTACTAAACGCGCCGACAAAACTAACAGAGAAAGAGAGGCGCAATAAAAAAGAGAACCGGCTCCAGCACCGCAGCCGTCGCGGCCCGACGGCCCTTTCTCGGACATTATTTTTCCGCCTATTTTTTCATCGCTCTCGCCAACGAGCAATAATAATTGAATTAAAGGGAGAATTTCAATGGCATGCTAAAATAATACGCGAGCGAATATCCAACTAGCTTGGACAATAAATTAAAATTCCTTAACCAAATTTAGCGCACGAAAATGAACGAGCAACGTTTATTAATTTTTTTGCGTTCGCTAAAAGACGCCTGGGGAGATGCTAGCCGTGAGAGAAAAATAAGTCCCTTGCCACGGAAAACGGCTTCTTTTCTTATTCAATTTCGGCTGGAAAGCCCGTCTTTTTCCGTTTGTATTAAACTTCGTGCAGTGGTGGCGTTATTTGAATAAATAGCTTTACAGTTGGCTCTTTTTATCGCGGATGACAATCAAGGCGTGTTGGGAACAACAATAAAGCATGGATGTGAACCACAAATGATTATTCTTGTCCTCAGTTCTCGGCAAAGCAAACACAGCATGGCACACACATACGCTCGACCAGAAAACTCGTCTCTTGCAACTCCCACTCGCAGAGGATTGGGCATGCCGCAGACATAAAAAAGGAATTAACAATCTCCGAGAGTATATGTAGCAACTGTAATAGGGTTGAGGAGGAGACGTGAACATTTTTCTCTGCTCAGGTCTCGTTTTATTTCTTGCTCTCCGAATAATATGAGAAGGCTGGATTTTGGAGAAGGAACAGTAATGTACTGGTTGATGAAGTTGCAGGCTTAGATAGATTTATAAGATTATAAAAGTCAAGAAGATATCAATGCACTGTATAGTTTATTATTTTCAGTATAGCATACGCTTTGCTTAACGTTTTGTAAGGAGAATATCGGAATGAGAACATCCAGCATTAAAATATATTTGGAAAATTACAAGAAATTAATGTCTTAAATTTAAATATTATGCATTGCTACAGATTGATTGAACAATCTGATTTATAATGTTATTTTAAAACAAAAATTGATCAATTCAATTTTCAAATGAGTAAGATTTAATTGGAATAGCAACTTAAACAATACTTAGAAGTGCTGCTTCACGCACGAATATTATTTATAATTTAAAGCTAATTAGAACAAGTGAGACTAGTAATATCCTACATTTATTTGCTAAATTATTTTTAAAAGTTAATTGGATGAAAGTTTTATGTATCATATTGTGTAAAAAATCAACAATTGCATTAAATAACTAATTTTAATATTTTTAATTGTTAAAAACTAAATATTATTATTTATTATAATAAAATACTTCATAAAACTTTATAGAAAATAATTTTAAATAGATATCTATCTATCTATCTATCTATCTATCTATTTATTTAAAATAGATTTTCAAATAAATTTCATGAAGTATTTTACGAAAATAATATTTAGTTTTTAACAATAAAAAACATTAAAATTTTAAATAGATAAGTATTAAAATAAAAACAAAATATAAAATCCACCACCTTACTATTTTGCGAGGGAAACATTAAAAATTAACTTACAAAATAGTTGTTGGCCGAAAACCTGGCCTGCAGCGCCCTGAGAACAGCGTCTTCCGTCAACGGTCCTGGCAGGTGGATCAGGTCCTCGAGGTCTGCAGGCGCCATGGGGGGTGGGACGGCAGTGGGCGCTGGAACTGGGGGCAGCGGGGGCGCGGGAGGGTTGCTGGGGGTGCACGGCTGGCTGAGCCGATCGGGAAGGTTGTTGTTGGAACCTCTGGCGGCGGCGGCAGCGGCCGCCGAGGCGCTTTGCTGCTTGCTCGCGTCGGAGGCGGCGTTGGAGGCGGCAGGAATGGGCAGCTGCCCCCGCACGTGCCTGCCGAGGGGCGGCTGCGGGGACGTGGTGCGCAGGGGCTTCTTGTTGGCCGGCGGCAGCGCTGGCGGTTGCGTCTGCGCGGGGAGAGGCGGCTGCGGCTGGTGCACCCCAGGCGGGGGCGGCTGACCCACGTGGAGGCGGTTGCGCAAGGTCACCAGCTCGGTGCTGAGGCTGCGGAGACGCTGCTGCAGGTGCACAGCCTCATTGGACGAACTTGCATCTGAAACAAAACGATAGAAAAATTGTAAATAATGGATAAAAGCAAATAAGAAGATAAATATTTAATTAAATTTGCAAGATTTAGATTGATATTAAATGTCAAACTTAATTCATTTTGTATTTATTTACACAATTAATTAATGACGGATGAAAGAATTTTTTTTTATAAAAGGTAAATTATACATTATCATTATTATATTATTCACATAAATTTTTAGCAAATAATACAGTAAACAATAGTACGTAATTACTTAATTTTCTTGGAGTTTTAAAATTAATTAAAAATTAAATATTTATTTAAAAAACGTTCTTATGCCACCGATGAACAATTTATGTATATATTTTTAATTGAGGGGCTATTTAAAAAGATATGTTCACAGTTCCATTATATACAATTATTTTTAATCCCTCATTAAATTAAATTGAAATAGTTTTATCACATGACAGAAAAATTCTGGATTCTGCGTTACTTTTAAGATCCTTACAATTAGCAGCTTGATTTCACAATTTTTTTTTTAACTAAACAACAACTAAAATGGCAACATTTGGGATTTTTAGCATAATAACCAAAATTGGATTTGACTTAAATTCCCCTGTACTTATTTCCATCAGTCAATGGAAACTGCTTATTTTCCAAAGAAGGAATGTCCACACCAAAAATTAATCCAGCATAACTAATTAATTATTCCTAAAATTAAGCCCAGTCGCGTATTCTCCTCTCTTCCCGTGTAAATTGCGCCCAAATTAAAAAACTCGCTGCAAACCCTGCTGCATGCGGCGTAAAGTCAGCAGTCCTTGCCGAGGTGTGGAGGTGAAGCGCCCTTGGCGGTCGAATTCGGCGACACGGTGCGCGCCGATCGCGAGCACCAGCCGAGAGCATGGTGAAGTGACAAAGGCCCGAGCAAAACTGATCGAAAAGACATCAGAAATGAGTGATGAGCGAGAGGTGGGGATCGGGAACCAAAGCAGGAACAAGGTCAGATAATGTCGATGATCGTCGCAGAGCGCACCGTGTGAGGCCTGGGGTTATGTAAAAATATTACAAGACCAGTTTTAGCCTTAAATTATACAGCGGGCCGGTTGCTGCCGCGCTCACTCGCCTCTCTCCAAACCGGCGGCGTACGTGTGTGATGCGCGTATACATATAAAAATCATCATCCTACTGTGTTCAAAAATTTATACACATTCGGTGGGCGCCGGGCATTAAAACACGTCGTCCGGCCCGCAGTGAATGGAAATATCGCAGCGCCCGCTCCCATCTCTTGGAGATGCCCGCGGATCTTCCAAAGTCGATCAAAAAGTGGCAGCTTGATTGACGCGTTTTGGATTCGGTTCGAGAGCTGCCGGTCAGGCGAATTAATGCAGCAGATAAGCCCGTCGGAATGTTGCCGCCGCCGCGTGCACACACAAAAAGGTCTCCGAGAGACATTTACATGCGACCAGGGATATCCAGTTATTTTATCCTCTCTCGCGCGCATAATGGACGTCGCGCAACATTAATTGCCTATTGTTTGATATGCAAATCGCCCCGGGGGTGAAATTAAAACAGCCCAGCAGGTGCGCCTCGTATTAATTTTGCAAAATTCTATATCATTAGCCATGTCCGCCAATTGTAAACGTTTTTTATACTTTACAGAGAAATAAGATTTTTTTCAACTTTTATATCTATTATTATTATTATTTTTTTATTTTTAATCTGAACTTCCTTTATTTTAAAATTTTAAAGCGAATAAGCAAAATCAAGAAATAACTTGCAATTGACGAGATCGAACTTTTCCTTGTTGTAAATATTGTTTTTATTCTAAAACAAAACGGCATTTTAGATTTGTCTCAAAAAGTGTGTTTAAAATTTGCTTTTTAATCAATTTAAATTTGCTTTACTTTTAGAAATTAGAAGCGAGTAAGAAAAATTTATCATTTTACATCCCAGATTCATTTTAAAAGCTTTGTTAAAATTTAAACCAATTACAGTTGATGATTTCTTCAAAGAATATAACTGATATACACGTTAAATTTACTTGTTCTAATGTGAATTATGTGTAGTTGACTTTCGACCGATGCAGGTTAAATATACAGAAGACAAACTATTTCCACAACAACAAGATATAAATAGTGTTTCCAGTAAAAGAGTCATTATCGTTGTTGTGGCCGTCCAATCGGCGCTGAGGACAACTTTTATATGTTCCAGAAAAACCCTACATATAACATACACAGGTAGCAAGAAGCCTCTCTTATATAATGAGCAACAAAAAGACCCCTGTGCCGTTTTCCATTTCTCGGAATGCAAATCAAGTGTGTATAAAGGACGTGTTTAAGATGGATGCCGCCGTTTAATTGAATGACTCGGTTTTCCTCTGAGCCTTTCCAGTGACTACGATTTTTATTTCGCCCTAGAGGTCTGAAAACGAGCTTCGTCCACTTCTCGGACGCCTTCCTCTTCGTTTTGATAATTGTGCCTGCAACTTGCACCGCTTCCAGCTCGAGAGAGAAAATATATATCTACTGACGATCGCATGTCCGCCGAAAAATCTCCACCGATCGAACGCGTGTGTAAATAATAATAAAAAAAAAAAAGAATTCTTCGGGCATTACGCCTGTGAGAAAACAATTAAGATTGAACACGAACGCCTGCGCCGCTTTTTCATTGTTTCGGCGCAATGTCAAAAATGCGAGCTCGTTTTTTGTTGAGGTTTTATAGCAGCAGACGCGACAGCTAATTTACGCCGCGAAGGTCGCTCTGGGTAAAAAAGCCTGCTTTTTCAGAGGAAAATCTCTCGTTGTTGTGGATAAATTGTTTGTGAGTTATCGCGTCACGAGACGGGTCATGTATAAATCAATCTGTCTCGCTCGTATCATAGCATTATGCCTCACCGTTCATTTGCCGAGGTTTTCAATTAACAGCCGTGATGTTAATTGTTAATGCAGCACGATTATGCATGGCTTGGCTTCAAGCTTAGCATGTCACTGAAGCGCTAAGCAAGTAATTTACGGCCTTTATCGCATGTGAAGTATACACAGTACACTCCTTGAAGCTGAAATTGAGTTCTTTGACTTAATGAACGTGGAAGCCAATTGTAAAAAAGAATACCTTGAGAGGATATCATTTTCAAAATCTAAAAGAAAAAATTCAGAAAACCTTGACTTAAGCCTTTGGTCGTCAGAAAGTTGTCACAAAATTAATTAATCATCGATTACTTAGTCAATTATGCAAATATACCTTTACTTGCAGGTTCAGGGGTTAAAACAAAACTGAAATCTAGTGCAATGTGATAATGTAATTTTGTATTAAAAACAATTTTTTTAAAACATTCATTGTAAAGAAATAAATAATGTTCATTTTAGTGGTTTATTTTAAAATTTAAGGTTTTATTTTACAATCAATTTATTTAATTACTTATTTTAATTTTTACTTTTGTAAACGTGAATTCAAAGAAAATTAATGTAGAAAAGAAGAATTAAATCTTGTTACTTATTTTTTGGCTGCTGTTATTTATTCAAATTTTTTTAAATGACTGCAGGCAAGAATTTTGTTTGTAAAGGATAAAATGTAAAATTCAATTGGATATGATGACATCAAAAGTAATTGATAAAAATGCTTAAAATCCTAAAAAAAATATTGCAAATTGATGTCACACATACATTATTTAAATTATTTCTTTGTCAAAGAGAACTAATGAAAATAATTATTATTATCCTAAAAGGGGAAAAAATAAAACTATAATTCACAGCAGCCTAGATTAAAAAATTTCAGATCCAAGAAATGGCAGAGTTGCCTTTCCATAATTCTAGGATTCCGACTATAATTTGATTCACCCTCCTGGCTGTTTGGGTCTCATGTGTGTTTAGGTCGCGTTTTCTAATAAACCCTCCTCGTGTCTGACGTTTGTGTGTGTGTGAGCCGCCTGAATTTCATTCCCCTCTGAGGCATTTATGAGGATCAGCCCATATACATCGGCAGGCACGGAATTATATATTAATAACACGAAGTGGCTCTCGGATGCGTTTAACCTCGTCCTGATTTTCGGAGATTGAGCCAGATTTCGGTGACAAAAAAAAAACCAGATCAAAGATGACTGTGTTGAGTGACAATCAGTTTTCATTTTTTCCAGTCCCTTAGTCTCGCGTTATTTTAATGCGCGGCTCCGTTTTGTGGACACTCAGGGTACGGTAGGGGGCCGGGGAGGAGTGTGGTTGTAAGAAATGGCCCAGGGCGCGGTGGGTAAAAGAAGAAGGCAGGTAGCTCTCGTCGGATTGTGCGAGAGAGACGTAGAAGGCACACCAAGAAAAACGCCGAAATCAAATATATTATACGTTCTGATTCTTTTTACCATAATTATAGAGCGCAAATAGCAATTTTCGGAGCTGGATGAGGGCAAACTTTTTGTTACGCGCCGAAATTTACGGTTAAGAACGCACTCGCTAAGATGAAATTCACTTTTTAAGTGCAGACTTTGCCCTTGTTTGTTGTTTTCCTGTAATTTAACAGACAAAAATGACTAGTAAAAATTTTCCATACCAAGAAAAACTGCTTAATAAATGCAAAAATAAACTAGAAGTTGATCATGGACAAAAAGTGCAAAAATAAAATTTAATAAATCTAATTCAATATTAAAAACCAAAAGTATTTCATAAAATCCAAGGCATTTAACAGTTTATCTCTGCTACGTATTTTGAATCATTTTTCGCCCACTTGCTTCGACATTACCGCAGAGATCCATCACAAAAATCCTTTGTCTGCGAAGCATGAGAAAAAGCCCGTTCGCGTACTCACAATTATCATACAGACAAATTACCAGATCGCATCCAACCGATTTTTCTCTCTTGTCGCGACTGCTCCCTTTACTCAATTAAACGAGGATACTTATACGTGTCAAAGATCGTACAAGAGTGTGTGGGATGCAGAACGATCATTTTTCAACTTGCCCACTTACGAATCGGAACATGTAAATGTAAATTCCTGCAATTTAATTGGCTGCGTGCTTTTATCAATTACGATCGAAA